CTTCCCCCTGACTCCTGCCTAATGTGCCTACTGAAAGGGCCTATCTTATACACAGATGCCACAGCAGCATAAGCACAGTATTTTTCATTGGGACCGGCCTTATGTCATGTTCCCAGTGGACTGTGTAGCATCTGCAGCAAATCAGACTCTCCCTCCTCCCCCTCCTCTTCCTCTCTGTGCATTTTTCTCTTATTATGAACAACTTTAAACGGGCCAAAACTTCCTTTCACACACAAAAATGCTGGCTCAGGACTGCGGTCAAACACAGGTGCTTGTCTTCAACTTGTCATTCACAATTGTGCTGCAGGCCTCGAATGAAATTATTGGCAAAAAAGGCTAAATCTGATTATTTTTCCATGCAATTTACATCATTGTATCCTTATCACTATTCTCATATGTAATGGTATATCTGTTTGAATGGGGAATGGAGCTTGTAAATGTGTGTCCTTGGGATCTTTTAGAGGCCAGTGTGCAGGTGTTGGCTTATTTTCCTCTTGTGTGGTGTGGTAAATGGTTAATTGAATCAAGTCATTAAAAAGCAGATGTTTTGGGCTCTGGGCTGTAGAAACAGTAAAAGAGGGTTATTTATGGGTGAGTTAGTAGCATTGGACACATTGTAGAGAAAATTCGACTTCTTCTCAAGATGTCAAAATGTCCAAGTGCAGCTGTTAATGAGAAATAATTTCAGGTGGCAAAGATGTGTTGCCTTACTTCTTAGCAGACGAAACGTGTGGAGAAGATGGGTAAAGGGTAGAAATGGGATGAGACCATATGTTTAAAAAGTTCAGTCCAGTCAAATGAAGCTCACTATGCTGGATTTTAAGGATCAATTTGGAGCCAGGTCCATAATAGGAATAGTTTATTTGCAAACAAAATAGCAAAATAAAAAATACCAAGATCACGTTGATACGACCAAAATGATGAGACTCACTGCAGCAGTTACAGAGAGAGGGGTGACAGTTTTCCAATGTAGAGTCAAAACAGAGTCGAAGGAGCCAAAAGCATCATGAATTCTTTCTATTTGGAACTCAACAACTAGCAGGTTACCTATGTCCTATGTTTATATATACAGTCTATGGATGAGACACAATTTCCACGAGATGAAATGAGACATAAGATTGGGGTCACGAGAACTAGAAGATGAGATTTTCACATAATTTTTTTAAAATAAATTGTGCAGTTGGCTTCATTATTTTTATTTAATATTTTGCTGTCATTGTTGTGCTGATTTTTGGATCTAAAGCTTCTTAGAAAATGTGACTCACCACCACGTAACTCCTTTTTGTCAAATCCAAAAGGAAACATGAAAAAAAAATCTTATGAGATCTTGTGGCACTAGATCTTGTCCCATCGTAAAAGATTTTCAGAGGTGGTAAATACTGTCTGCTTTCTTTCTTTGTAACATCATGACCGTTACACTTAAAAAGGTAGGATAATCATTTCTGTCATTTTATGAGCACTTTGAGATACAACTTCTAATACCAAATATTATAATACCAACAAAATATTACATTTTTATTCATCTCGTCTCATGGAAACTGTGTCTCACCCCACCTTGTAAACCATCTTCTTTTTCTTCCATTTCGTCTGCCAAGAAGTAAGTCTTTGCCACCTGAAATTATTTGCAAACAGCTGCACACATTTTTTTTTACTTTTTACTGTATATAATTTTTTACTATATATCTATTTTTTTTTATATATAAAGTCAATATATATTATGAAAATATATTAGCAAAACAACAAATATTAAATAGACTTATATAACCATTCAACATTTTAAATAGTTTAAACTTGGACTCTGTGATATTGTACAGTGATCACAAACATCCTAACTTAATGACTTCTATACATGTCCATACAGTGGAAGTCCCCTAGCTCCTCTTCTCTCCTCTCACTCTCTTTCCTCTCTCAATCTGTTTCTCCATATCTGTCCTCCCGCACTCTCCCACCCACTCTTTCTCTCACTTCTCTCTTTGCCCCTCTCTCACTCATACTTCCATGTTCTCTCTCCTCCTCTCTCTTCTGTCTCTCTCCTCCTTTTCCTGTCACTTCTTTCTCTCCCTCAATCCCTCTCACTCTCTTTTTCTTAACACACTATCCGCACTTCCCCTGCTGCAGTTTCCCATAGCCCTCTCCCCTCCGTGCATCTCACCCACTGCTCCTCATTCAAGAGAAGAAAAAATAAACTTTACAATTCACAGTCTCCCTTCTCCCAGTGTCTGCAGCATATGGTCCTCATCAGCCCTGTTTGTGTTTGTGTGTGAATGTTTTGATTTTCCATTTATGATACGAGACCCCAAAGCTGTAATGTACGATACAGGTCACAGCAGTCAGGACTATTCTAAATGTAGTGCATGTGTTGTCATGATACGAAAATGATAATAATTTCAAACTGAGGGAACGGTTAAATTATCAACATGAATGTAATTTTCAACCAAAAATAGTAGTTTCTTTAATATTACCATGTGGCCTTGCACTAGTTCTAATATAGTATAATTTTGCCCAAGACTGTGTGTGTGTGTTTTCAGTATAAATATTTAAAGGGCCCTTATTATGCTATTTTCTGACTGATGTGATAATGTGTGCTCATCAAAATCATACCTGGAATTGTATTTGTTTCATTCACACATGTTTAACACTCAAATTTTAGAATTGCCAATCTCTACTGAACTAATGGTAAAAGGAGCTGTTAACATGAAAACTACCACTTCATGGCATCACAAGGTGGAAGAGAGCATTTTGAGCTTTGGAGATGTAGACAGCCCAGTAATACAGGGTTACTCAAACATGTGTGAATGAAACAAAACACAACTCCTGGTACATTTTTGATGAGGAAACAGCATTCTAGTGTGGCTAAATCAGTCAAAATTTTTGACAACCCAAATATTATACCAGGACTATTACAGGTTATTTTAAAACCTGAACAGAACCAGATTTAAACAAGGACTAAACAAGGCCGACTCTAATCTGAACCAGGTCTACAAGAGATCTAAATCTGTACTAAACCAGGTCAAACGAAAACGATAAAACCAAACTAAACATGTCTATAACATTAGGTCTAAGTCAAACCAGAACTATTCTCTGATCAGGTCTCAGGACTAAACCAAATCAATTCAGGACTAGAAAAGATACCAGGGCTTAAGCAGACTTAAACCTGGACAACATGACAACCTTTGGTATTTCCACATTGCTGTGTTTGGCCCATTAGTCTCCTTAAACCCTCTCACGCCCTCCACATCTTTCTCTCCTTGTGCCCGTGCCTTTGAATTGCAGGTTTAAAATCCCTCTGTTTCTCTGCTCTATTTTGAGTTTTGCTTTTCTTGGCGTCTGCTCAGACCTGGGGCGGACTCCGGGGTCTTTTTCCCAAGCGATCTCTGGTAAGACTCCAGGGAGCGACTGAAAAACACACTTCACATGCTCTGGCCACTTCCTCTACTCTGCTCAGCTGGATAATCCCCTCTGTCTACACCTCACTGTTGATTTAAAAGACAGGAATTAGGCTTTAAATGTTCTACAGTCTATATAATGCATGTACTATTCAGTCTTAATAATCCTACACATCTGGAAATTTCATAATGTATAAAACAAATTTAATCCTAAGCATTTGAAAAATCCAAGGATGCTAGAAGAAAGTCTATGGAGAAGTGAGTCGTGTAAATAAGGATAATACCAATAGTTGCTAGCTTCAAAGTAGACATGCATCTTGCATGAAATGGGTGGAACTGAGTGAGTTGCAAATAAACTCAAACATGAATGACAACATATATATGGATGAGGAAACAACAAATAACATAACTAAATATTTGTTGCTGTCACAGGATTGGGCTATGGGCTATTTCCTCCCTCATCCAAGATATGTTTTAAATCAGCAGTGCCCAAGCGGTGAGAAATAATTCCAAATCTAACTTTTTTTTTTTTTTTACATCTCACTAAAAGCTAATGTCCCAGAACACAATGGAGCCCTCTGTTGCATGCATTTTAAGAGGTACATTACATGAATTCTAGAAGCTTCAAATGGCTTTATTCAGGTTATTCTCATGGAAATAAAGATCAAATTTACTGAAATCTATTCTATCAGCAACTTGAATTTAAGGTAATATAAATACATTAAATCAACAATAAACAAACAAACAAACAAATAGATAAATAAATAAATACAATATTTTAAGATGTGCCTTTGTCGCAGTTCAGAACTGCTCTGACACAAATGGCATAACGTTTAAATGAATACTCAGGGACAGTGTTGGACAGTACAGCATTATATAGTAATTTTCTTGTAATCAAAATATAGAGCGATGATTAACTGTGTTCTGGGATGGCAAAAGAACTCATTTCATTCTTAACGGGACAAATGAACAGATAAGTGTGCTTGGGGAGCCATCTAGCGGAGAGGTGGGGAGTTACATATAATGCTAAACAATTATGAATGTTTGCAGGATACAGAATTTGAATAATGTTAATTTCATCAATGGATTATTAGAAACTTCGTACAGTCCTGATGGGCAGGTCTTACTGAACTAGTTTAACGTTAATATCGGTTTGCATACGTTTGACTAAAACTATATTTGAGCTGGTAGGGCCACTTTCCCTTGAGGCTTTATGTCTTCGTTTACTGTAATCTTTGGGAAACTGTCAGGTATTTATCTTTTCAGAATGCACCGAGTAGGCCTAGTTACTTTTTGTTGGAGGACCCCATTGTAGTTTGACCATACACTATGAGTCTGACAGAAAGACCACGCTATTTTAGATAAGTATTCATCCAAAACCGTAAAAGTAATTAACTGACGTTTTACACTGTGCCTATGGAAATGTCAATAAGTCCGTGGCTATTCATTTTCGCTTGTTACATGCTCATGTTCTCGGGAAGTTGTCATATCTGTTCGTTTAACATTTTATATTACACTTTTTAACCCCCATATCTTGTAATCTGTTTTCAGTAAACAAACACTTTATTCTGAACCTCACACACGCACGGGCCACAGCAGTGCGTGCCTGTGACGTACTGGGACGACGTTTCCGTGGTAACAGGGGCCGGGTCCGTTTACCGCAGCGGCTGCTTCACCTCCGCTTCGAAGCTTGGGGGACTCGGCTCAGTGACTGCCCTGGACCTGATACATCTGCGCCGGTGAGCCGCACAGGCACTGGGCGACATCTTCTGGAGGCGGCGGGCCCGCGCGAAGCACGGAGATGCTCAATATGTGGAAAGTCCGGGAGCTGGTGGACAAAGCGTGAGTACCGCCGAGGAGCAGGTGTTGCCCTGCTAACCGCTAAGTGCGTGCTCCGCTAACCGGTTAGCCGGGCTCCAGTGGGCTCCAGTTGGCTCCCGGGGGCTTATGGGGCTTTAGCAGGCTTTAGCCGAGCAGCATCAGCAGCTTTTACCGCTGACGGAGAGAGGAGACGGCCCTGACGTCAGACCAGTGCCCTCAGCTGTTAGCTTAACTGGCTACTGGCCAGGTTCCTCTTTTTTCAACCGTGATGATAACTGTCAACATGAAGGATTTCATCATTGCACGCTCTAATAGGGTTGTTTGTGTGACACAGAACCAAAAGGACAATGAAAACACAATTGTATCAGGGCAATAGTTAGCCTGTGTCGCTAGCATGGCTAAACCCAGGTCTGGGATCTGGACCATCCTTGTTTGTTGTAGTGTAGTAGACCCACGCCCGCCCCGCTGCGCGGATGCTCCTACACTCGGGATACTCTCCCTCCGTTATGTACCATGTGGACGCCAATGTGCCCTCCTTCAAACGTTATTTGAAGATTGAGGTTTAAATTCCTATTCACACAAGAAAGAGCAGCGTCCAGAGAACTGCCCACAGTCCCCCTGCGAGGCCCGCACAGGGCTAGCAGCAGCAGGGCAGTGATGCACAACTGTGGCCTAATTACACAACTACAAGTCACTGTTGTGTAGTGTGCTGTACAGTACAGTCCAACAGCGTGGCTTATCCCCCAACCAATTTCTCATATTTTAATATTTTAGTCACATGATACTCTTAACTGCTTAAATATTGACTTTATAAGGTGAGGTTGTGTTGCAATAATTGTTGCTTCGGGTCATTTATGTTTGCCATTAAAAATCAACAAAAGTAGATGTCATAGAGTCCCTCTTGTAAATGTTGCTTAATGTAAAATGTAATTGACTGTCAAAAAATAAGGAATAAATATTTAACGAAACATCTCTTTTTATGTGAATATGTACCAGCAAGAATTGGGAAACATGCCATTTTTCATGGACATAACATCTATTTCTAACTATAACAGAGAGAATAGCATTGATATTTTAAGTGCGCTGGCTGTGAACACCATTGATTTTAGTCCAAGCGCTTCATCATCATGAGTATGTGATGTTTTCTGTTACACACTTAGTCCTGAAACACATAAAAGAGTTATTATCTTCGCAGTGCTGAGCGGAGGAGAGGGGTAGCTGCACAAGAATAAAGCACTAATGAAAACAGTAGAGGCACTAGGTAAGGTGCAAGTAACAGCATTAGAGACACGAGTGACTAGGACAATTAAAGCAGAAAAAAGGAAAAGGTGCACATCTTTTCTGATGCATTTCAAAACCACATAAACAGGAAGCTGATTTGGTTTTGTAGTTTAATGTTGTCTTCATGTCAGTGGTAACAAACATGAAGACAAAGGTAACAAAGGCAACAAATTCAATGCTATGCAGCTCACTGTCTGCACAAGTTCATGTATTACATTTTTACCCATTTAAATCTGTAATCTGTCAAATGACACTACACACTACACTACTCTACAACGCTACTTAAACCTCAACCAAGACATTTACAGGCACGTTTTAGCTCATTTGCTTTGAATTGTTAAATGTGATCTGGCAGTTGTTATCGGAATAATCCCTCCAAAAATATTGAGATATAAATTTTCAGCAATGTCATCCAACTAGGGGTGGGCGATATATCGATATTTTAAATATATCGAGATAGTTTTTAAACTCGATATGAATTCTGACATATCGTATATATCGATATAATGCTTATATTCAATTCTGATTTCGCCGCTTCGCTTGTTTACCTTCTCTCTCGTCGCCTCCGCGCGCCCCCGCCTCCCTGATTTTGTTCGCTCGTGTCTCATTCACTCCTCACTGTCGCCGTGAACGCCGAAAGTTGGTGCCAGTGAAAAACTTCAAGCACCACGAACGTTTTCCACCATTTACAGACAAGAACATCAGCAGCACATCCTCATGTTCCACCGAGTCGCATCCTTTAGCCCGAAAGAAGCTAAACGAGCTGAGCTGCGTGAGAAGCGCGCTGTTTATGCAAATGAGACATGCGCTTAAGTTTCGTTTCTGTAAAATGTAAACACACGTGCGCAAAACTGCATTAAACACATTATTATCTCAAACAGGCTGATGTGGCTCTAGAGTCGTTATGCTTTATATATTGTAAAGTTTAGCAATGTAAAGTTTATTTATGCAGAATATTTTAATTAATAATCTGCTGCAGTGTCACTTGTACAATAGTGTTTGGAAACCTTTGATTTGATCTGCAGTGGATTGTGGGATTAAACCTCAGAGCTCCTTACTGCTGGATAGGAACATGGATCTATTGAAATAAGGAACATCCTGAGCTTCTTCTGCTAAATGAGCTCATGGTTATGATTATGGTCTGGATAACAGAGTGAATGCAAAGATGAACTTGTGTTGAGTTGTTTTATTTATGAATGAAAAGAAGAAAATATGTATTATTTATTTTATTTTACAGTTAAATTATTATTTATGTAATTAGGGTTTTTTGTAATCTTAAATGTTCCTATATGAACTGTCGACCTCTTACACTTCAATTTAAAAAAAGGACCTTGTGGAATTTGGCAGATTTGTTTTTGCAGTTTTCAGTTTTAGGGGGTTATTTTTTCTTGAACATATATCGAGATATATATCGTATATCGAAATATAGCAAAATATATCGAGATATATTTTTTGATCCATATCGCCCAGCCCTACACCCAACCTTTAATTTATATTGTTGGGCAGCCTCCCAATCATCTTTTCTGTTGCCAAGCCCAGAAATAACAATGGTTTAAGACACAGTAAAATCTTAAACCACAAGATCACAGTCCCTAATATTGTGTGCAGCCGTTGAGCTGTGCCTGTAAAAGCTTTCATTCATTATTCAGTGATCTCTGCTCGTGATCATACATGAGGTCTGTGCTTGCATAATGTTATAGTCTCCTTTCAGCTGACTCACAAGTTACAATACATGCTCAAAACATTCAGATTTTAATGTTTTTGGTACATTTGCAAATTGTAAAAGTTTTTGATATGCAAATGTGTAGTCAGAATTGTTCATTCACAACTATCCTTAACCTAAAGTGCTCTGTTCAAAATTCAAAATCCTCAAAGGGACAATAATGACCATTTTTGTGATTGTTTCCGCAGCACTAATGTGGTCATGAACTACTCGGAAATTGAGTCCAAAGTGCGAGAGGCGACCAACGACGACCCCTGGGGACCCTCTGGGCAGCTGATGGGAGAAATTGCGAAGTATGTGGAAATATAACGGCAGCAATTGAAACAGGAAGAAACCAATCCGATAAAAGCAATAAATTGGATACATAAATTAAAGCACCAATTAATCAACATACTGTTCAAGTTGCACAATTAGCAGGTTTCTGTTTTCCCATGCCTCTTTTCTCCACTGTTCCACAGATCTACCTTTATGTATGAGCAGTTTCCAGAAGTCATGAACATGCTCTGGTCACGAATGCTCAAGGACAATAAGAAAAACTGGAGAAGAGTATATAAGGTGACTACTAGTTAATTACTATTTGGTGATTAGGCACAATGTTGTGTATGGCCTTGCTCAGCCAAAACATGATTTTTGCTTTAATGTTGTGTATTTACATGTTTATATTTCCCCGCACTAATTGTATGGTCTGTATTCTCCAGGCTTTGCTGCTGCTGGCCTATTTAATCCGAAATGGGTCAGAGAGAGTTGTGACGAGTTCCAGAGAACACATCTATGACCTGCGCTCTCTAGAAAACTACAACTTCATCGGTATAAATTGAACAAACTAAAGCTAAGTTAACATTTCACTAGCTGTTGCTAGTGAAATGTTAACTTAGTGTAAATATGAGTATGTTTGTTGTGTTTGTATAGATGAGAATGGCAAAGATCAAGGTATTAATGTGCGGCAGAAGGTGAAAGAGATGGTGGAGTTTATTCAGGATGATGACCGGCTCAGAGAAGAGCGCAAGAAAGCCAAGAAGAATAAAGACAAGTATATAGGCGTGTCCTCGGACAGCATGGGTGGAGGAGGCAACAGCTTCAAGAACTGTGAGCTCTTTTCATTTTTGTAATGATTATAATAAGCCCTACTGTTTGTTCATATATTATCCACTCTACACATTTGTACTTTACAAAGCAGTGTACATAGACAGTGGAGGCAAAGCGGATGACGTCTCTTGCCCAAGAACACAATTCCAACTTTTGGATTAGTAAGGGAATGTCTCGTATTGCACGTCTGCTGCCCATATCACACGAGTGTAAATACTCCTTTTTTCTGTTTAATGAACATAATGCAGAAGGAACTGATATGTTGAAGAATTATAGCTTTCATCTATAAAACGCTGAAGCACAGATGGATAACACTAACAGAAACCACACAGCACAGAATACTTTCTAATTTCTCCATGTTCATCTAATATTTTTTTGTGTGTTTCTCCTCTCAGCCACTGAGTTGGACCGTACAAAGTGGGACGAGGACTGGGACAAAGGTAAAGGCGGGTTTCCCTTTAGTGAGAAGCTTGGAGAGATCAGTGACAAGATCGGCAGCACCATCGACGACACGCTCAACAAGTTCAGAAAGAAGGAGCGAGATGACTCCCCTGACAGAATCAGGTACAACCACTGTGATTTTGTCTAAGCATATTACATATTACTGATTTGGGAAACATAATGTCTCATGAGCAGATAATAGTTGCATGTCATACACAACGCTGCTGGTTATAGACAGAACTAGTCTGCAAGAAATATGTCAGTGAGAGCATCTCCATGGAGGGGTGCCCCTGCTAAGCAGTGGTCAAAATCTATCAATGGTTCCAGTTAGTCTTGTTGAGTTCAGCATTGGTCACAACTTTATAGTTTAGAAACAATTCCCCAAATTATCACTTTTTGCAGTCTCCCACCACTGGTCTAATGGGATAAACTGATGTGCACATGTGCCTTAATATTAACTCTAATTTAAAACAAAAACACTGCATTGCTGCCTCTAATGCATCATCTCACTGTTGCCATAGTGACAATGAGGAGGACCGAGCCTCAAGAAACGGCCGACAAGACACGCTGGAATTTAAAGATGAAGAAGAAACAGTGACCACGAAAAGCATCCAGATCACACAGGCCACAGAGACGACGACCACAACCACACGCAAACGCAGCGGAGGCTCCAGCAACAAGAGCCTGGACCTAGGAGCAGCCGCACACTACACTGGGGACAAGAGCCCAGAGGAGAAGGTACAGGTTAAACATGTACAGTGTAATAGACCCTTTAAAACTCCAAGAAGTCCAGTGGAATACAGTTGAAAAACTGGAGAAATAAACACCTGCTCTGCTACATGTATGCAATATCAGATGTGTTAGAAAACATCAACAAAATGTATTTTGCAATACTTTCTTATATAACAATGATTAATATTATAGGCATTATAGACCTGTACAAATGTGTTGATTGTGATTTCTCTCAAGTCTTCAGGCAAACAGTCATCGAGTAGTGGACTGGCCGACTTGTTAGAGATTGACCCTTCGTCCAAGAGCACCACAGGTAACTAACTGAATATGTCCATGATCCAGATATGAAGGCAGAAAATGTATTTGTTGTTTTCTGTTTTCTCAAAGGTGCAAGTCAGGACCTCATTGGTGGCTTTGCAGATTTCTCCTCTCCTGCAGCCTCCGCCAGCCTCCCAACCTCCACAGGTACACTTGAGGTTTTGTAACGATAAGATAATGATAGATATGAATTGTTATGGTGAATTAAATGCTCAATCGTGTGGTGGTTTATGTTTTTATGGAGGAGTAGATAGACATCAGATATCATTTTATAAAGTGACCTTTTATCTTTAGCTGCTTCTTCTTCCACTGGAAATGGAGAGTTTGGAGACTGGAGTGCCTTCTCTAACACCCCCAACTCATCGTGTGGGCCTACTCAGGCTGCTCCAGACCTGTTTGGCTCCACCACACCCACCTCTACCGCGCCTTCCAACCCCATTCCCCCATCAGCCGAACTATTTGACCTCATGAGTGGACTCAGCCACACGGTACAGACCCCTCACGCCACTCTGAGCGCATCCCAGAGCCTCACCTTTTCTTTGGGGGGAGCAGCGCCTGGAGCTCTGCCCAACATGCCCCTGTCTCGCTCACAGCAGGTACAGCTCATTAAGTACCGCAGTGACCGTTGGTTTTAAGTCAATTCTGTGTTCAATTCCTATGTTACTCTCTGGATAATTAACCATTTGTGTGAAAGAAATAACTACATCGAATAAGTAATTATAATAAGTACTTGTTGTATTTTTTGCAGACAGAAGATACTATTTATGAGCTCTACACCTATGCTTATGTTGTCTGCTATGTGTATCCTACAGAGTTTAGGGAACATGATGCCGCAGCAGCCCATGGGACAGCAGCAGAAAGTGGGTGGACCAGGAGCTTTGGGTTCAACATGGTCTGATCCCTCAGTCAACATCAGCCTGGACTTTTTATCAGCTGGGCTCAACCCCAACAAGACCCCACCAACTCTCAACAACATTATACAGCAGCAAGGTACGCTGCCCCTGCCAACATTTAGACTTGATCATGAGTTCAGGTACACTTAAGAAAACACAGGATATAGCTATCTCTTCCAAAGTGGCATATCATCACAGAACCAGTGATTTTATTTTATATTTGAGTTTATTTGCCTCAAACTTGTTCACACTTTGCTATATTAGAAAGCCACAATCACCTTACAACTTGTGACTTGTTCATATTTATCTTTGTGTAATGAAAAGTAGGAGTAAATAGCTTCTGTTTGTGAACCAAACTCTGTAGGTTCTTGTCATTAAATAAATAATTATAAACACTCTATACTTTACCTGTGTACAGGTGTACCCCCTGTGAACCTTTTGACCCAGAACTTTGGAGGTCTGAACCTCAGTTCTCCTCCTCATGTGACGCCCATCAGACCAACAGCCAACTCCATGATATCAGGCAACTGAGTTTTGGAATGCCCACCTCTCCGCCCATGACAACTGGGATGCCTGCATCCATGACAACGGGAATGCCTGCGTCCATGACAGCAGGAATGCCTGCATCCATGACAGCAGGGATAAACACGGGCTCTATGGGGATACCTGGGATCTCTGTGAACCAATGCATGATGGGAATGAACATGAACATGAATTTAGGAACAGGCGCTCCAGTGATGATGGGTGTTCCAACAATGGGCCTAACACACTCCATGTCTCCAGCCATGGTTCCACCTAAACAAGATGCCTTTGCTAACTTTGGCAACTTCGGAAAACAAATGTGAAAATGTTTTGATGAGTGAGTGTATGTGTGTCAGAAATGTTTGTAGTTTTTGAGAGTGAACTACTGAAGAGTCTATTGTGGGACTGCATGTGACTTTTTTTGCTTCATCGGTCAGCTGCACAAGTTGTTTGCATACATGGTTTGTTGGCATGAATCTGGAGATCATGGAAGCAGTTGTCTTGCTGACCAGTCATCTGTTAAGGTCACCTCTTTGTTTATTGACCATTTTCTAATCTGCAGTATAACAAATCAGTGTTTGTACCAGGACTGTCTGTACATGAGGTGGTCTCAAAATGGCATCACTGCCTTAATTTTACATTATGTGTGAAACACATATCTTTTCTATTATTCAACCAAATTTAATTCTCAAAGTAAGCCATTTACCCTGGATACACAGAAATACAGTGCATTTTAACAGTGTAGAGCCATATGCCTGTCCTCCAGCAGAGGGCAGAATAAAGCGTGCAAATATTGAATCTTGAGGTTGAACTGCATAGTAATTTTTTGCCCTCTATTAGTTTATTCATAAAAAAATACTGGCATCTCACGGATTTAAAAATGTTTCCACCTACTTCATTAAGTTTGTAGAGAGAAGTGTAGAGGGGAAGAGTTAGAATGACTGTGTATGTGTGAGTGTGAAAACTTGTGAACATGATGTAGTTTTCTGTTTGATGTGGAAACAGCTGAAGCAGAGCTTGTCTTTTTTTTCTCAGGCTCTGTATTCCAAAAGACCAAATCTTTATTTTGTTACTCTCAGAAGGATGATTCATAGCTATCAGTTTATTTTATTAGTCAACTTGTATTATGTTCATAACATAATTCAGTTTATTTTCTTTTAATTGTACTTAATTTTCTCTGTAATTCAGTCTACATTAAATTAAATTACAACTTTGCCTACTTTTTTCAGTTTGCATTTTTTGTAGGGATGATAATGTGCTCTGCTTTTTTAAAAATGTAGTGTTAGAATGGGATTAAAAAATAAATAAATAAAATTTTAAAACAAACTAAATAAAATCTACACATCAAGAGCAGCGTGCTGCATTCGTGGACTGAACAAAGGCATCATGGTAAGTGGACGGAAGAACTCAGAGGATGCTCAATATTGTCCAATCATAAAGTGTTTCTATCTGATTGACATGACTTCTCAACCAATAGAAATACTGTAAACAGTTCAGAGGCGTTTCCAGGAAGAGATTCTTTACATGTTGCTGTAATGGCGGACCAGGCAGAGAGCGACAGTATTGGGTTCAACGACAACAGGTCAGAATAAAGTTTTTAATGCCTCAAATGTATTGGTACGTAGTGCATTATCTAGCAAAAAAAAATCATTCCTTATATCATTTGGATAAGAGATCTTCTTGTTTTCACTGGAAGACAAATGACGCTTTAACTTGGGGTCGAGCCATGCTAGCTAGTTAGCTCAGTAGCTCCTCTAGTGTTATCCAATTGCTCGTCTCAGCATTTCACTCGTGGCACTTGGTAAACATCTGCGACACTCTGGCAAATGTCTCTTCGTTTTCGTATGGTGACCAAATCTTTCTCTAAAGGGCTTTTCTACTTGCACATCGCTCAACGCTGCAAAACCTCTCTAGCACATCGCTGCTATAAGTTCATTTGTAGTCATAACGTGGTTTACAACGCCGTCTGTCACGCTTTTGCTTTGCGGCACCTTTGCATTGTATTTGCATTTTCATATCTCGTAAGACACTCGTTTCTGTCCCGATTACCCCAAAAAACAGTCGAAGCTTTATTTGCAGCGGGTTTATTTTAGGACAGTCTGTGGCAGACAGACAACACCCCGTCACCGCGACGTGACGAGGACGTACGATTTGAGGCTGTTTTATATTTATATTAACGGTATAATCGGTTTTCTACTGGTATATGTGATTTGTTCATATGTAGTTTAGGATGCAACTGTTGAAATATGTAATAATTATACAGCTTCATTGGATTGTAGGGAAGTGATAACTTCCAGATTAATCTCTGCTATCGCAAAAGCCACATATGTAACCCGCCACAATAACAAACCAGCAGGCAATTTTGGAAGACATTTTTAGAGCAACTAGTGGTATATACTGATTACCCTGGAAGTTTATTTTTAATGAGCTGTTTTTGCTGCCTTTTATAAGTAGTTTGTGTATTGACAATATATTTGATCCAACTCTAAAACAACAAATGCAACATTATGTTTTTCTATATATGTGTACTTCCTGTATTGCTCATTGCAAAGGTATTTGCAACGAACATGTAATATCATAATAGATTTAGTTCATTCATTGCTGACAATGTTTTTTGGTTCCCCATCAGGATGGCGCAGCAGGCGTCCCGGTTCCGCAGCCCCACTCCTCCTGCTGCTGCCCCTGCTCAGACTCCTGTGTTACGTGGTCCTCCTCCACTTCTGAGACCTCCGCCTCCATTTGGAATGATGAGAGGACCCCCACCACGAGCTCCTTTTACCAGACCTCCCTTTGATCCAAACATGCCCCCCATCCCTCCTCCAGGGGGCTTGCCTCCACCTATAACACCTCCACACATACAGGTCAGTGCATGCCCAAATGGGCATGTTTCACTTTTTATGTTTTCACTATGTAATTATCTGTTGTAGTGGAGTTTATTTTAGTATACCATATTTAGTATTTGTTCTGAAATCAGTTGTTTGTTTCTCATAGCAACAGAGACCTCCATTTCTTCCTCCTCCCATGGGGAATATGCCACCTCCTCCTGGAATGGTTTTTCCTCCTGGGATGCCCCCTGGACCTTCTGCTGGGACTCCAGCACTTAACCCAAATGAGGAGATTTGGGTGGAGAACAAAACGCCAGAGGGAAAGGTATAATAAACTTAATACTTAATATACTTAAACTTAACCTATGTAGCATTAAGTTTATATATTTTTGCCAGGCCATATGGCCTCTGCCTCCAAACAGACAAATAGACATACTAGTATGTATCATTAATTGTACAAAGAGTTGCATGTATGATGTACTGTTAGTGCTGCAGTCTTGAGTTTGTTATTATCTTAGTCAGTTTTAGCTTCTTGCATGAAAATGAGATTAGTTGTTAGTTTACAATTGTATTATAGTTTTTGGGGAACTCTGACATTTTGAGAGATTGATACCATTTCAAAATAGTGACCACATGACCTTTTGAGCACTGTCTATCCATTTCCACAACTCTTTCTATATCTGTGTATTTTACAGGCTTATTTCTACAATGCCAGGACCAGAGAGTCATCCTGGACCAAACCTGAGGGTGTTAAGATTATTCAACAGTCTGAACTGAACCCCCTCCTTGCGGGTGGGGCGGGTGCAGTGGGAGGAGGTGCAGCAGCGACCCCAGGGCCCAGCACGACTTCAAACGGTGCAAATGGTGCCACAGTAAGCACCTCCAGCCCCACCCCCGTCCAGACTTCCATCCCCTCCAACACACTCACCTCCAGCCCTGACTCTACAACCACCACCTCTTCCCCATCAGTGGCCATCGCAGGTGAGTGCAATCAATTAACAATGTATTAATAGATTTGCAACTCTTCTGTATGTTCTGTGTAAGTAAAATGATTACCTACACAAAAATCAATATAAAATGATGGTTCACTGACAAAATAATTACTAAGTTATTTGGAGGGAGTAACTGGGTTTAGATTGTGTTTATACCAACTTTAGAGACTGCAGTATTGTGTATTTTATATGCTATGCAAATAAAAATAAAAGCTGCTATTGGTATCACAAGCTCCAGAAGTAGTAAATGATGCAATAATCATAATACAGTAGTATGCAAGTATATGCTGTAATGGTGTTGCTGTGACCATCTATATTTTTTAGACCAAACCATTCAGATTTGTTGCCTTCTGTGTTTCTGTCCCCTGCAGCGCCTGTTGTGACTGAAATGCCGCCTGTTGCTACAGTCACCTCCACTGTTGCCTTGTCTCCGGTCACTGTGGTCACAGTCTCCACAGTGCCGTCGCCTGTCACCGCGGTGCAGACTGTGCCTCTGCTGCCTACAGCCCTGCCTCACAGCGTGGCCCAGCCAACTGCTGCCATCTCAGCCGCCATTCCCGCCTTCCCTCCGGTTATGGTACCGCCCTTCAGAGTGCCCCTGCCCAGCATGCACATCCCTCTGCCAGGTACACATGACCCATTGAGACCCATTGATTATAATAAGAGAATATGACAATACAGTTGCAATACAATACAGAGTGTGTTTATCTGAAGAAATCAAGGATTGGATCATTTACTTAATTTATTTGTCGAGAATAGTGATGTTGTGTTGTGCTTATTCATGGGTTTTAGCTTGTTCGTTGGTGTCAGATTCCTGTTTATAGTTGCTATTTTGAAAACTTTTCACCATTCAAAAGATACAATATTTTGCTTTAAATTGTTAATTGCTATGGCTGTTACGCTGATTTCTCTTCACTCTGAAACCCATGGATAAGTTAGTTTAATTGTGCATAATTCTTTAACCTTATTATTTGGCAGCCACAAGCCAATGTGTATTTACAAGGAGATAAGAGGAGTAGAAAGCACTGCTTGGGTAAACATGTTAATCAGATGATTGCTCCTGGTGGTCCCAGAGGAGAAAGAACACAAACATAATGGGGCGTTATTTGGACAAACTAAATTAGGTCTCTGTGAGTTACTCTGTGATTTGCCTGTGCTGGCTGTGTGTCTGTCTGAGTGGAGCCATCAGGAGCTGTGTCTTCTGCCGTGTGCTGCTCTGTTTACTGGATGCTTGCTTGTCCGTTGTTCTTGCAGGTGTAGCAATGATGCAGATAGTAGGTGCTCCATGTGTTAAGGCTGGCCCCAGCGCCAACGGTAAACCAGCCGGCCGCCTCCAGCTGTAGATGGCATGGTAGTGAATGGTGTTGTCATAGTAACAGTGTATTTGAGTCTGAGTCGTGGCATGTGGTGAATGCTCTCAACATGATCATCAGTGTTCAGTGGTTCAGTGCCTCCATCAAAGTTTCTTGTTGCTTACTTAATATTGAATAGTCACTTTTTATCTTTTTGTTTTTAGGTCAGTTATGATAACATTAACTATAAGTAATGATTTAGTATAGTCAAAGTTGATAGTAAATATTTCATCGTAGTCTATAACGTATGACTATCACAAATTTATACTCAAAATGGTAATTTTGTTAGGGAATTGCGATATATGATTTAAATGAAGTTTTGGGCTGCAAACTAGGATTGCAAATAGAAGATATCTCTTAATGAGAGTTGTATGTTGTTAATTGTCTTTGCTGTGGCATGGTTGTCATTGCTTCATCTATGTCTGGTTTTCAACACACACCCAAGGCAGAGTGTTTGAAATATAAAAAAATGTATCGGTGGAGGTTCAACATCTCACAAAAGAAACTGTTCTAAAATATTCTTTGAGTGGGATATTTACCATTTGCGTTGAGTACTTGCGTTGGTAGATGGTAAATGTATGAACTATAAAGCAGATGAATACGTGACACAAAAGAGCAACAAAATTAAATACAGCCAATAAGAATTTTAGAATTTTCAAGTTTAGTTTATTTACCATTTGCAGTATAAAAAACACATTGGGAAGAAAAGGTGCAAGAAGCCAAGCATTTATTCAAATTGAGAGCAGACATGAAAAACAAGGATATCACAGCCTAAAAAAAATGCACTCAATTATTGACTACATTTGTTAGTAATCCAGTTTCTCTGTCTCTCTCTGCCCTCTCTCTCTGTTTGCTCCCCTCTCTCTCTCTTTGCTCCTCCTCAGGCATGCTCCCTGGTATGGCTCCTCCGCTGGTGCCCATGATGCATCCTCAGCTGGCTCTTTCTGCAGCCCCTGCCTCCCTCACAGGGGCCCTGCAACTCCCTGAGTGGACAGAATACAAAACTGCGGACGGAAAAACCTATTACTACAACAACAGGACACTGGAGTCGACCTGGGAGAAACCTCAGGCTGTTTTGGAAAAGGGTATGTTCAGATCTGCTATTTACGTGAGATTATATTTTACTTTTTACTCTCATGGTGCAAAATAAGTAGCTTGTAGTTGATTTCTTCCAGTAAGGACACAAATTCCTTTGTTTAGTTGAAATGAAAGTAATTTTTGTACAATTCATTGTTTTTTTTTTAAATCTTTTTAAATATTTACTTTTCTTGTTATTCAAAACACTGTGGAGGTATATCTTATTGCAATAAACATATGTGCATTTTTTTGTTGTTTTGAAGAAAAAGAGGCTGAAAAACTGGCGATGCGTTTGGCCCAGGAGGAGGCAGAGGCGATGGAGATGGAGGACGAGGAGCAGAGGATGGAAAATGCCCTGATGATGAAAGAGGTACCAATTCTGAACCATTATACATTGTTATCTGAAGAGCTACATGTCACCCTGACCTAGTCACACAGTCAACGTAGAAAGAATCACTGTAATGTCTCACCATCTTTTATTTTTAATTTTTTTTATTCTATTTAATGAGACAGGGACAGCGCACAATTTTTACATTAACCTACGCAGGAGAGATGCACTGTACCAGGTTGTAGCACCAGTGCTAATTTCCACCTGTAGTCCCTGGGCAGGTTCATTGATTGATTGTATTTAACTGACCTTGGCTATCAACTGTTCTTTCTGGAGACCTGTGTAGTATGTTTTGGGTTTGGTTTCATGGTTTAAAGTAGACATTCATCAAAAAGCCTAAATGGAAAATTGAGTTTTGATTAACTTATCCAGCTAAGCTTTGGTACTTTTTATGAATAATATGAACCCTCAAACTATTTACATTTCTTTCAGATATATTCTCTCAGTTACTGTAATAATGAATGTGGTGTGTGCTTGAGTGGTTGTTAGTGGCCAGAGGGCTGATGGCACAGACTGTCAGTTTTCCCAGGGCAGCTGTAGCTACTATATTATTAACAAAATTGTAAAGTGACTGAGTATCTGTAGAGGCACTATATAAGGCTAGTTTAGTTTTCTTTTTTAATAGTTTGTAATTGTGAGTTAATTTGTATATTGAGAATAAAATATACTTTTATTTTAGGCTAAAGAAGAGGAGATGACTGAGGAGGAAAAGGCAGCTCAGAAAGCAAGACCCGTGGCCACTAACCCGATCCCAGGAACACCGTGGTGTGTGGTGTGGACCGGAGATGACCGGGTTTTCTTCTATAATCCCACAACGCGCCTCTCCATGTGGGACCGTCCGGAGGAGCTGATTGGACGTGCTGATGTGGACAAGCACATTCAAGAGCCACCGCACAAGAAGGGTCAGGAGGACAGCAAAAAAAGTATGGAGACTGTACTTCCATCATTTACTATAAGCTGTGTTCATGATTTGGAAATGGGAAAATCTCAGAAGGAGAGCCCGTGTAGATTGAAAGGCAAGGCTCATTTTACATTCAAAAGAAAATCCACACAAACTCACTATTTTAGTCTTGTGCCTTGAAGGTCTTGTATCTTGAAAGTCTAAGAAAGTTAATCCTAGACATTTTTGTTGCCAAAATTAACTGTAATTTAGCTTTTTTATGTAATGTCAAAATCTTTAGAGATCTTTGGCCTTGTGATGACACCTGCTTTTCCCCATTCACATGGATACATATTAAATGTCATACTGACAAACATTCCACTCAAAGACATAACCTCTCCATTGAGACAGTCAAGTGGCAGACCTTTTATCAGAAAAAGTGCATAGTGCACCTTTTAAAAACTAGTATTGTTCAAAAATACAGGTGGAATTTGTCATCAGCAATTTTGGATGTTATAACTCCATGGTAGTCCTAACAGAGCAGTAACATTTGTACTCATTTTTTTTTTTAAGTCAGTGGAACTTGCAATCATAGAGATTCTAACCATACAACAACAAAACTAGAGCAGGTTAATTTGTAACCGTTATACTCTTTTGCCTCTAACTATTGATTTGAACTTGCAAAGGTATCAATAAAGACGACATGGATATTGGTGTTGCTACTGATGATCTGGATGAAGAGCCGACCAAAGCCAAAAAGAGAAAGTAAGTCTTTTATGAGACACTGTAATGCCTACTATTGTTGTAACATTTTGTGGTTAATTTGCCAACAGGAAGGAGGACTCCAAGGAAGCGGACTCCGAAAAGGATGCCGCGATGGAGGCAGAGTTGAAAGCTGCCAGAGAGAGAGCGGTAGTGCCCCTAGAGGCCCGGATGACACAGTTCAAAGACATGCTGCTTGAGAGAGGCGTATGGATTTACCTTACTTTAATACACCAATAAAATGTGGATTTAATAAGACACCTAACTTAATTCACATCTTGTGTAGGTGTCAGCTTTTTCCACCTGGGACAAAGAGCTCCATAAAATAGTTTTTGATCCTCGTTATCTTCTGCTGAACCCTAAAGAAAGGAAACAGGTTTGAATGTTTCTTTTCAACTATGCGTGAGAACAATTGTGCAAAATCTCAATGAATAGTAGTATGGATGATCGAACTGTTGGATTTGTAGGTTTTCGACTCGTATGTGAAGACAAGAGCCGAGGAGGAGAGAAAGGAGAAGAAAAACAAACTAATGCAAGCAAAGGATGAATTTAGGAAGATGATGGAGGAGTCAAAGCTCACCGCAAGGTACCAGCTAACATTTACAACTAAACTTGAAATTAATGACTGTAACATGTGCTGCTGGTTTAAATATATGCCACCATAACTGAACTTGGTAAGCCAATATTCAGTAATATATTAGGACATGTGGTGATATATACTAGTTTTAGCTGTATGTTTACTTTATTTTACAGGCACAGATTCGTACATTTACAAAAATTTACATTTATAAAAAAAAAAAAACTTGTCTGTATTGTAAGAAGTCGGGTACATCGAATTATTTAACTTTTTTTGCAGGACAACATTTAGTGAATTTGCCCTGAAGCACAGCCGGGACTCAAGGTTCAAGGCCATTGAAAAGATGAAGGACAGAGAGGCCATCTTTGTTGAGTTTATGACCGCAATGAGGAAAAAGGAGAAGGAGGACTCTAAAAACAGGGGAGAAAAGGTATTTAAATTGCCTAGTTTTTTTTTTATTATTTATTGTGACTTTTCTCATTTCATAAAAAAAAAATCTTTTAGGTCAAGCAAGACTTTTTTGATCTTTTGAGTGAGCACCACATTGAGGGAAATCAAAGGTGGAGTAAAGTGAAGGATAAAATGGAGACAGACCCTCGATATAAGGCTGTGGAAAGTTCAGCCCTGAGAGAGGAACTGTTCAAACAATATGTGGAGAAACAAGCCAAGGTACACGCTCTTACCTTTTGCCTTTTGATGATTTATTTGGATCTTTACCCTTGTGAACGAATCACTGTTATATTGAAAATCCAGCCTTAAAAAAAACAAACAGCTAAATAATCTAATACAAAATTTCTAACCTAGGAAGAAGATATTTACTCATATCACATTAAGCATTTTTTTTCTCTATGAAACAACAAAAGAGGGGATTTGTAGGCATTATTAGACTGGACAGTAAGCAGTTTGAAATGGAAGAGAAGTGTGCGAAGACACATAAGTATTTGCTATTGTACAGGTTAAGACTTTTGTGTGTCTAATGAATGGACAAATTTCTGTGCTGTTAGTTTTGTTTTGACCTCAAGATTCGAAAACTGCAAAAGTGACCAGAAGTTTCCTTTGTCTTGTGTAGAATGTGGATATCGATAAGGAGCGGGAGATGGAGCGGCAAGCGCGGATCGAGGCCAGTCTGAGAGAGCGTGAGAGAGAAGTCCAAAAGGCCCGATCTGAGCAGACCAAAGAGATCGACCGGGAACGGGAACAGCACAAAAAGGAGGAGGCCATCCAGAACTTCAAAGCCCTCATGTCCGATATGGTGAGTCTCCTCCCTGTTGCTCCAATAAAACTAAATCAGAATATATGCCGATATCAGCAAGTTAACTATAAGGCCTTAATGTAAACTCAGTTTAATTAACATTTTAATGTCACAAACTGCACCTTTTACTGTGCCTTAATGTATACTGATTACTGAGGCTTTCTCTTATGGATCAGATGGTCCACTTGATATTATGAATGACAGATATATTTTATTACCAATTTAGGCCTTATCATTTAATGTTTCTCAGTACTCCTCATAGGGTCAACTTAGTTGTGGGTTGTAGAGAGATGTGTGTGTGTGTATAAGGTATAACAAGAGACCACATATTGTGGTCTAAAGCAAGAAAAATTGTGTGATGAAGGCTTTTTGCCAAAATGTTATTTAAAAATTTGAAAAAAGCTTTTGGACATCGGCCATTTGAGTGTGCTATAAATTTTTTCACTTTTATAACACGTGATGTTACCTGATAATTATGCTAAACAAACATTTTAGCAAGATTGCATTATACAGCTTTCCTTTAATTATTTATTCTTGACAAAAATACTATCATAGATTCTGCAGACTGGGCTCATTATCTGTTTTGATTCAGGTGCGTTCATCAGATGCGACGTGGTCTGACACTCGGCGTAATCTGAGGAAGGACCACCGCTGGGAGTCTGCATCACTGCTGGAGCGAGAAGAGAAAGAGAAACTGTTCAATGAGCATGTGGAAGCTCTGGCCAAAAAGAAGAAGACTCAGTTCAGGCAGCTCCTGGACGAGACCAACATGGTGAGGGCATGTCACTGTAGAATTGGTGTCTTGAATTTAATTATGTGATAATTACAAATGTACAGCGAATATCCAAACCAGTCCAGCAAATATATTTGTTTACAGTTAATGTAACTGGTTACTTTAATGAAATCTATAGGCGCTTTTTTTGACTCTGCCATTCCAGGAATAGCACTGTATTTATCTTTTGTGTTTGTTGTTCATTTCAAGATAACGCTGACAACCACGTGGAAGGAGGTGAAGAAGGTGATCAAGGAAGACCCTCGCTGCATTAAGTTCTCCTCGAGTGACAGAGTAAGACTTCAATTTAAACTTGTAAAATGTGCTTTGTTACAAATTGAACAAGTGGCAACCGTATGAATGCATATAACCAAAGTTGTTTTGACTTGAATGAGGGCTGTTAACCTGTTGTAATTGCACAGAAAGTAAAGGAGAACTGCAGTAAATTGATGACAAAAGAAAAATCAAGCCTCTTCCTCTGTTAGGTTGGCAAACCAACACAGAAAGCATTAGAGACCAAACCTAGCGTCTCGGGGCTACGAGTCTGTTTGTGCTCTGTGACCTGACGCAGGTTAGTCAGAACGATGTTATGTTTTCACTACAGTCACCAACAACCGCCCTAAACCGGGGTCATTTACCTGTGTTAAAATAAAGTTCAACAGATATAAGTATAAGCCAGTGTATGCTATGGTCCTCTGTTCTGGCATATTCTTTTAAAATCACTTATGTTTTTGTTGTTTTTTTCTTTGGCTCATGTTTGTTTCTTTTTTCTAGAAAAGGCAGCGAGAATTTGAGGAGTACATCAAAGACAAGTACATAACAGCCAAAGCTGACTTCAGGACGCTTTTAAAGGAGACAAAATTCATCACTTACAGGTGTGTCCATGTCTACTACACAGAGTACCCATATGCTTCTGATGGCATCTATTCATCACTGTGAATATTTTGTTAACTGGCAAATGTCTATTTGTCAGTAGGCCAGGTGACCTGATCTGTATTGTACAGGTTGATGTGATTTCCACTATATATTTTCAATGACCAGTATTAAAAAAAGAAAAGGCTACTATTACTATGAGCCTTTATGAATTAAATAATCTATTGATACTGTGAATATTTGTTATAACACAACATAAATTTTATATTTTATGATTTAGCTGGCTTGATCTAGGCAATGCAAGTATAATTAGTTTTATAGGTTTCATACCACTATATGCCAGCCCCTAGATAAAAGGTCCTTTGTGATCAGGCAGAAGCTTACTTATATTAATGAATAATCATCATCTTGTAGGTCGAGAAAGTTGATCCAGGAGTCTGAGCAGCACCTGAAGGACGTGGAGAAGATCCTTCAGAATGACAAGCGCTATGACGTGCTGCAGTGTGTCCCAGACGAGCGCCGAAAACTCATCATGTTTTATATCGAGGACCTGGACAGACGTGGGCCACCTCCTCCTCCCACTGCCTCCGAACCCACCAGGCGTCCTACAAAGTGAACACCAGACTGTAGCAGCTTCATGACCAATGTCCCTCCCCCTCTACAGAATTCCCCGTTTTTGGCCAGAGCATGACCTGACCTTTTTTCTCCCTGGCCTTCACAGTGTTATCAAAATTGAGGGTTGTTTTGCTTAGGGATACACCATAGAGATTAACAATGTCTATGTTGCGTCAAGTGTAGTCCTGATTTATCCCCCAGAACAGCATGGGGCAGTGGTGACCTAAAAATTTACAATGACCCTTCCCTCCTTAGACATGAGAGGGACACGAGAAGATAAAAGCTGCAATTTGGCGGCGACCTAAGTGTAAAATAGCAGATGTAAATGGATGACAGGATTGCATTTTGTATGTGAGATTTTGAGTGTTACGTTAAATGGATGCGGGTGTGAGTGCGAGGCGTCTTAATGCCTTACATCTCCACTGGGCCCGTTCTTGTTTCAGACGCTCAGTGCGAATGTTATTAGTTTATTCTCAGTGGTTCTCTCTGATGTTGCAGCTGTTGAACGAAATAAAGGCAACTTCCACTGTTTTTTTCATTGGAGACTCTTGTGTCATTTACTCTATTATGGTAATTCTTTTGGTGGTATACTTTGTATATTAGATAGAAAATAATTGTCTTGATGTAATAATTATCCATTACCCATGCTTGCATGGATCATTAATAGTTATTATACCCTAATTTATGTTTTGTTGTTTTGGTTTAGTGGGTGAACAGTTCCTTCAGAAGGCTACTGGAATTCCAGATCAGGGTAGAGCATTTAAAGTGGTGGAAACAGTGTATATAAATCATTCACTGTAAATATTGATAAAAGCAAACCAAAAGCTAGACTCTACATTTTTAGTTTCCATTGGTCGAAAAGAGCACAACGTAAGGGTCACGTGATGTTGCCGGACGTAGATGCTCAATCGATCAGCCGCAGCACCGCAGGCTCCAGTGTCCCATTAAAACAATTTCCGTGTTTTATTCCGAGAAATCGGAGCATATAACTATTAATGCATAGCAGCAGAGAATCTGATCATTTATCGGAGTTTGGGTGGTCGATAACAGTAGAGTTAAACAGCAGCAGTAGCGATTGTAGCTAGCCTAATGTGCAGTGCCTGTGCTCTGCTGCCGCTGCATAGCCCTGTTTCCGGTCATCTGTAGCCGCTATCTCTACACTTTTGGGGTCTAGAAAAGCCATGGATACAAGGGTGTTTATGCTATTTACCATCTTGCTTCTAGAGAGGTTTACAGTCGGGGACCCGGCGGATCCCTCACATGTGGACGGTGCTCCGCCTTCAAAAATAGGCAAGGACGATTTTTGTTAACATTAACGATAAATTCAGAAAAGTCTTTTGGTGCAAGCTAATGTGTTCAGTAAAGTACTATTACTGACCATTATTATAGTCCGATCAGTCACAAAAGATAAGAAGAAAGAACGTGAGCCTTGGGGATATACTGCCCTCTGTTGTGGACTAGTACAACTATTACTCCACGTTTGGGGATTTATTTTGATTATCAGCATTTGTGGGATATAGTAGGATCAGTTACCATTGTGTTGAATAATAGTTTTATAATGTAAATGTTGTGACCTTTACTGTAGTTCAACAATGACTTAGTCTCAAGCATTTTTCTATATGCCTGGGTGACAGAAACATAAAAAAAAAAGTCCTCATATTGTTCAGGTGCATTTTCTTTTGAATTGATTTGCCTAATATCTTATTGAAAATTATGACAATGGATTTTTAATATTAATTAACATTAGTTAAATGTTATTGATGTAAGGGGTGAGAATCTAGGCTCTTCATCTACACTGTTCTCCTTATTTGCCTCTGCCTCAGCTGTGGTGGGAGCGGGCATCGGTGGTAGCTCCACAGCTCATTTCCTGCGGCAGCACTTTGGGCCCGAGGTTCAGGTGGACGTGTTTGAGAAAGGAGAGGTTGGAGGTCGCCTTGCTACGGTAACGGTTAATCACCATGACTATGAGTCTGGAGGCTCCATCATCCACTCGCTTAACCTTCACATGCAAGAGTTTGTGAAAGTCCTTGGTGGGTCTACAAAGACAAAAACTACTGCATTTAATGTTCTTGCTTAAGTCCATGTACTAAAAATGGAAAGATTCCCAGGCATAATTTTGAACCATATTTGCAATAACATTTTGTGTATGCGTCTCACTCATTGTTTCCCAAAGGTTTGAAATATCGTCGCAGTGTTGCCGGTAAAACAGCAGTCTTTAATGGAGAGGAGATGATTTTGGAGGAGACGGACTGGTACCTCTTGGACCTGTTCAGACTGTGGTGGCGCTACGGCATTAGCTTCATTCGCCTGCAGATGTGGGTGGAGGAGATCATGGAGAAATTCATGAGGTAAAAACTACATTTAGAAGTGGGCAATACTGACAAAAATAGTATCCTTCTTTTTTGTTTATTTAAATTCTCTTGATGACAAAAATCAGGTCAGATTTTGGCAATGCACCTTTTGTACAAAACTGAATGGACTTTAAAATTCAGTGCAAAATACTGTAATAATCTTATATCGTTATGTTTTATATTTTAATTCTTTTTGTAGCTTCTGGGCAGTTGTATATACTCTACCAGTGAAAGATTTGGACATATGTTAGCATTTAATGTTTTTTCTTTACCATTGACACTATACTTTACCTATTTACTTTGTAGATTTTCACTGAAGGCATCAAAATTCCTCAAAATTCCAAAAAAGTGAAAACCATTTCAGGTAACTCTATCATGAAGTTCACTGAGAGAAGGGCAAGGGTTTGGAGTAAAAGGTTTATACTTTAAGGACTCTAAATGCTATGCTATGTTATGCTAAATGCTATGTTTCATATTTAAAATTCAGAGTTACTTTTTTTCTATGGTACTTATTTCCATACATTTATTTGATGTAGTCGGTATGTATGTATTTGCAGTACACAAAAACTTTGCCTGGTTCAAAACTACTGATTTAATATGCTCTTCCATCTAGACAATATATTGCCCACCTCATGCCATATTGTCTTACCTTATTTGATATTAGAGCACATCTGAGCCTCTTAAAACAGCACAGTGGCATGCTGGGTAATTGACAGGATGTAATTATGGTGCCACTTTGTCTAATTTATAATCAGCACCATGCTTGGATAATGGAAGTCGGTGACATTAGCTTAAATTTATATATGGCTTTTCAAATGCAATGCTACTTATTTTAGCCCACAATTACAGTCTGTGTTGTTGACTGTGAAGATACAGGAGGGCTAATAATGTAATGCAAGCCACACACCACTCATTTCACCAGAACCTCTATAGAGAACCTTGGGCATACAATTAAGGGTGAAGTACAGACGTGGACAAAATTGTTGGTACCCCTCTGGCAATGAAAGAAAAATCAACAATAATCACTGAAATAACTTGAAACTGGGAAAATCAATAATAAATAAAAATTTACTGAAAATGATCCAACAACAATCAAACATTGTTTTTCACCTGTGGTTCAACAGAATTATTAGAAAGAACAAAATAATGAAACTGCCCTGGACAAAAGTGATGGTACCCTTAACTTAATATTTTGTTGCACAACCTTTTGAGGTAAGCTCTGCAAGCAGACAATTTCTGTAACTGTCAATGAGACTTCTGCCCTGATCAACAGGTATTTTGAGGTATTGTGCTTCATTTCTGTGTCTGTGAACATAGAGCTGATGTGTCTTGCTAAAGAGCTCCAGTTTTGTCTCGTCTGTCCAAAGGACATTCTCCCAGAAGCTTGGTGCCTTGTCAATATGCATTGTGACAAATTTCAGTCTCACTTTTTTATGATTTGCTCTCAACAGTGGTGTCCTCACATGAAGTCCACTTTGGCATAAACAGTGACAGATGATGCAATCTGACACTGACGTACCTTGCCCTTCAAGTTCACATTTAATTTGTTTGGAGGTTGTTCTGGGCTCTTTGGTTCCATTCCTATGATCCATCTCTTCAATTTGTCACCAATGTTCCTCTTGCAGCCACATCCAGGGAGATTGGCTACTGTCCTATGGACCTTAAAATTGTGAAGAACATGTGTAACAGTAATCACAGGAACATCAAGCTGCTTGGAGATGGTTTTATGGCCTTTATCTTTAACCTGCTTGACTATCATTTTCTTTCTAGTCTCCTGATACAGTTCTCTTCTTCTCTTTCTCTGGTCCATGTTCAGTGTTGTCTCCATCATGTCTCCAAACAGCACAATGACAACATGTCCCCCTTCAAACAGGCAGACTGATTTAGGACAAGTTTGAAAACATCTGTGATGCAGATTGGAGGACACACCTAAGTTTAACATGTCCCCATTGTTCAGTTACTTACAATCTTTTCTAGGGGTACCATAATTTTTGTCCAGGCCAGTTTCATTAGTTGTTTTTTTTTTATATATATATATATATAATTCTCTTGAACAACAAATCAAAAACAGTGTCTGATTTTCATTGGTTATTTGTAAGGAAATTTTTATTTATTATTGCTTTTCTCAGTTTCAAGTTATTTCAGTGCCCATTGTTGATTTTTCTTTCCTTACCAGAGGGGTACCAAGAATTGTGTCCACGACTGTATATCATCAGACTACCGTATTTTTCGGGCTATTAGGCTATCTTAAGCCTCTAACTCCATCAAAAAAACGGCCGCACGCCCCCCAAGCCAGAGCACCCTATACACGAATCCACTCGGGTGTCCCAGCACAACTTCAGTAAACTACAAAGCCGCACCACCCGCAGCGCATGCAAACACGCACGGAGCAGACAAATACCGCGCAGCGAAACAAACCCACAGCCACAATCATCACTCCGTGCGGACGAGGAATGGAACGGACGAACAAACCGAAAAAGCGAGCGCAATGTGCCACTCTGAGCCACAACTGAACAACTGAGTCACTGCGAACATGCCAATAATCCCAGACAGCACCCTCCCTAGGTGCCACAGTTGAACAAAGCCAAGAGTCACTGTGAACGCGCCAAACAAAGTCCCACTGAGCCATCCAACTGTTGTGTTTCGTTTAAAGTCCAGTGCGGTTTATTTGTGAAAAAAGTTTGAAAATAGACCATTGTATGACAGTGCGTCTTATAATCCAGAGCACCTAATAGCCCGGAAAATATGGTACTTAACAACATTATTTTTAATACTGTTTTGCTGGTTTGTGCAATTATTTTGACAGGATAATAAGCAATGTGAAAAAAGGATAAAGAGAGGATACCCCACAGCTGTAGTCCATTAAGTTCTATCCATTGATTGTTACTATTGACATACTACTCACGATAGTTCCTTCTGGCAAATGAGGAAATTAGGAACTGACTATGACGATGAGCTGAAAAGCAGTGAACCATCTGTGAACCACATCTTGGATGGAGAATTGTCGAGAAACTCCGAAAACATCAATGACTAAAATTACCAACCAACTCGTAACCGTGCCACCCAGCCAACCGAACCAGATATAATCATCCATATAAGTAATCTAATACACCCTTGTTTTTGTTTTGTTTTTTCTCCATGCATTGTCCCAGAACCAACTACCAATTGACATAGTTTTAAGACAGATTTTGGACACCTTTAAAAGTTGGCTGGCAAAACATTAACATCACGCACTCCCTCTCCCTTTATTGGTGTGATATCCACTTAGAGTTTGACGATTAATCAACCAAAACCAGAGGATAATAAACTGAACTAAATTAATCCTTTGGAAACTTTCTCTTTATGATCAAACACAGCTCAGATTTTCAGTTTATAATTTCAGCCCTCCCTGCTTCCTTCCTCAGGAAATTGTCTCAGTTTTCCCTTCGTCATGAAAAAGATCAGAACATCTGGCTCCTCCTTGTATTAGTGTTTAATCTCTATTTAAAATATTTCTATTATGTAACATATTAAGAGGTATTTATAGCCATGTTTGTTTGTTTGTTTAGACTCTCTATGCTCCTTAATATAGAAGAAAACTTTGACCTTGAGTATTACAGATTAATTTGATATAGGACTGTACATATAAACATGTGCTATGTATAGACTCAAGAATGTACTTTAACAACATTCACATTTTATTTAATTAAGAAGGCATTTGGACCTGTCTAATCCACTACTTTCCTGTACTCTCTACATTCTGCTGCAAAGACCCTATTCAAAAACATGTATACAGAGATTTACTAGTACATAGCGTCTTTGTAAATGAAAAGGCAGATTAGACTGTCCCTCACTCACACTCAAAACTAGAGTTAACTCAGTCAATGCATTCTGTTTCTGCCATTGTCCAAATAAGTCTATGTAATCTAATACACAAAATAATGGTCAACTAATACACCAATGACCGACCGATTAATTGATTCAACGATTACAATTTAGATGCATCTGTGTGTTCTAATTTGCCATAAGAAACTGTTTTCATTGTAAATTGTTATAAACCTGTTTGGTGCAGGATCTACAAGTACCAGGCGCACGGTTACGCTTTCAGTTCGGTGGAGGAGCTGCTGGACTCTCTAGGGGGCACTGGGTTTTTAAACATGACCCGAAGGCCGCTCTCTGATTCCCTGTTGGAGCTGGGTGTGTCCCAGCGCTTTATCGACGAGGTCATCGCTCCCATCATGAGGGTCAACTATGGGCAGAACGTTAGCATCCCGGCATTCGTGGGTGAGGCACAGTTTTGATTTATTTATCAGCAACAATCCACATAAAAAAGAGCCTGTTTACCTACACAACTGGGTGTATTGATATCCATTTAAAGTATTTGATAGTGTGAAATATTGCTTCTGTTTACAACTATAAATGAATATCTGCACATATGCTTACTATATGTGAAGTCTTCTGTACAGTTGTAAGTCAGTAAAAGTTTTGAAGCACAGAGGGGAAAAAGAGAGAGGTGTGAGAGGGTGATGCAGGTGAGAGGCAGGTGTGGGGCAACGGGTAATTGGTTGTTGTCAAGTTCCAGAATGCACTGACGTCACACTGTCAGATGGAGCTGGAGCCAGTTTACTTGTGTAAGGTATTTTAGCAAAAATAGCAAAGGAAAATCCACAAATTTTGAACTAAATTATTGATCATATAATCCATTATCATGCTATTTATAAGTCTAACCACATAAAAATATCAGAGGACTATAAATAGACCTAAGACATGCACATAGCTGTAGGTACTGGTGCCCTAATTCCTGCCTCAAGATTGAGCGCTATTCCTTTTCTGGATGTACCCAAATGCAGTGAACAAATGATCCTACAGGACATTAAAGCAAACTAATACTACAATAATAAACATGCTAGCCTGAATCAATGTGTAGGGCTGGATGCCATTGGAGTGTGGTAATGTCTCCTTAAACCCAGCCATCAGTTTACCCCCTCTGTCTGCTGTGTGTATCAGGAGCAGTGTCTTTGGCTGGAGCTCAGAACAACCTATGGTCTGTAGAGGGAGGAAATAAGCTGGTGTGCTCTGGACTGCTTAAAATGGCCAATGCAAACCTGCACAAGGCCCACATCACCTCTGTTTCACCCGTCAAATCAGGTATGCTCCCTCTGTTTTCTATTCAGAGAGTTTGGTCCAAGACATCTTTCCACCATCACACTAGTACCAAAAAATAACATGACAAAAGTCACCAGTGGCTGAAAAAAAAGATGTATTATTCAAATTCAAAATTGACTAGAGCTTTCAACCATGTCATAATTGTTTCTTTTTCCCATTTACACACTTAAAGTTGTATTCAAAGTGAACTGGAACTCTGTGAACGTGTTCTTTTATTAAGTTGTTTTAGATCAATATTGAGATTTAAAATGTCCAGTATAACACAGCGATCCATGTGTGTCATATATTCTAACTATGTAGCAGACAAAAGCACAATATGTATTCTTTAAGAAATATGTTTAATTATTCTATAATTTGATCAAAAGCACAGTTATGATTATTTGCAACAGTAATAAATATAAATTTAAAAAATACTAACAGAAATTGTGATATTTTTGATATGATACACCTGGGTTGCCAATTTGAGACCCCTTTATTACATTATTTGATTTTATCAATCTAAAACAATTATGTGTTAATATCTCAATTCACAAGGAAGAAAAACAAACGAAAACAGCAAAAGCAGCCTACTGACAATTAGATGTTATTACAAAAAGGATCCCCATGGAAGATGCTCATATGTGTCTCTCAATATCACAGTTATTACATCAATACTTCAAAAAGCAACATTTTTCAATTTGGTAGCCTGCTGGAAGAAGCTGTTTTGAACCTGCTTGTTCTAGGTTTAGTTCCCAGAGGCCTTTGTGCTGTTTAGTAACACAGCTCATTTATTCATATTTATTTATCTTACTTGTTTCACAGGAGACATTCTTCAATACCGTCTCAGCTACACCTCAGAAACCACCTCTGGCTCTGACCTTTACGACATTGTGGTGTTGGCGACGCCCCTCCAGGAGAGCGTCCAATCAGGGATCAAGTTTGAGGACTTCACCCCACCCTTCGACCAGCTGCCCGGTTACTACCACAGCACTGTTGCCACTATTGTCCACGGATACCTCAACACCACGTTTTTCGGTTTCCCAGACCCGAGACTCTTCCCGTTCGCCAGCGTTTTGACTACAGATAGACCCCAGCTGTTTTTTAACAGCGTGGCCAGTATTTGTCCTGTCAACATCTCTGCAGGTTTTAGGCGAAAACAGCCACAAGAAGCAGGAGTTTACAAAGTGTTCTCCCCTCAAGCCCTGGACAAGAGTCAGCTCAAATCACTCTTCAGGTCAGTCACAGGAAATATTACTCCTGTAATCTGCTAAAGTCCATTTACATCACACAGTGAAAGAAATAGAGAAGTTATGGAGGTTTTCTCTCATATACATTGAGACATAGATGGCAGACTCCAAAACAATAGCCATAGTGGAGCGGCAGTGACTCTAATCAAAACTACCACTCTTAGGTAAAACAGGTCACCCACATTGCTTTGTACGAATGTAGTGTGTATGTTTCGGAAGGGCCGATGGCGCAGATTGACAGATGGAGAGCTACAATAGAGTGAGGACTGCATTAATAATACTCAAGTTCAGTGTTTTATCTTATTAGTAATATATTATTTGTATGTAAGAAAATTCAAATACGGTACATATTGCACACTCATCTTTCTTCTGTGATTCCAGGTCGTATTACTCAGTGCAGGTGACAGAGTGGCTGGCTTACCCCCGTTATGGCAGCAGCACAGGCCTCCCCTCCATCGAGCTCCACCCGAATCTGTACTACCTGAACGGGATTGAGTGGGCTGGCAGCGCCATGGAGATGAGCTCAGTGGCCGCTAAAAACATTGCGCTGCTAGCTTACCACCGCTGGAACCGTCAGGGCGACATGGTGGACCAAAAGGATTTGATGCACAAGATCAAAACCGAATTATGACCCAGAAAGCAGAAGACAAGGACTCACTGGTAAAACTGTGCCTGACTTTATAACTGCGAGTGCATGAGTTGATATGGTTATAGAAGCAGTAGGCTTTCCCCTCAAAGCCCCATTACAGAAATCTATACATGCTACTGCAACTGAAATGCTCTAGTCTACACTGGTCGGAAGATGTAAATATTTAATGCTAGAGATGTAAGAATTCACTCAAGTCATGTTTATTGTTATCTTTTTATTTTTATTAAAGTTGACTTTTTAATATTATTAACATAAAAAGGATAATTCCAAACAGGTTTTATTTATTTAAAAATGTATAATCATTATAATGTTGCAATTGTCTTACACAATTTTTGGACATTCAAATTCATTCATTCATTGGGTTGGTGATAAACTATACTGTAGCCACAGCTGCCCTGGTGCTGACTCAGTGAGATATGGCTGCAAATTTGCTTCAGCGGCAAGGCAGATATGGTGAACTAAATGTATCTTTTACTATCTATTTAATGGCTTCGGAAAGGGAAGTCCACAATGTAACATGCTCACAGCCATATAACATGTACATCATATAAAGTTCATGAAACCTCAAAGTACAGTAGCATTGATGCCTGAAGCTTTTACACAACAGCATGAAATGAGCTATTTGTGAGATCTAAACATTGACATAGTGTCAGTAGCCACTACAGCTAAGATCATAGTATTTATTGTTTTAAAGCAATTAAAAAGTCAACAGCGTTATAGAGTTAGAGAAAGTAAACTGCAAAGAAAGGAGTGTTAATAATGGGATGTATTTTGAATACTTTCTTAACCCTGACCACAGGCCTACAGTTGAAAGGTTCTTGGGTTTTGTTTATCTAGGAGGTTGAATAGTATTTTAAAAGTAGGCTATAGTAATCCTGAGTCTGTAGCTTTCAGTTTATAGAAGAACATTCATTATATTGTGTAGCTCCTAGTTAATATCTGGATACACAATTTTAGAAAGCAGTGACCTTTTCTGTGCCATCTATTCTAAGATGATTAAGCTGTTTAATACTGCAGAATGTGTTTGCATGTTTCTAGTTAGGCTTTAACCACTAATACAAGTGTGACTGCTGCTGGCATCTGCTCTGTGCCAAGAAGTGAATCCAAGCCGCCTTTTGATAACTCGGATAATATTTGTATGCACCGGAGAACAGCATCTGAGCTTATTTATCAAGGCTTTGGTTCAAATGAAATGAAAGATGAAAGATGAAATTAAAGAATGAAAGATAAATCAGCCTATCTTACTGAGAGTTTTCATATTATAGACAATACTTATTAAAATATTGCAATAGAGTGTCTTTTCAAAACAACTACAGTATTTCACCTATCTGTACTAACAGGTTATTATTAAGCTTGTATTATGTCTAAAGTTATTCAATAAAAAGACATCAAGCGGTTAGACTGGCAAGTAGTAATTAGTTGTATTAAATGTCCTCTAATGGAGTTACTATTTATGTGCTGTTTATTTGATCTTAGCATGTGCAGCCAAACCTATTTGTAAAGTAAAAATAGTTTGGCTATAGCTTCCCTTAACAACAGTTTCTCTCAAGCAGAAAGTAAACAGTGTCCCTTTATTAATACACGTAGTATTTACTATGTTAATGTATTTACTCGGTTTTCTCTTCTTGGCTTGTTTGGTATAACACATTCCTTTCCCCTCTTTTGATATTGGTTATAATTATAGCCAAGAAGTTGTTCATTCCATAGCACTAACTGAAATACAAACTATTCAACCACTGCTATTTGAAGCATTAAACAACTGGTAATAACACATTTGGTTTATCTGGTTAACCTCATTACTGTAGTACATGTGTAAGTTAATTAATCATGAGTCATTTACTGTCCGTCACTGCTGTGGCCTCTTCCATTATCTGTTCTTCCTGCTGATGCTTTTGTTGCATAATCCAGTGGAAAGAATGTTTTTAGGCAGCGCAGCCAATGCGCCTCAATCAACACTGGACCAAACGTACAGGCCGCATCCAATTTTAACGTGATAGTTATTCAATCTTGTGTAACCTTAGGCAAACAGTTGGATTTGTATTTCGTTGTTTTTTATCTGAAAATGGATAATAAATTCTGTTCTATTCTACCTTTCAAATGAAAAACATGGAAACTTGGACTGTGATAGAACAATAGCTCGTTTTTAGATTACACAGATTACTTTTTCCATTCATTCCATTCCATTAATAAAATATAATGCATACATTTAAAAAAAATGTGCTGATCAGAACTTAAACTCAGTCCAATAAGCTGCTGGTGCTTGTGGAATAAACATTTGTCTTCACTTATATGTAACTTAGTTGCCTAGCATGTTTTTTATAATTTGATCAAGAATTCACTTAATCAAGTTACTTGTTCAACTTGCACATTAAAGTCTAATTTGTATATGAAGCTATTATGTTTATTTGTTACAGTAATGCCATGCAGTTCTGTTCTAGAATAGAAAAAAATTTAACCATCTTTCAGGCACCAGCAGTTTAATCAAATGTTCTGTTGTATCTTAAATGCTCACACAGAGAGTAATTTGTCATTTTTACTTTTGACTTAACTAGAGACCATAAAGCCTGGGAGGCTTGTTCAGTTTGATGTTTTCAGTCACAAGAAGAAAAAATGAAATAATTTGAAAAATGACAGAGAGGCAAATGTGAAATGTGTTATAATTTTATCATGAATAAAGAAACCTCTGATATACTCTGTTACTTGAAAATGTACTGAATGAACAATGTTTACTTCTAATATTTAAGTGTTAAAGGTGCATTATGTAACTTTCCTAGAGGAAGATATGCCACTTGGTTTCCACCATGGAGATGTTATTGCTTTTCCAGTATGACATTAAACTTATCTATGTTGTTTTTACTCAAGTACAGGTGTTTTTATTCCTCAAAAATACCTTGGACATGCATTCTCAATACTAGGCGGGGTCAACTCTCTTGCTTGTTTCCATGAAGATAGATAAGCTATATGAAACCTTAGCAAAGCAATAACATCTCTATGGAGCTGAGCGGGCGGAGGACCCCATCAGAAAAGTTACAGTGCACTTTTGAGGTGTGCTTTAAATGTCGTATAGCACATAATTATGGGCCATGGGTACAAACCCTACCTCCAGTCTGATGCCCTGGTTCTTATTTATAACGTGAAGTAAAATATAAATATTTATGTTATAATATAAGATTTGGATGGGGGAATAAACCAAACAAAATAAAGATTTCAGTTAGCCCATAACTTTGTGAATATTTGTCTTCATATATCAGATATTTTAACTGAAACCACACTTGGAATGTGTTAGAAGCTTTTCACTGAAACAATTCAGTCATTTGCTGCATCAATATTGTGTTGATATGTCAATTATAAACCTTATTAATGTGACTAAATAATTACGAATGGATTGTGATTGGGAGATTTTATAAAAAATGTTGTAAAAACAGCATTGTGAAAATGTATATTTTAGATACAACAACAATATAGCTCAAACTGACTTTTACCTCTCACCCTGTTAGCATTGACTTGGTTTTCTTTAGTCAAACAAAAAAATACATTTGATGGTTTGCAGGGTCATAGTTTCACTTTCCTGTGACAAAAGACTTTTCAGAAGAATGTGATTTTTTAAAAAAAAGAAAGAAATGTGAGAGATTACATTATTATATGTGATGATTTTCTTTTGACTCTTTAGCAAAATCTGGATTATAAATGGCCTATTAATAAATGCTAATATTCTAGGCCAGACTAGAATTCATGTTTTCATTCCAATATTTTTGTATCATATATTTACTTAATAAGGTCAGACAGATTAATTTTAGTTATTGTACTGTAAATAGACTTTTCTGGTCTCCTTTGTTTACATATTAACTCAACATAAAATTTGGACATGGTGTAACTTCTAACTTGATTGTTTACATAAGGTGGTGCTGAGTCACTTTGAGCAAGATGCAACGCTTAGGTAATCATCAAGGTCATGACCTCCACTATGCAGAAGCTCATTGGTCACTGGATCTCTTTTCCTCCAAAAAAATAAATAAAAAAATAAAAATTCACCGATAATTAAGACCCACCCCATCCTCTGTAGGTTGCTGCATAAAAAAGAAACTATGCAAGAACCAAGAAGGTTCTTGAAGACAAGATGAAAAGCAAGTCATGATGACTTTTTTTTTTTTTTTTTTTTTTTTTCTAGTTATAAGATCTATGGTTTACTTTATGTAATTTAGTGTAGGCTAAATTATCATGTTACATAAAGTTTATCATATAAACAGTAAGTAAATAAACATAATTTAATTGATTCATTTTATTTAAAAAAATATTCCAAACTGATGTTTAATCTCACATTATTAATGCTTGAATTGGCAATTATACAAGCATAAAGGCATTATTTTAGACTACTAGATGATCTATATGCTCTTATCATATTTTCCGATCAATTTTAATGTTTCAGCAAAAATCGTGACCCGTCATAATTAAGCGGAATTCCAAAAATGAACTTTTAAAGGTAATTTACTGATTACAATCTACAATGAAATATTACAGTCTCGGGGGTCGCTTTTGATTGGCCTTGGGGCACACCACGTGACGCGAGCAGTCACGCGCTTTCCAGGAACCCGTCAGGAAGAAGAAAAACAAAACAAACCTTAGCAGCTTCTAAACGAGCAGCGTGCTGACTTCATTGACAAAAAGTGGGCCTGTGATCTTCTCTACAAGGTTTAACACGAAGACAAAGCGCCCTAAGAGTGAGTACTGGCGTTTTGGATGCGTCTGATTGTGACTTTGTCGAGTGTCATGTCGCCGTTTTGCCCCAGCGCAGCGGAGGATTAGCAGCAAGGCTAATGTGCTAAAGGCAGCAGCGAGAATCGGGGATCGAGAGCCTGGGACCAAGCCGAGAAAGGGATCCAGGGACAGACAGGCGGCTAGAGAGGGACAGGAGGCCAGAACTGCAGCAAAGCGGAGAGATCAGGCTTAAATGGGGAAGAAATATTCGGTTGTTCCCCTTTTAGAATAGTTTTGGGGGAAAGTAAAAGGTGTTATTGTGGTTCTTATCAGGAGTTAAGCAGGAAGTAAAGAGCTAGCGTTTTAGCAGACCATAACAAACGCTCAGAGATGTCAAAGCGTGTCCAATTTACCATCATATTGTGCATTTGATTGGCCATTGACACTTAGAAATGATCATTTTATCTATACTGGGTTGTACAAGTAAGCATCCCCCCTGTGGCCCTATCTTAATTTGCCTAATTACCGCGGTTCCTCTCCGGTTTTGTTTGTTATTTTAGTCTTGGTAAGAGGATGAGCATCTTTAACAACCGATTAGTCACTTTTCGCATGTATAACAGTCTTTTTGAGCCAGAAAGACTCTAGCTACAGCGGACTTTTGCAGACTGCCCGAATGTTCTCGGTGGGTAGGTACACGCCCCCCAACACACACGGCTGTTGCTGTCAAAAAACTCGACCCAGCCGAAAATGTACACATGATTTCTAGAAATAATGGCTTTATAACTTGACATAGCATCTTACTACTTACTAAATTCTCGCATTTTTGTTTGTCAAACGCGTATTTTGTCATTTTTTCCCGTCTAGTATTGTTGTATTCGCTTTAAAACATGTGCTCTGTCTCTGTCAAAGTGGTTTCGCTTGGTTTTGCGATGAAACGCTTTCAAATGTGGTTAATCTTCTGTTATTTATAGTTTTAAGTCAAATTCAACGCTTTAAAACCTAATCTAGGCCACGGGAACACAGGCCTCACACTTGTTTATCGTCGCTCTCAACCTACATTGAAGCGAGCTGTTTATTATGAAGTGGCTTTGCAGACGGACACGCTCGACAGCCAATCAGATACAATCGGGGGTGGGCCTTTGTTTGCATTGGCCCAATGGGAATGCAGGATTACGTGGGTGTTGGCACAGCGAGTTAGATGCAGCTTTTGTTTTGCTTTTCCGTGGAGCTGTGATGCGAGCAGAGACTGGGAACATGATGCTGACATTTCTGCCTTTATCCTCGGTTCGTACTAGCAGCTTTGTTCGCTCATGTCCACATCATGTTTGTGAGCTATGTGGTGGTTGTTGCCATGTTGTTTTTGCCTGTACATCAGTCACGTGTTTCCCGATAAGCTTTTTGTCATCCCTCTCTCTGTTATATAGGAGTACATTACGTTCCAGTCTTTATGTCCAGCGTGCCTGCCCTTTTCCCATGCAATAACGTGGCCTCCTTTGTTTGTGTAAGCATGTAGAAAACTGCTTTGTTCATTGTGGCCTCACCAGCAGATGCATTGTCCAGTGGCTTGATGCATTCATACGTGTCTATTGTTCCAAGCATGTGAGCTTTACATGCATTATATTCACGTGGCAGTTTGAGATAAATCATATTATAAGTAATGATTACTCTATTATTTGAGCTCCATTGCATCATGCATATGTTGCCTAGGACTTACTATGTAAAATCTGGAGCAATAACATCATGTTCTTATACAGTGATATTAATTGGTTATGTCATTTGACTTGTTAAAATGGCTGTTTTTAGATTGGATTTTAGCCTACATGCGGCTAGATTAGGTTTTGATGGCAAGCATTGTCAATCATTAATCGCTTTTATTTCCGACTGTAGTTTTCCACAAAGTGCTTCTGTTGTGTCGTTGTGACAAGGCATTAGGAACTCTCATCACAGTCAGGTTTAATATGTGCAAGGTTTGTTTCTAGTGGCCACTTTTCATTATTTTCACATTGCAGGTGTAGATGACATTGTAGTTCACATGCAGTTCTGGTAAATCTAAAATCCACTGTACATTTAACAAAAGTGCTAAAGGCAATAAAACTTCACAATTACACATTTTATTACACACAATTATAAATTGTTATTATTAATATTAAAATTGTGACTGAAAGAGACACAATTATTTCAGACAATTTACCTTTTTATTATACTTGTGCTGTTTGCTAAAAATGGCATAACACTTTTTCTGCTGTTGTTTATTTTTCCTTCAGAATTAATTTACTCCCAAACAGTGATGTGTATTACTGCTTTGTGATAATCTCTACTCACTTTGTTCATTTACAAAACACTCTCTTCGTTGTAAGCAGGAAATACAGCTGCAACTCAATGTACACTTCCTATAACTTTCTCAAATGACTCCTGCAAAGATGTTCTGCTATATTATCTGAGTATATTAGCTTCAGCATGCACTAAAGCATTTAAGCATAGCATTTAGAGTGCTACTGCACTTTTGACTGTTAGAAGACCTTTTTTGTGATATGCAATGAAACAAACAGTAGAGGGTAGATGGCTACTTCTTTATGATTTGAAAATGAACAATGGGTGATGTAATGATATCCAAGACTCACTTATGCAATATTTTGGAGAAGTTAACAGAATGCTATGCATCTTCTTCCTTTAGTGTCATGACTTTAAAAATCAAGAGAATTCAGATTTAAGATATAAGCAGTTATATGCTCTGTTCACCCTTACCAGAGGACGTTGAAAACATGCGGATGACCACTTCCGGTGTAGTTACCAACATTGGGCATGTGATAAAACCATGGATTCAGCAGCAGCGTCTTCACAACCTGCCAAAGATTTCCATGGGGGACGTGACTCTAATCGCAGCTTTGATGTCACTTACAGGCAGCTGGTTGAAACTGTTGATGTCCTGAACATAATGAAATGCTACAATGAAAATTTTTTATTTTTTATTAGACAAATTATAATACACAAATTAATAGGCAGTTCATAAAAGGAAAAAAGAAAGAATACAATGACATCTAGATGAAGAAAACCGGACTATGTTCTCAGTTTTCCCAGATTTTAGTAGAGTTTAGAGTTACTATCGCTAACAGACCCCATAGGAAGTCATCATCTGCATGTTTCCAAGCGTCTTCTGGTTTTGTGATGTAAGCTTGAATAGAGCCTATTTCTTTATGTAATATGCAGTGAAATGGAGTAATGGGTCTATGTAGTTCCATTTTGTTTATAGGTTATCGTTATATCACTAGTAAGAAATCTCCTCTAGCACCTACATCTTAACAGAAGCCCTTCCATAGAGACTACTAGCATTAAATGCACCAAAACAGGCCTTATTTCACGATTGTTGGTTAATGTAATTTTGTAGTCAAACTTGCTGATATTTGTGTAAACAGAGTGCTGCTCTTATCTGGTGTGGTATCAGCGCAGACGGTCTCAGATAAGACGGACGAGAGTGGCCCAGTTGGAGCATGGCCAGACTGTGGAGAATGTGAGCTGTGTGCAGTGATCACAGCACACAGCACAGGCAAATTCTGTTTAAATATATCAATCTTTATACAATATTTATATCATAAAATCACATGAGTGTTTTGGGGGCAAATGTGGCATTGTCATTTCATGGGTCTTTGGTATGATATTAATAAAGGTGGTTAAGGTGGTAATAATGGTTATTATTCAGTTTTCGGTAGTTGCTTTTGCCCATAATATGAATAACTATTATTATTAATTATAAGTCTGCTTCTTTTATTATCCTTTTACTCCCCAGTCACATTCTAGTGCTACTTCTGAAGGCACAGCCATCCTGGGCAAACTGATAGACATGTGGCTATGTTGGTGAAGTGTCTAAGCCAGACACAAAGACAAGATGTACTGCCTTGATTTCTCCAGTTAATTCAATTCAGTGATCAATAGATGGATGCTAGCTACTTAATCATTTTGCAAATGGTCAAATGAACTGGTGAGAATCTGAATTCTATGACAGTGATTTTGTATCTTTATGCTCATTGTTTAGCATCATGTTCAGACGTGATGGAACTGTGGGCGCTGTTGGTGTCACTCCTCTGGGAACAACTGTCCTTTTGCACAAATGACAAGATCATTTGTAACAGGCCCCACGGCTCTTGGAGGAAACGGTGTACAGTCTGGATCAGACTGATACACAACGGCCTCAATACCTTAATATAATGCAATCATTTCTTTGACATACACTTAAGACCGATTATTGTCTATCGTTGTATAATCAATAATTGAGAATGAAAGTGAGTTTTGATTAACTCTTAAAGCTACATGTTTTAGTTGGTGAGATTCATTTGCCTAGGGTAATTTCTAACCACACCAGAATATTGTAGCTCTTGTTTTGCTACTGAGATATTGCATACGCTGATACAGCAGCAGTGACCGTTTTAAAGCTAGTGTGAAAGCCACATATCGAGTCCGGAAATGATACAGATGTAAAAACATCATAAGCAACAATAGCGTAACATTATAGAGCAGAGATGGAGAGGTTCAATGTGGGCCCAGAGTCACTGTGATCAGGGCACACTTTGAGTCATTAGTGATGAACCAACACAAGCACATCTCACTCTGAATGACACTTTCACATTATTTCCTCGTTCATGTCGAGATACACGACTATTTTTGTGTCTGTTTTGCAAATGAGTTCCTCTTCGAGAATGTTATTTACAATCAGCTTTTTTCCCAAGGCAAAACAACAAAAAATGTTTCAGCATCGTATAAATACTTATTGCTGTGTCATTTATAAACCTAGTGGCATTTAGTAAGGTCTTGCCTTCGCACTACATGAAGCAGTCATTGCATGTAATGTACTAGAGCTGATCAATTAAGAGAAAAAAAATCATGATTATTTGGGTCATGATCATAATTATTTGAAATAATTATTTAAATACTCTCAAAAGTTACCCTGTGTAGAGGTAGAATAGACTGAAATGATTTGCTATGTTTTGTGGGGCAGAAGGAGCACCCATATCATTCAAAACATAATTGTTATGTTATTGGAATTGCAGTACCCTAATTGAAATGGCATTTTAATGTATTTTATCACACATCAGAGAGAGTTGATGACCAAGTCCGATAATGCACTAATGCATTATGTTGATGCAAATTTTCTAATCCTGGATTTGGTATCGTACACTATCTTGAACTAATAATCTTGTACCTTTACAGTCAGATTTTGGTGTTTTGTTTTAAAATCAAGAGTCTGCACATTTTAAACTCATCCAGCAGCATTCTGTTTGATAATAGACTGAATATTAACTGCTAAAATAACACAAGAATCCCACACATGTTTGTAGAGGTCTCAGAGTTCAAGGGGGTATATTTTAGAAGACATTGTTACTTATTTCATACTTAAATAAATGCTCCGTTTGCATTTGCATAAAATATGTTTACATTGTATTTTCTGAATTTGTTTTTTTTTTCAAACTGCAATTTCAATTTGTTTGGGATTAACCTTGCAGCTCTAGTGTCCAGTGGGCTTGATAAAGTAGTGGCTATTAAACCCTGTGTGTGGATGTGGCCGAGAGGTAAGGATCGGTGAGTCATTTTGTCCCTGTTGTGTGTTTGTACATTTTACAATCAAAAGCAGGTGAATCTGAGGCGGAAGCAGACCAGAAGAGAGGCGATGGTAATCAGACTCCATGCTGTTAGAGTTATTGCCTGTTATGTCACATTGTTGTATATTGTTACGTAAGCTTCTCTATATGCTCTTGAATGCAGCTGCAATGTTGAGAAGAGGGCCAGGAGCTCACTGTGACTGTAGTATTTGAGTGCAGCCCAGAGGTGAAAAGTTTATCCGGGACAGGAAGTGATGTGCTGCCTTCAAACAGGCACATGCCCTCAGCTGTTTACCGCCTACAATGAGGTTCTCCTGTATTTGTTTAAATGCAAAAAGAAGCAAAAGGGAAGACTGACTTTACAGTGTATAGAGGAGAAGAGAAGTCAAAATCTTTTCATTTGTTTGAGAAGTGACTGTAAGTCTTCCCTGATTGTAGGGCTGGGCAAAATGGCAAAAAAAAATCTAGACACTGGACGATTACGATTTTAATCAAAGTCAGAGCAGGGACTACTCATCTCAGCAGTGGAAACTCTTTGCATTTTCATTCCTATCATAGCTATTTAAGAAATTGTAACCCACCTTAAATTACATTTGTATAGATATTTACTCGTAATTTCACAATGACCCCGCTTTGCAAGTAAGAAATCCAGAGCTGTCTTGTTTCATAATAATCGTAGATTTCATGATTTTGCAATTTTTTCCAAATCTGGTTTATTAAAAACCCCAATTGATCCAATTAATTTGATAATTTGAATAATTGCCCAGCTCTAATTGGTTTACTTAAAGCTGTTATAGGCACTAATTCCAGCAGAAAGCCAGACTGCCTGCAGATCTGCTTTGAATGAGAGAAGAACAGTATAACATTGCTAGTGTTGTAAATGCAGATATTAGCAAAAGGGGAAAAAAAAGAGAGACACTATATAATACTGTCATGCTGTATTTCAACAGGCATTTTCTTGATTGAGAACCATTTATAAACAGCCACATGAAGACCCATTTTTTCTAGTTAGCTTTGTTGTTAGTTCAGTGGAAGCAGTTGACTATCACATAATTGTTTCTCTGTCGTGGTGAGAGAAGAGAGTGACCCATGTTCCTCTCTCATGGTTCAAATTCAGATACAGGGCCTTTTTAAAGTTTAATATTGTAAGTATAGTATATTAAGTTGTCTCCATGGGGAAATGCATCCTCTGTAAGTGACTTGTGTTTCAAAGCCGCTGGAACAACCTGTCAGGACCTTCTTTTATCAAACAGAGTATATGTATAGCAGGAGGATTAACTCCATAGTCAGTTGGTTTAATCAGGAGAGATGGGGAGTGGTGAAGGCGAGGCAATTTACAAAAGGCTGGTTTTACAATATGCTCTGAATTGTAAATAAGACTACAATTAGAGGATTTTTTCCCCATGGTGTGACATTTTTCTTATTTTTAGATTTAACTTCCAGAGCCCCAAAAATGTAAAACCAGACTCATAATGGTAAATCATCACTTTCAATTGTATTGAAAATGCAAAGGATTTTGAAATGAGAAAAATCATTACCAGACCCTTAAGAATTGAAAAGCCCTGCACAAACCCTGCTCTATTGGATAGTAGGCTGTTTAGAGACTCCCATAGTGACCCTTTTAAACCCAGAACCGAAGATCTCAGGTAAAATAGTGGAGCTTTTCATTTGACCTCGAGTCATAAGAATGTAGAATTCATGCGTGAGAATAGTCTTATTATTGCTGTACGATGCCTTGTTAATACTTGCAACTTGTCTTTATGTTACTTACATTCTGTCTAAACATGCATCGCTAAAGTATTTGTTACTATCAGGACAATGGAATGATCTGTTTTCATAATCAGTGTGTTGAATACTTCTTTTTCACCTTGACATTCCCTGCTTCTTTTGCCACAGGCAGGTTATTTGTCACACTCTATCTGTTATATAAATGTAATTATTTATAGATGACTCATAATAACAGTAGATATGTGGTACATAAGGGAGCAGATGCAAGACCCAGGTCGGTTTTCTAATGCAATAATAAGCTCACACTGATTCCTTTGTTTGTTTTTCTATGGTAGTTTTTTAATAACTGCAAATTTACCTAAATATTTTATTTATTGAGAAAACTGTAGAATCTGATATAAGATTTTGCAGAGTGTGCGGAAAGGCATTTTAAATGGTTTAGAGTAGTTCAGAAAAATCTAACTGGATAATAAACCTGAAGTCCTCCTGACCCAGATTCTGGCTATAGCAGTGCTCGCTGCTTTGACCCTCTGGCCAACTCTACAGACAAGAGGCAAACTTCTGGATCTAAGTTCATGTGATAGAGTCATGTTTCTTGTGGGATCTTTGATGGCATTAAACTGTGTAGTGGAGTAGCCATTGCTGGACTGGGTACCTTTTATTTTAGCTTTGTTCATTTCGTAACGAAAGGAACCTCCCTTAATCAAGCCTGCCAGTACTTCCTCATTCCCAGATACGCTTTACAATAAGGCAGAGATTGTATTCTAATGTCTTGTTGGGCTTAGATCATTTTTTGAGTATTAATATAATATAGAATTCAATATTTGTCAACAGGTTTCCTCAGTACTGTGATCATATGCAAAGAACTGTTAAGTATCCAGGATAAAGGCTGCACAATGGACTATCATCAAACTGAAATCTCAAATTGATTTGGAGAAATTTTCAAATCACAAAGGTTGCAGGTATTTTGATTATGGAATGTCCTCTGCAACACAAGAGAACCTGCCTTTTTATAGAAAAATGTTTTACCTGTAGTTTAGACCTCCACAAACAAACAAACAAAATCATGGGGTTTAACAGTTCATATTCAGTCTTCTCTAAGTTTGCTCCTGAAGCGGTTTATAATGTGCACTCTGAACATAATTGTACTTTATAAACATATCATATATTGCCAAATTTACTCAACATTGCAAACCTAATTACAAATTGTGCAGCTCTACCCAGCACCTCTTTGACAGTTTTTTTCTTATTCTCTCCACAGATCTGAACAGACCTGCACCGTAGCCAGACCCACAGCAGCAGAGCTCAGGTCAAACCCAGCCCCCTTCTTTCGCACCCCCCAGCCCTCTGTGCCCCTCTGGCCTCTGGGACACCCCGTACTTTTTCTGTGGAGCAGAAAACCCCCCTCACTGCTGGGACTGGACAGGAGAACCAGAGGTTCCCCCACTGCAGCTCTCAGCTGTGCCTGGCAATGCCTCAGGTAAAAACAAATATATATGAAAAAGATTTGATTATTTAATATTTAGATGTTTTTAAATAGACATTCTGAAATAGGTAATTAGTATCAGAGGCCAGGTTGGAGGTTCATTGCCCAATCAGTGCATACAGTCATTGTGTCCTAGGGCAAACAATTGATTGCCTTGCCAGTATTAGCATACACGGCACTATTCTATGTCCTGACTGAATAAACATAAAATTCTGATAAATCCAAAGCTAACAGGTCCAAAATACCATTAATTATATGCCAGAATCTACCATTGCTGGCCACATAGATTTTTCTGTTCAATGAAATATCAAATTGTTTCCAAATGAACTGTTATGTTAGTATATGTAATCTGTTATGATGCCAAGTCAACTATTTATAAATGTGTTAGGATGAAAAGCACCAAATAAAAGAACAAAATCTAAAGGCAAGCTGCAGAAACAAAACCAAACATAACCAAAATGTTTGTGATCTGTGTCTCCACTTCCTGTCTTCTGTTTGAAATCTGGTTGGGTTAACCACACCATATTTGCTGTTCTGCATCAGCTCTGTGCAAAGCAAGCTTTATCTACTAGAATCTGTACATTGCTATGCTTTATGGGAAAGGCTAGTTTAGTGCAACTTGGCAATATTACTGGTCATAAATGTGTAACTAGTGACTACAGTGTATAACATGTGATTTCAAGTACAAGAGATTTGATAATATGTTGCTGTCTTTTCAGCCCAGTGTCAGTGGGATGGAGCCTCCCTTTGGGGACGACTTTCAGAACTATTCCTTTGTGGACCAGGCGCTGACCAGCACCGAGCTGCTGGCCACTAGCTCTGACCCGGACTTCATGTACGAGCTGGTGAGTGCTCTTACACACTAAGTATACTGTAGTATAATGTACTGCTTATGCACAGAGAGAATCTGCTTATTACAGACACTGAAGCTGAAAAAATTAACAGATCAAGTCAGTGCTTCACGCCAAACATTCTTCACCATGTGCTGTAGATTCCACACATTAAAATCTGCTTTTAGAAGCAAATGGGCTTGCACTAAAGGTACTAATGTCAGAGTCACTTTGCTGAAATTTCAAACAGTAAATGGTTGCTAAGGAAGAGACCTGATTCTGGACAGATTTAGGGTTCATAGTTGGATGTTGTGATTGGCCTTGAGCCTGTGGATTGGGGGGTTTCTCTGGAGACGCTCGTGTCTAATTGTTTTTCAGTGTGTGACATTTGCTTCCTCTCTGTTTGCTGCAGGTGTCATTTCTCATCAAACTCCACTATAAAGCAGAGGATAATAGGACTGGCCCAACACTATTTTATTATTTTAGCTAAAACTAGCTATTTGGACTCAATTTGTCTGGAGAATGGGAATATAAATGACTCGAGTATTGTTCTCTGTTCATGTTTCAAGGTTGTAATGTCACAAGACAAAACCTTTGTGTATCTCAATTAAAAAACGAACAACTACTTTTAGAAATGTATGTTTTTCAGCCAAGCAGAGAAGGTAACTTGGAGAAAAATGAGGTGTAAAATTATCAATTCGCACATTCAGCTGCAGGTATTGACAAATTGGGCTGAAAATCATACAAAACACCTATTCAATATTTTTAGGTACTAACTCAAAATGTCTTTCATTGTTGTCATAGAATGAATTATCTGAGCTCTTCCCCTTTAGGACAGAGACATGAGCCACAGACAGAGCCCATGTGGGGACAGCCTGTCGGGAGCGCTGGATGGGGGTAAGGAGGCGGAGGGGCCCGTGGACCAGCTTATGGCTCTGGGCGAGAGTGAGAGTGTGTGCAGCGGATCGGCCTTCGAGCAGTGGGACTCGTACTGGGAGGACCTCACCAGGTATACATCACTTATTCATCCACTGCTGCAGTTCATATTAAGGCACATTAACTCATGTAGAGTGTATAGCAAAAAATATTTTGTGGGAACTTTGAGTTTGTTATTTATTTATTTAATACATACTAATATTCATTAATTACAGTGCAGCTGGGTATAAATGTGGATTACCACCATTTCCCATAATGAATAACTGTGTGAGTGCAAACACAGGGAGTATCAGGTTAAGTGCGATAGTGTTGTTCGGGACTGCCATTCACCTCCCAAAGACACAGTAACACAACCAGAGCACTTTACAGTGTAGTACTCTTCACAAAGATCAAAGCTGCTGTTTGGACAAAGAGCGGACATGTGACACTCCGAATAGGCCTGAGGCAGGAGACTTTGTCACAAGGGAACAAGCAGAGATCTACTGCAATGAAATCAGCCCAGCCAAAACTGTGTGCGCCTCTTCTCTGATGTAAAGGGGCAGTGCCCTCTACAGTCTGAAGGCTATTACCTTTAAGGTGGAACAGTGCAGACTGCAGCAGACAATGTAATGAGCAGGGTTTATGGAGGTTATGTTTGAGAGAATTGAGGCACTTGGAGTTCAAGGCCAAGAGTTCTGTTTATTAAATCTCTTCAGGCCTGGACCATCATTTTTGTTAGTTTAAACTGTAACCTGTGCTGTTCTGTGCTGCTGCAGATACACGCGGCTGACGAGCTGTGACATTTGGGGCACCAAAGAGGTGGATTTCTTGGGCCTGGATGACTTTTCCAGTCCGTACCAGGATGAAGAGGTGATCAGTCGCACCCCGACACTGGCACAACTGAACAGTGAGGACTCACAGCCCGTGTGCGAGACGCTCTGCCCCCCCACAGACCTGAGCCTGCCCCCACTGCAGCCCCCGCCCCTTGTGTTTCAACTTCCCGCTCCTAAGAAGAGACCTCCAGTGTCTGGGCAGGGTCCTGGGGCAGCTCGTCCTCCACCCGTGCGCCTGTCCCACAACCTGCTCCCAGATGTCCCTGAGGGACCACAGAGACCCACGCGGCCTGTTGCCTCCAGCACTGAGACCATGTCCAAGACCTACGTCCAGGTCAAGCCGGACCCTGAACCTACCCAGGCCAAGCAATCGGGACGTGGGGCGAAGGCAGTCCCTGTCTCAAACAACACTGACTTTGTCCGTAAGGCTAAAGTGCGTGTGAGCTCTGGGCCTAAGACGGATGTGACATCTAAGACTCCTTTTGAAAAGCCTGACCCGGCTCTGTCCCGGGACGAGAAGGCGTCCACCTCCTCCAGCGCCACATCGATGGGTCCCCCCAGTGTGAGTGTATCCGGAGGCTTTGAGAGGCGCCCAGAGGGGCCACCTAGGTCCTCTGTGCCGCAGCTCGTGGAGCCCAGTCAAACTCTGGAAGGACCTCCCTCTGGGTTGGTAGTCAGTGGAAACAGCGTGCCCGGGACAGACACTGTGCTAGTGGTGGAGGGGAGCGAGAAGAGCAAAGAAGAGGAGCACAACTACTCTCTGTTTTTGACTCGCAGCCGGCTCTCCCAGAGAGGCCTGTCCCCCGATGAGGACGAGGAGGAGGACGAAGAGGAGGAGGAGGTGGAGGAAGAGGAGGAGGGTCTGGACGATGAAGATCATGATGAAGACCATGATGAAGGTTTCGGGAGCGACCACGAGCTGCTATCAGAGAATGAGGAGGAAGATGACGATGATGACTATGAGGCTGACAAGGACGATGACATGAGTGACGCCTTTTCGGAGCCAGGTACTGCCCAGTAATAACAATCATTCAGCTTTTTTAGATGTTTATATGTATAGATTAGAGATAAATTTACCTTTACACAAATCGATTGCAGTTTTAGCAATCTGTCATTATGTGCTGCAGGCTGCGATGTCGAGATGGAGGACATTAAAGGTCTGACAGCAGGGGTCCCAAGTCGGAAGAGGGGGAAGCGCCGGTACTTCTGGGAGTACAGCGAGCAGCTCACCCCCTCCAAACAGGAGCGCATGCTGAAACCCTCAGAGTGGGACCGGCACACTCTGCCCAGCAACCTGTACCAGAAGAACGGGCCTCTCCATGGTAACATGTGCTCTTTTAATTTGGCTAGAATAGGATGACATCACACTCTCAGATCGGAGCTGCTACTATTAAGGACACACAGTACTGTTTAGGGTGCCTTGTGTGAAGGGGCTTGCTCAAGGACACATTGATAGTATGAATTGGCTGCATTGCCTCACTAAATAATTAAGTTACAACCCATCAATGTCAATCTCTTTGATGTTATGTAAGAGCTTTTAGTGCTGTTTTGTGTTTTCTATTAAGGCAAAACAAAGTGAGAGGCACTGGAGTATTTCTGTTTATCATGACACCTTTTCCAGACGGGATGAGTCAAGCTTGAATCACCGTCTATTGGACATTGCTGAAATGTTTCAACAAATGCATTGCTTTTGTTGAAATACAGACACACATTAACAGCCTAATGTAATTGTCCTCCTTTCATATTTATTGATACAGTTTTCTGAGGATACTTCAGTTGTATAACAACTCACATGAGCCCATTATACTGCTCTGTAGAGACTATTATACTTGTCTGACCTCTCTCATTTGTCCCATAGGAAAGTACATGTTGAAGAAATCCCGTCGTACGGATGTGGAGGACCTTACTCCAAATCCTCGTAAACTGCTGCAGATTGGGACGGAGCTACGTAAACTCAACAAAGTCATCAGTGACTTGACCCCTGTGAGTGAACTGCCCATCAATGCACGGCCCCGGTCTCGTAAGGAAAAGAATAAGCTGGCCTCCAGGTGAGACTCTATGGCCTAAATGTAGGAGACTGATGTGAGGTTGCATATTATGTTACGTGGATGTCCATATTGTTATTTGAAACTCCTCCTTTCTATTACAGAGCTTGTCGCTTGAAAAAGAAGGCCCAGTATGAAGCTAACAAGGTGAAGCTCTGGGGTCTCAGCACTGAGTATGGTGAGTACATTTAAAACAATAAATGACATGTTTATATCAAAGGTAACTGCTGTAACTGGACCTGGAATGCCATTAGCCGTCATATACTAAGAACACACTGTATTACCCAAAGCTCTAATTCTGCTTTCTGGTAAAGATAGAGAGACTAAACTATTAAAAAAAAGAAAAAAAATCAACAACTTTGAAATCATGTAAAATGTTCTGGTATTTGTTAACATTTCACTTGTTATGTCTGTAATAATTTGATGTGAATATGTTTACTTCATCTATGTGGACAAAGATGTTTATGAAATATTTTAGAAGAATTCTACATACAATCATTTATAATCATCTTGTAATATTTAACCACTTGTTTACCTCTCCTTAGATCGACTGCTGTTTGTGATCAATTCCATCAAAGAGGAGATTGTGTCCCGTGTGGAGGACTCTGCCCCTCGTCCCACCAACATGACTGACACTCTGAACAAGCTCATCCAGGACACCCTTGGTGAGAATATTCACACGTCTATGGGGATTTCTGTTTATAGGGGCATTTGTAATGTGCCTATTCAACTGATTCTATGTTTTTACAGTCATCTTTGTAAAGTAGGTCAACACTGAACACAAAGTTTGACAGGATTTAATAATACACTGTATAAAGGTCAATTCACCCAAATAAAGTAGGACAGCAGTGGCAAAGGAAGTATAGCTCTTCATCCTATTATCCTTAAGATTGGTGGTTTGATTCCTACTGCTGTAATTTCTGACTAGCGCTGGTGCCTCCGCTCAATTTCAGTTCTCTCCAGGGACTAGGTCAGGAATCGGAATACACTAGATGGTTTGCAAGAACAGTGGAAGTTGTAGACCACACACTGGCAGTCAGTGAAGAGCTGTGAAGCCATGACATCAAACTCAAGCGCCTGTCTGGTCCCCTTTTGTGGTACAGCACAACAGTAAACAAAGCAATCGAGATGGATGCAGACGAAGACAGACATTCTGTATTGGCAACGATTTCCGAGATTGAGGATTTAAAGCCGGAACAAAGAGAATGTTTGGTGAATTTTATCAAGGGGAAAGACGTTATTGCAGTTCTTCCTATGATATTTGTTGCATTACATATGTCACAAGTAAATAGCAGCGATTGGTTAAATAAAAAGTACCTGTCTACCGTTAACTGTCAATTTATTTTTCTGCGTTATAAAGTAGTTTCAATATTAATGTTTATCGGTACGTTGCTACAGAGAAATATATCATGCTTCAAAATGTTTTATCGTGACAGACCTACTTGACTGGAATTGTACAGCACTTCAGTCTGCATCATGGTCATGTATCACTGCCGTTCACTTGCCTCCTCATCACCTCAATTCCCCAATCGTTTACCTGCCAATCACGCTTACTGAGAAGAGACAGCTAATTGTAATTAACCTGCCTCTCTCCTCTGGGATGTCATGATTAAATTGTTAACTGATTATTGTGATGACACAGGTCACTAAAGAAACTAAAGAAACTGCAATTGTGAGAATTTTAATAGCAGAAATAAATAATTTCAAGTGAACAAAAATGCAAAGAGCTTTTATTTGGTTGTTTACTGATTAACAAAATTTTTATATTCAGGAATTTAGTTTTCATTGAAACAAAAGTCAATTAATGATTTCAATGCTGTTTTGTCACAGCATCATTCATTTTGAATAATTATAAAATTGATGATGGGATTTATATCAGAAATCAAATAATCAAGGAAGGAAGTGAACAGAAATGAAATGGCCCCTTGAGGAGGTGTATCACCACCATTGATGTCATAAGCAATATTTAGATGATTCAAAACATGAAGTTTCAGTGGCAACCTTGGATAGAAAACATCAGAGAAAGATGTGCATAATGCTGACATTCCTTTCTCTCTACAGTCTCACCTCCTGTTGCCGGGCAGACTTCGGACTTCGTGAACAAGATCCTGGAGAACACTGGGCGTGGAGACCCGACCGGGGGACTGGTCGGCCTACGAGTCCCCACCTCCAAAATGTAGAGCCCCTCTGGTCTCCTCAGAGCAGTGTCCTGTTGTAACTATGCTCCTCTGCATGCCCCTCCAGCCCAGAGACATCCACATCCATAGTCCCACAGACACACATGTTGAGTATGTGTGCTTGTTTAGGCCCCTTATGGTGTAGACCCTTTAGCTTTCTGTCTCACTGCGCACCTCTCCCTGCCCTCTGCGCATGTTGGGAGGAGAGTTTCTTAAAAAGCAAATGAGTAGGACGTCAAAAATGCACCAGTGATTCTTCTAGGTGTTCAACATAATGATGTGTAAGCTATTAACACATTACACTGGTATCGTTTCACTCAATGATCTATGATCTATGATAGAAAAAGAAAGAGTTTACTCAAAAAATAACATCAATATGAGCCTGTTACAGAAAATGACTAGTTCAAAGCTCATTGTTGACAATGACTTTGGACTCAGAGAGGCTGCTGAGACAAAAGCAGCATGGTGCTACAGTTTGGCTTGAAATATTTAGTATTGAAGGCCTAAATATGTTCATGCCCTTTCTGTTATTGCCAATCAAATGAGCTAAACGGCATCCAAAACACAACTACAGATAACTGAAAGGTTTCATTTAACTATAGGAGGTGGTAGAGGAAGAGCATAACGTTTGGTGCTTACATCAGCCTTGTGCTGGTTGAAACTGGACTCAGAGAGGCGGCCATTTTGGGAGCAGACTGAGGAAGATGGTGGTGATAGAGACAATATTGTGTGATTGCTCCGTCTCCTTTAGGACGTGTACATACCCACGCTCCCCTCTGTACAACGGACCGGGCGTGTCCATAGTGTCTGATCAGAGTGCTACTCATTGTGCCTTGTGTGTGTGTTTGTGTACGAGTGAGTGGAGAACTGAACGAATTGATGTGATTGGTCAGAACTCCCTGAGCTCTAGCCAATGAGAGGACTTCTTTACAGTGAGTGTGAATGCGGAGGACACCTATGGTTCGTGTTCTGTTGTTTAAAGATATTTCTGAATGTACATAAGTGGAAGCTCTTGTTGCGTGATGCCACAGAGTCTGTGTAAATAGGAGGGCTCTGCAATAGTTAACTCTTTGGTTTTTGGTACTCTTGTCTTTGGGGATCAGGGGAGGGTTGACAGATATTTTTGTTTAGAGTTACAAAAAATATTTGCACACTATATTTTGATTGTTTTTTGTACCAAAGACACATGCAACGAAATGGCGACCAGCCAGTTAAAGTAAGGTTTTGCACAGCTTACCTGACGCCGTATTGAATGTAAGAATGTGGGAGGGTCAGGGAACCTCAGAGAACTGTGAAATTAGCTTGGGTCCAATTCTGTACAGAAAAGGAACATTCATTCTTTTTATTATTATAAATTTATCATCCCACCTGTGGGCCTCTGCAGCAGTGTGCTGCCTGGAGCTCCTCATTCCTCCCTCCACATGCTAATTGTATTAAAGGCGCCAAACCCAGAGCGCTTAAGTAGATAAGCTATGTTACATTTGCCTGTTCGTCAAAAAGTCATGACAATAACCAAAACATTTGTGTTTGATTTTCTGACGTAGACAAGGTTTTAGTTAATTCACATGAAATAACTCAATTTTGTTTAAGTACTGTATATAAACAAACAATGCTAATCTATCAATGGTGTAATGCCACTTTCACACAACGGATTCATTTAAGCATGACACATTTCTAAAGCCTATCCTTACATTTGAGAAACTTAGATGAAAACACAAAAGCCAAAAAAAAAAAAAACTGTTATATTTTTGTATTTAAGCTGCCTGTTTGCTTCTCGAAGGTTTGCAAGTATTTGTCAGGGTTTAATATAATCTGAATGAAAGTGAAGGAGGAAAAAGAAGAGAGATTCTATATATAAGATTTATTGAACTAGTACTTAACTCGTCTTCAGCGGGCTGAAGCTGAGGGAAACTGAAAATCAGGAATTCACTTCTTAAAAATAAATGATGCAAAGTTAAGCCATGTGACAGAAAACCTTGTGTTATAATCATAAACACAGAAACACCACGAAAAAGGGTGAAGATAAAACTATTGAAACTTGTTTAATTCCAACTGTTGTCTCTAAATGAGATTCTACAAACTTTTTAGTGCACTTTAAATGAACAAAATCAGGTATACCTTAAATACTCCTCTTAGAGCCCATTTTGGCCTGAGCAGTGAATTGTTAAAATGTATACATAACTATTTGAATGGGATAAACACATGCTGCTACCCAGAATGCTTAAGGCTGGTAAACTCTGGAAAAACCAAACAATTTCAAATGGGAAAAATCCATGTTGGAAAATGATGCCCATCTAGCTAATACTATTGACATTTGATTGATTGTGCTGCTGTCAAAGTTAAAATGCAAATTAATTATTTATAACAATATGATAAATGTATATTTTTTGAGTGACATGGCTGTCTCTAAATAAATTTTGCCAACTGAAGTCAATATCCAAAACTAAGCTAAAGATGACTAAAATTGAGCTTAACTAATTTTGAAAAAGAAAAGCAGTGAATTTCAAAATGTCCTCCTTCACTGAACGAACTCTGTTGAAGGTATGGTCGGTTTGCATCGATAACTGCTAGCGCTACCACGTATATGAATATATTTTTACTGTTTAATGTTTTCTGTCTAAAAGGGAGATTTGGTGCTTTTTTCTGAAACTAGAATGACGAGTATCTATGAATCTAATTTACTCTTAGTCTAGGTGTAGCCTATAGTGACTTGCTCTCCCTGACCGTCCATAGCTATTTTCTTAGTAGTTATTTCGTTTTTGTAAATACACTATAAGTTAATATGTACCTTCTAAATGTCCAATATATGTAAAGATATTCTATCTTGTATGTTTGAAAACAAAAGCACTTTGTCCAAAAAAAGAAAAAAAAAAAAAAGAAAAAAAGAAAGCATTTTTTCTTCCATTTGCTGCTAAAGGCCTGGTATGAATGCTGCAAGTGCACTTGATGACTACTCGCTTGGATCTGTCAAGAGACAACCAAGAAATAGTTTGTGTCCTGGCGAGGGCTAGATCTAAAAGTTTTGGAGAGACGTCATGAGGGACATTTTTAGTACAGGTGGTATAGGTCTCCTCCTGGTAGGCATGGGACCGTTTAGGATTTCATGGTATAATAATTATGACATTGCATCTTACACTGTTACACACAACTAAACATCCAGTATGAATTTCCCTTTTAGGTTAGAGAGATAACAGTTAGTTCAGGCTGCTTTGCGAGTTAACCCTCTCTACTTATCACAGCTTGAGAGTATTGAGTTGTAGCCTGTTCGAACTGGATTAGACAGTTTCTACCACGGATTTTTGTCTTATGAGTTTGGAAATACATTAAAAGATTCTTCCTTGACCTGAGACAAGGCAGCCCCTGGCACAGTTGTCAAGTATTCACTATTGAAAAACCTTAAAAACTTACCTCACAATTGTAACAAAATGCTAACAATAATGCGCAGCAATATTTGACCCAAGATGCAAAAATACAAATGCCCCATTACGTCCTTGATTGTCATGAGTTGTCAATACTGTGGCATTTGCCTTAATCCAGATGACTGTCCCATGCCTACCTCCAGATCATGTATGGTGCGTATAGGTGCGTGTGATGTGTTTGTGGTCTTAAAAAGTGGAGGGTTTTTTAAACCAGGTCCCTTCATTGATCTGATGCTGCCCCTTGGCGTCATGATTCATTTGCCTTCAGTAGAGGTTTCCTATGGAAAAACTGATTCTGCTTTGGCTTCCTCTTCAGGGTGATGTACAGCGTAGACAACATTTCTCCAGAGCTATATTGTTATCATTTGTAAAACTGATTTCTACTTGTGACTTAAAATGAGGTGGGGTTTTGCCTTTGGTGGCCAAGAAGAGCTGAGTAATAGCTGTTCTTAGCCACCATTGGGGTAAGTAACTATATCACTGTACTGTATGGCAAGCCAATTATAAATGGAGATTCAATCCGGACACTTATTGCCTTCTTAATGAACTCTTCACATACTCTGTATGACAGTAATAAAACAGGGCAGGACTTGTCTAAAACCGTTTGATTTTGGCCAAGTCTTTGTCCCAAAAAGGTCAAAAATCCAAATCCACTTTGCCTGATTGGCTCAAAACAACCGAAGTAGCAAGAAAAGGAGGAATGTATCTGGAGAAAATTGCTTCTGATGTTTGTGTGAAGCAACGTGTGTCAGCTTTAATTATTTCTCCCTCTTTCAAAATGGGTTAACTGTGGTCAAAGTCTATAAAACTACCAATTTGACCGGGTCTTGCCCATGCAGCGCTGACAAGATAAAAATGCGTTTTGTGGTCGATCAAAAAGGCGCAAGCTGTGCAACTTTACATTCAAACCAGAGGACTCTGTGGCATTTTTAATAGTGTAGGAGATGAGTGAATATATCCACGCCAGTAAAATCTTTTCCTTACTTTAACTTTTTTATTTCTGATTACAGTAAAATATTAAGCTAATAGAGTGTGTAACTTTGTGCTACTCTCGTCCGATGACAGTGGATAATAACATAATAACAGCTCTTCTACAGAAAATCAGGGTATAATAACTTCTTCAATATATAAATCAAAACAAATATTTATGTATTCCTGTAATGTCGCCATTCTTTATTCAATATTGTGTGTGCGTTGTTATGAATCAATGTCTGTCGAAGTGGTGCAATGCTCAGTACAAATTCACAAAACCGCCAACATAAATATTAGACAAGATAGACACCTTGTCCCAAAATGTTTTTAATTGTCACATGGTGCTGCACATTAACCGAGAAACAATCCCCCAAATTCAACTGGCATCTGTATTGAACCCTTCATGGGAAGTTGTGATAGATGTTTTCATTCGTGTGTCCATTGAAGGCACGTGGACCAATGATCATGTGTTTGTAAAAATTTCCTTTGTGAAAACTAGACTCATACATTTGACTTCGCAAGCTCCTCACCAAGAAAAACAATGTCATAGATATTTCAATACAACAATCAAAACTAGGAATGTGTATCTGCAGTTGTATTTTGTAAGTCAAAAACTACAAATCCAAAGATCTTTTACTAGTGTTGTAGTTGCTCCACCAAGACCTAAATAGTCTAATTGCGATTTGATACATTTAATTCATTAATTCTACAGCTATTATTAGGCAGGCTACTTACAATGACTAATGTTCCATTTTGGATGTCTTTTGTTCACATATTCTAATAGTTTTACTCCTCACTATTTTAAAATTGTGATCTAAATTCAATAATCTAAATTCCGAAATGCTTATTTTTTTCAACCTAAGGAAAAGCTTAGATGTGGTGGATTGCAGCACTAGGATTTACAATGACAATGGAAAAACTATGCATTTTAATGAACCACAATCCTTACAACATAGATATCTATTTTATGACATTGAACTCTTTAACCCCATATCAAGTTAACCTAATAAAACTGAAAAAATATATTTTTTTATCATAGCAGCTGTTTTGTGAAGTCTCATCTCTGAGTCTAGTTTAAGTGTATATCCGATATTTTGTTCAAACTATGTGTTTCAGTTAGTGCTGGCTCCACACTCTCCTTGTGTAACATAGAATTTAAAGGATGTGCTCTGATACTCTGATATGGGAATGTTCCTGCATGCTGTTTACTGCATCGAAACGAGAGAATCAAGTTTATGGAAAAATAACAATTGGCCAAAAAATTTTGGTTTGTTAAAAGGTTTGTTTGTCATTATCACACAATTGTTGCATGGCTTTTTGGGCTCACTTTATCCGAATGAATTTGTATTTGCTGCTATTGAATGAGCACAAAAAGGTCTGTTTTAATGACAATTACCACACATCCCTGTTATTTATCCACTTGTTTTATTCCTATTTTATTCAAAAGACCAACATTTTAACTCAACATTACATTAACCATAAGTAAAGACAATATTTTAAATGCGATGCCTGCTTGAACCAGGTGCCTTATTCAAATATATTACACCAATCGCCACTTTTGTCAGTCCGAAGGGGTATTCCCAAAAGAATTGCTGGGGCAGATCATGCATTTCTCCCCATATATTTTGTATTAAGGAAATAAGCTAAGAAAGACTAAGTTTTTGGGTGGCCTGGTCCTATTTCAAAGTTTTTTCTCTGCCCACTATGCCACGACATTGTTGTAATTTTTGTATTGGCTGCTGCTACTATTTTCACTGGTATAGAGAGGAGAGAAGCGAACTTCCACTGTGTACAGAGGCTGACACTGTTGGTGAATTTGATAGTGTGGCTGCCTCTTAAATATGTTTCCATAAAGAAAATATAACTAAAATAAACTTTCTTTGCTCTAATGAAGTGCCAGACCCTCCGAAAGTCGAATGAGGAGGAAAACTGTGGTGCTAACCTGTCAGTGGCTGGGTGCTATTATGGCCGTGTTTAAAAAGCTGTATTATTAGCCATATTTTTATTGCTCCTGTCCACAAATCCAACTTTTTTTTCTTCTTTGTGTTTTTGTAGTTTGAGGTGATTCTTTGCTGCTTCGTGGTTTGTTGAATGTAAGTCTGTACTGTCTTCCCTGACAGCTCATACGGACGTGCGGGAGACTCAAAAACGCTTTGTGTCTAAATCCTTTCAAAATTAATTATCATTTAAATATTTATGCTCTGACAAATGTTGCACGTTTTATTTTTGTGTTTTTTCCTTCTAAATGTATTTTTATTGCCTTCTAATCCTTGTTTAAGCAAATATATATAAATATATATCTAGTCACGCAAAGAAGATAAATATATTTTGTTTTTAGAGTGAAGCAGGTTTAAGTAGAAGTCAGACTAATCAACTTAAATGAAAGATGAATTAAAGTCACAAAGAAATCCTGTATGTCTTGCACTAAAAAACTTTCATCTGTAAATGTTTATGTCAATATTTTATCATTGAAATATCTCCAAATACTAAACAATTTTCACAACAATAGCAATATATTTGCAGTTACAACATTCTGTCCAAATTTTACACCAAATTGTCTAGGAGTTTGAAGTTTACAGTTGCGTTGTGACAATAGTCAGTTGTTAATACTGGTAAATGTTCTCATCATTGGTCAGGAAAGCAGTGGTCATAAAAACTGCACCTGGCCTTGACACAAGCTCTGAGATTCTTTTGCAGGGTGAGATTTTTCAAACTTGAGATAAAAAAGAAGGTACACCATTGTTAAATTGTCTTTATCACATTATTATCAGTTGATCTATGGACGATGATGAAAGGAAGTTAAAGAACTTGAAATTCCTATGGTCAGCTAGCCATAGGAGGAGAACAGATACATTCCCTTTGTGGGAAAAGAGTAATTCATTGAGAAAATCTAACTTTTAATATTATATTTTGCAGTGTTTTCAGTTCATGGGAAAGAGCCCATATATTATATGTTTGAAATCTCTTCCTGTAAAGACTTTCTGACAGCTTTGATTTAGAAGTCTGGCCTAGCATTCAAATATTCTAGTCCACTCTTTATCAAAAAACAAAAAAGCCTACAAAAATGTGTTCTATTTCTCAGTAGTTTTCCCCTGCTCTGGAGATGTGTCGTACCTTATGGGTGCTTTCCATTTTTTCAGAAGGGCTTAGGTCTGCGGTCGTCTCTATACAGACTTAAGGCTGGTGGGCAGAGACCGCTCCTCTTGCTCCCCTCAGTGAATCTGAGAGAGGGGCACAACTTCTCATAATCTGCAGACTGAAATCATTTTCTTTACAATTCTTGAAAGCAAAACAACAATCCATCCTTGACAATAACCTGTTTCTCTACTATGTCCACACTGTCACCATACTACAACACTGCAATGATTTACATCTCCTACCAGATTTGCCAAAATGCAGGACTGATGAGCGAGAGAAAAGAAATTATATATTGTCATCAATTTAGTTTTGAATACAAATGACCAACAGTAATATCCATACAAGTCCTATATTGTGGTAAGCATCTGTCATTCTGAGCTCCACATGCACCATTGTAAAGATGCTCCTGGTCTTGTATGGTGAAAACGACTTATTATTATACAACTTTAGATGAATAGCATGGGATTTATTCGTAGTAAGTTATAGTCCTATGTGTTATTCCTCTCCCCAATCTTTGTAGGAAGCCTGTACTTCATTGCTCAGTGCTCTCCAATAGATCTCTTGGTTTAAAAAAAAAAAAGAAAATATCACAACAAAACCTGCAGAATTAAGTGTATCCTGCTGAAACTAACTTGATCCTCTCTTTAGCGACAACGTCTCTATTTGTAGTTCACATATATGCCTGTTCAAATACAATATCTTGACGGCTGTTAGATTTATGTTGTGTATTAAATGTTGTGCTGGTTTTTACTTTTTGTTTAACTTTTTACTTTCACTTCAAAACTTTTTTTTTTTCTTGGAGGTACTGTGGTTGGCTTTATGCACAGATATAAATTGTTGTTTTGGTTCGTACTGTAAGGCTGGTTCTGTCAATGGTTGCTCGACTTCCTGCAGACACTTGCCCTGAATCAATGCGTTGTGTTATTGTGCCTCTTTTATTTTGTCTTTTCAATTTTTTTAATTTTTTTTTTCTCTGTTGTATCAGCCAGGAGTTGATACCACAGCTCTGCTTGTAACCACAATAGTCCAATTCTGTTTATTGATTTAATATCAAAATAAAAATAAAAAAAAACATTAGCACCCCATGTTAAGTGTTGTGTCTTTTTATTGTCATAAAATAAAACATAGGCAATTTGAAGACTTTTGATTGCATTATATGTTTATAAAACAATAATGTTTGCGTGAGTAGGCCTAAGTGTTATGTTATGTGCTTTTCTCCATGGAGATGCTATTGCTTTTTCTGTAAAGTTTCACAGTATGGCATTAAACTTTTCTATCTTCATCGAGACAAAACCAGACCAGGTTTCAGGCCGGATCTACTCTTTTTTTGACTACAGTTAGCGTAATACTGCATTTGTCATATTTAAGTTGCCGCATATACGGTACAGTCTAATATAAGTGCCTTACAACTTTGCCTTTTGTAGTATTTTGGTCCTTGGGCATGCCGTACAAAAACAAATATGGCGTCTTCGTCTGACGTTCATGTCCGAGTTTGTAGTCAAGAAATCATAAAATATGACTTGGAAATCAAAGCACTAATTCAAGTAAGGGCTGTAATTTTGCTTCCAAATCATTTACCTGTCTCCATAGTAATGGTGTTGTTTGGGGCGACGGTTTAACAACACACAGCTTAATAGTTAGCTTTAGCTGCTAACTTAACAGCGGAGGGTTTTTCCCGATCAACGCCTTTTGAGTTGGCTGCCTGGTGATTTCTAACGCCCTGTAGTTTTGAACGCATTTTAATTCTACTCCATGCATGCTGTATTAGCCACCTAAAAATTATTTTTATAAACTAAACCCAAATAAATGGTCTCAAGAAGAATGGCAGTGTTTGTAATAGAGGCCTATAAAGATGCTTTGTGTTTCTGACAGCACAGTAACTTACTACATTATCCGTGTATTTGTTGTGTTTTAAAGGACATCAGAGACTGTCCCGGGCCACAGTCTGCGCTTTCAACCTCAACTCTCAGGTCAAAGAGAAGTTCAACAAACTCAGGCTCAGAATACAGGTATAGAATACAGGTACACACTGCTATCTCGTGTTATCATCCGACCAAATGTATTTAATGTGAGGAAATTGTGTATACTTGTGCAGGACCTGGAGCAGATGGCCAAGGAGCAGGACAGAGAGTCAGACCGAATGGAAATCCAGGCAGAGACAGAGAGTCAAAGAAGACAGTTGCTCAGGTTTGAATACTGATCACATGTAATAAGTCAATGTAAATCAAATCTCAGGAAAATATTAAACTATTGGCACAGTGTCCTCGTCAAACTAAACAATGCATTTCAGAATAAATGGTTAATAAACAAATGCTATTTCATACCTGTTCATGCTATACTTTTATAATAACATCATAGACACACATGTTTTTGCAAGAAGATTCAGTAGACTTGCCAGGAAACAAATCACATTTATTTTTCTTCTGATGTTTGCAGTAATCAGACGGCCTGGAGGAAGGCGAATCTGGCCTGTAAACTGGCCATTGATAACACGGAAAAGGATGAGCTGCTGCAGAGAGGGGAGACCAACAGCACCAGACAGAGGTTAGAGTGGAGATATAATCTATGCAAGTCCATTAGAAGATTTTCTCAACTTTTCACATTGTTGTGTATTCATATCATATAATGATACCACCTATTTGTAATATTGTAATTTCACCTGTAATGATTTAGAAAAGTGACAAAGGAAAGTTTGGTGGAGACGAGCAGTAACATCACAGAGAGCTTGATGTCCATCAGCAGAATGATGGCTGAACAAGTGAAGCAGAGTGAGGACACTATCACCACTCTGGGTAAATAAACTCTTAATTTGCACACATATTTTGTGCTTTTGCTGCAGATTCAGTTTAGTGGAAGATTACTGCTGGAATCTTGCAGTCCTTGGCTGGTGAAAATCTATTATTATACAAATCAGTTGTGAATAGATTTTTAAAATTGTACTATTTTAATAGTTTATTTGGCACAGCATCACTTACTTAATCAGTGAAACTTACTTCTGTTCCTTGTACCCTGCAGCCACGTCATCTCGAACTGTGCAGGAAACAAATGAGGATTTCAAAAACATGACTGGGACAATCCACCTTGGTAGAAAACTCATCCTCAAATACAACCGGCGAGAGCTCACAGACAAACTTCTCATCTTTCTGGCTCTGGCCCTGTTCCTCGCCACTGTCCTCTATATCCTTAAGAAACGTCTCTTCCCTTTTATTTAGCAAATGGACACTCGATAAGTCACTTAAAAGTGGAGAACGCACAACCAGCCTAAAGTTTTACATTTGTTTATAAAGATGTGATCTTTGGTAACTAAACTGTGTATATTCACAAATAAGGAAAACAGGAAACTGTTACTTAAACTGTGAACAAAAATGTCTTTTATCTAATATATATATAACTTGAGAGTGAATGATTCTGTCTGCTCAAGTCTGTCTGTATGCAGATTTACAATGTTATCAGGTCAAGTAAGGGCAAGGACTTATTCAGGGCAAGACATAACAATAACCTTCCCCCACTTTCCCCATTGTCTGGATTTTTGTCTGTTTTGTTGATTTTTGTTGTCCTTTTTCCTGTGTGTTTGTTATTGATGTCTGTTTACAGTGTCACTGCCAGTCTGTTGAACAAACAGAACAATAAATGTCAATCACTTATTGTGCAGAAGTATTAGACATTTTATAGTGGTCCTGTTAACACCAAGGTACAGTAGCAGGTGTTTCTTGTCTTTATCATGGCCTTACGTCTACATTGTTTTAATAGACTACTATTCATAAATTCATCTGGTAGATTTACCAAGTCTTCGTCTTTGTTTTAATTGAATTTGAAGTAAAGCACATGCAGAGGTGAAGGCGTGAAAGCTGTACCTTTTTTTTTTTTTTTTTTTTTACCTTTTTTACCTTTTACCTTTTTTGTACCTTAATTTTTAGAATTACAATAAACAAAAATAACACCCTCAATGTCCAGGTTGCACTTGGTCTAATAGTGATACAATGCCTTGACTCTTCTTATATCCACTGTTTAAAAGCTCCCCCACTCCACCACCATTTGAAGCCTACTTTTTACCTTTCTCTTGTTTTGCAAAAGAACCACAATAATGAGCCAGTGGGGCAAATTTACAGCATTGTATTCTCTACGCACATGAAATTAACCACAGTCCCAACAGTGGCATTAATAATGTTTATTAAATCAGTCAATTCTATTTAAAATGTGTTTTTTTTACATTCATTTAAATAAAATCTTTTAAAATGTGGTGCATTTCCTGGGATTTGCTTGAGATGTGGACATTCAAGTTGATTTCAGCCTGTCCTGTAAGTGGTGCCCTGAATGTGCTCTCAAAACAACATTCAAATATAACCTGATGACCACCAAGGGATTAACACATTAAATATTCATCTTGGCACCTGTAGTGAGCAAGGGGGAAAATCAATTTTTTGTGGTAAGTAGCCTACTATGCCCTCTTTTTTTGTTTTGAAGTTCCACGACAACTGTTGTGGTGGGTGGCACTTGTCTTCATTAACATAGTATTGCTTTGTCTGGAATGTTCCACAGTATTGCATTAAACATAACCATCTTCCATTCATTCTTTTGCACTTCTTTATATTGCTTAGACTGTTTTTTATTACACACACACACACACACACACATACACACTCAAAGACTGAAAAACCAGCATCCTTATTGTGAGCAGGCTTGCGTCTGTGCAGACCTTACAAGCAGCCTGGTGAAGAGCATGGCATCTACTTGTCTCCATGGAGATGTTCTGGCTTTGCCTGGACATTCCACAGAATGGCATAAAACTTCTCCACAAAGAATGCTTCAAAGTTTAGATTCAACTTTCAGTCTCAAAGGAGTCATCCGGTGCCCGCCACCAGAAATCTTTACACCAAGCTAATTTAAAGATCTGACCTGTAATTGGACCTGGTTGCCTGTCTGCATGAAGATTATTGCCATACCTGGGGCACTTTCAGGCAAAGATATAACATTTCCATGGAGGCAGTGAAACCTCCATAATAGTTTCATAGTCTAACTTTAAGTATGAAAATGGAAAATCCCATGAAGATGAGTAAACTGAGCCTATTGGGATTCCCTAAACTATAAGGTGCCAAATTGGATCTAATCTAAACATGTCAAAGCATCTCTAACAATGGTTTTATTGTTCCCAGTCTGCGGTGTCTGTATCAGTCATGAGTGGTCCAAGGAAATCTCAGTGGTCAACCAGAAACAGGTGATGCATGTAGGGCGTGAAGGCTGGCCTAATCCAACAGGTAAGAGATGCTAGTGCTTAGTAAAGTGTCTGACTCCATCTATGTTTAATGGAGCTGCATATCTGGCAAGTGGTCATATTGTTATGCCTGAATGTGAATGAGTGAAGCTGTTCAAAGTGAGACTGAACAATATGTTACAAAACAAAGAAAAGAAAAAAACAACAACACATGAATAAATAAAAGTATTTAAATAGGTAGGAGACTGTTGTTGAGCTGCCAGCTGTGTTTTTTGCTGGACACTAAATCTCTGTTTCTGAGTCCATGCCCTTCTTTAACTGGAAGATTCTGTCAAAGAGGCCTCTGCAATGGTGAGGTAGATACATGTTTTAACCTTGTACAAATGTAAAGATTAAATAAGTTATAGCATAGCCAAACTATCATTTTTTCTACTCTTCTACTCTAGTAATAAGTGCATGTGTGGGCTCTATCCTGTAGGTTTCTATGAAGAGGTAACATTAGCTTTAACAAATGTAGACTCTGTTTCATTATCCATCAGACTGGGAGCACTCCTGTCATCCAGCTCAGGCCCCCAGAAGCTGGGCTGTGGAGGTCTTGGGACAGTGGGAGCTGGTGTGGAGGTGTTCAAAGAGGTATCTGATGGGGCAAGAAAACAGGTGCTGCTGAAACTGTCACACAGTGCCCCCCAGTGTTGGCTGCACTGTGCCCGGAGCCTCTGACTGACCCAGGAGCGAGCGTCTTCTCCACAGGACAACAGGAAGTTAATCAGCTCCACATAAGGCCTGTGAACAGGGTAAATTACAAACAGACAATTTATTTGGAAGGTCATCTGATGCTAGATGCATAATGCTTTCAACTACAAGATCTGCAGTGTAGGCAAGATATTGCCCCAAGTCACCCACAATTCCCTGTTAGTTGTTTCCTGCATATTAAGAAATACAACCGACTGTATTTATAATGGCATAATCTAACAAATATTTATTTGCCTGTATTGCAAAATTTCCCTCAAAATCCTGTAGAGGAAAATAGAAAAAACATAACAAACTTCAGCAAGAATGTTTGATGATCACATCTCTAGACTCCTACAACATCAGCCAATTATGATTATTATACATGTATTTTTGTAGTGTTAAAAACTGGTTGCTCTGGTTTGTATTAGTGATGATGAGTAGTAGTGTTGAGTAGTAGTGTAATATATTGGCTGACCCAGGAGGGAAGAGTAGGTGGAACTGGACCAGGCTGCCCGTGGTGTCCATGTGCTGCTGGAGCGCAAGGCAGAGCTGATGTTTGGAGTAGCACTCGCGCTGAAGGGAGTAGATCATGTCTTTAACAGCAGAGCAGCGCCGACTCACGCAACTGAAGCGCTGCCGCAGTCCCAATGCCATGCACCGGAGGGCGTCCTTCACATACGATTTACCCTGCAGGAGACATCCATTAGATGACTACAATGCATAACGATAATTGCAATTTACTAAAAATACTAGGCAAACTGCGAAAATGTAAGGAGTTAATCACGCATACATTTAAAAAAATAAAAACGCAGTTCGTTAGAGTGTTAATTTGTAAACAAAGTCGACCACCACACACTATTATTAATACTAACTTATAACTAATCATTTAACTGTAGCTGAAATAGCCTATTGACTACAACTGTATAGATTGTGAATAAAACAGCAAGGCTTTTACACCCTCTTCCGTGCAAGTTTCTACATGTGAGCCTTCTTTAGCGCTCACAATGATGCAACAGTCAATTAAGAGCTGTATTTGTTGAGTGTTTCATCTCTACTTAAATACTGTAACAATCAATGCCTTAAAAACTTTAAACCTAATTGTGCAATAAATCAAAAATGAGGACTTTGTTTGCAATGTCAGACCTGTACCACTCTCCAGGTCTATTCTGGTAAAGAAGGCAAGCTGTTCCTATCTGATTTCAGCCTCCTCTGAGCAGAGCACAACACCAGCCTTTATACAACATCCTCCACTAACAACCCTATGACATGACAATGAATGTAAATGTGCATTTGTTATCATTTTTAAAAGATTTTGCATTTACATGGTTATCATGATTATTAACACTGTGAAATTACCACAGCAATAGTATATGGCCAGTTTGGCAGTTTGATGTATTAAATGATTTGTAAGGTTACTATTTTTCATTTAATTGTGATTACATTGTGCCATGATCATTTGGAAGCATTAGTTAGTAAAAATCCATTATTAATTTCTTGCAAAGCACTGTGCTGAGACTTGGAATTGAACTACAGCACCCACCTGAGAGTCATAGCGTCCTGCATTGTGCAGCAGTGTCAGACAGATGTGGTGTAGTCCCTGAATCTCACAGGAGTTATTGTTGAAACAATGAAACATTCCACAGCCGACATCCCCTGAACTCACCAGACAGGACTGGATCTCTGCTGCAGGGCACAAAATCAATGAAGGAATCAAAGTATTTGTTTAACAAATTACGTTAACTCGTACTATTATCAGATTACATCACACCTAACAATATTATCAATCTTTATAAATGTTCTGTTCAGTTTAAGCATGATCACTGTTATTAGTAAACTGTTGAAGCACACCAGGTTTTTGATCTCACTGTGGAAAAATGTACTCATCAGTACAGCTCTTATTTCACAATTAAGTACAAGGAAATATTTTGATAATTAAATGAAATGAAAATCAAGATAGAGAATAGAATAGAGTATTAATAATAGCTGAAACACAGTATTTACGGCTGTGGTGGAAGGTAAGGATAAAAGTGACAATAATATAATGTATTTGTGTGATTTCAGGGAACATGTTGGACTAAAGCATTAGCCTAAAGCACTCCATATCTAGTGGCCAATGTCACCGTGTGACCTGTTGAGAGTCTGGGAAACTGGGTCCAGGCCAAGAGGAAGAACAAGAAGAGGAAGATGCCAGAACAAATCCACTTTTAATGTTCTGTAAGTAACTGGGCATAGATCCCACAGTTTGCACAGGAATGACACAATTGAATAATAATGGTGTAATATAAACCGTAAGCAAGCGCAAGCGCCATGGAAATGTTGAGATATTTTTTTCTAATATCATCACACATATAACAAGCCATTTATTTTGAAGTCTCTTTAACCCGTGTCAGTTTAGCGATTAAAAGTAAAACAAATGTGTGGAAAATGTCTGAACGCTTGAGTACAGAAGAGGCCAAACTCATTTGTTAGAGCTTGGTGAATAGTCGCAGTTGTCTCCGGTGGCCTGCCCTCATCTCTTCCTGTGCCTTGGTGGTCTGTCCCGTGGTTGGGATGTGGAGCGGTGCCCGAGGCGGAGGTCAGTCTTGGGCCGGAGGTGTCGTCACGCGCTCCCCGCTGCTGGAGGGGGCGCGAGGGGAATGTGGAACTGCGCTGCGCATTGAATTACAAAAAGCAAAGCGGCCCGGCGCGACCCGGCACGATTATGGGGACGGGCACGCGGTCTTACAGTGAGCCTGATATAGGCTATCGTTTAGATTAAAAGCCCACCCTTCTGTGGAGACTGTACGGCATCCTGAGAAACATTATCTTTATGATGAAGTGATCAGCCAACGTAAACGAGATAAAAATAAAAGTAAAGGTGGCATGGCAGTCCAAAGTCGTAGTGCCCGCACATTACAAACCTGTTGTTCATTACCGGCCTATTACTAGCCAATTAAGACTAATGGGATCAAAAGACTAACTCTGATTGTGCTCATCTAATAAACACGGAAAGCCTTTGTTAGCGGCACAGAGTATCACTAATTGATCTCTGCGCTCTTTTTCATTGTATCGTTGCGTTTACAATTCTTCGGTATTCCACTCAAGACATTTACATATACATTTTTGCTGCAATGGTCCTGTTATATAAAGTTTGATATTGCATCACACTTTAAGTCATATGAGGCCAATACGTTGCACAACAATTAGTCCACCTGAAGAATTAATTCATTATTGGGTTTTATTTAAATTTTATGTTCGACTGTGTAAGTTGTGCCATGTTATTGATTTATTGTTTTTAATGTAGTTTGGAAGAATTTAACAAATTCGATTGTGCAGTTCGTGCGTGCCACGCGTCTCACCTGTGCTTTGTAGAGTCAGTCGTCTTTTAGCTTGAGATATTTGCTTCTCCTGAAAGTCCAGCGGCTCTGTGCTCAGCGCCTGTTGAGCGGCCAAAGCCACCAAAAACGCCCAAAACATATGTGCCCTGTGCGCTGACATGTTCATGGGTCCGTCTCAGTTCGTCTCTGTTTGTTCACGACCAAAGCGCAGTGCCAGGAGGAGTGTTGACTTGCAGGAGTTCCTAGTATTTGGGCTGTAATATATAAGGGTGCGAGAGTGTGCGCGCTTCTGAGTCTTCTGAGTTCTATCTAGACCAATCAGAGCGAAGCCACGTGGACGCGCGCCGGGACGAGGACAGGGCGCAGTTTATTCATTGATGAGAAATTGAGGGAATCGCCGTAGTGCATGCGTGAAGATTATGACAATGTGTAGGTTGTTGTATTGGGAAGTTTGAAAATTGATAGACCAGTGGGATCGTGCGTAATGCGTATATGGCACAACCGCATATTACGCCAGTCATTACTGAACACCATAGCCTATTTTTTTAACCTACATTTAAATAGTGGGCTAATGCAACTCAAATTCGTCTGTTGTAAGAATACACAGTAGCAGAATGTTGTTGCTGTGCTGTACTGGTTAACAACAAGATGTTGGTGAGTATGACTGCTCTATTCACGATTGTGCAGTTTGCATTTGTTGGGTTACGGCAACTAACCCAGTGCATGTCTAATCTGAATCATTTTAGGACTGTGGTCGACTGACAGCTATTTGATATACAACACATATTTGTGTTCCAATGAAAGGTTGGATTGTTACAATCACAAGACGGGCTCTACTCTACAATTGAATGGAAAATATTTATCATAATCCTCATAATGTCTCAGCACATAGAGCTGGTTGCGTCTTTGGAACAGCTTTGGCTCTCAAGATGTCTCTACTCAATTAACACAAAGCCAGTCGTGCGTGCACGCGCGCATGCCTGCGCGTGTCAATGCGCGTTTGAGGTTTAGCAGCTGGCTTTTTGACTGGAGGACGTGCAGTAAGGAACGTATCCAAGACCAGAGACTCGTATTTTGGAAAAGTTGTGACAGTGAATTGGACTACATGATCCGCAGTTTAGGCCTACATGCAAGCTCATGCCTTTGGAGTCACGTGTTCATAATGTACCTGTCAGGTCTGTAAGGTCGAATTGATTAAGGAGTTGATTGGGATGTCTCCTATAGGTTATGTATGATTCCTGCTAAATAGTGAGAAAACTATTGCAATAACTCACTGGTAAAGAAATTGAACATGTGTCTCTCCAAATCTATGATGTCTGTGATGTAGTGTAGAAATCGTAAAGAGCTACTGATTTGACTAGAACAGGAAGAGTAAATTTCTATGTGACATATTTTATTAGATTAGCATCATAGTATGTGAACAGTGCAGGCTGACTTCACACTTTCCATTTAAACTGGTCTCTAGCACTTATGCTGTCATCTCCATCAGTGCTTCCTGTCCTAGCCGGGGATGACTTCAGGAAGTGCGTATGGTAAGACTGCGGGATGGGACTCCACAGGAGGGTATCACTCGTCCAGACGCCTCCATGTTTGTTGAACTTTCCCGCTCATTTTCCGTGTCATGCCTACTTCAAAACAACATCCCCATCGCCTCACACAACCCCTGGGTGACCACCCACACTACAACCTTTCACCCCGACACACAGCACACACGCTCACATGCTCCGAGCGGCACATCAACACAGACAGCCCCCCTCCCATGGACAAACAGGGCCCTCTACTTCTTCCACATGACCACTACAGTAAACAACACTCCAGTCTGGATAGTGATAGGTCTCACAAAGTGATTGGACATTCTGTTGACCGTTTTTTCTGTATCAGTGTTTTTTGTATTTTTGTTATAGATATCCAAATGAAAGTTCCTCATATGCTGAACCTGTGATGTCATCTGAGAACTTGTAAACTTTTGTCCAATTGACAAATTGAATTTCTCTTTTGCAATGGATTCTACCTGGACGACTGAGGGATTTTTCACAGAACCTGTAATAAATTCCAGTATCTTACTAATTAGACTTGGTCATATTAATTGATTGTTTAAGAAGATTCAGTGATTTAATATTTTCAATAAATGTTCCTGATTACTCATTGTTGTGTAAATAGAAAGCTAGAAATTAATCGAAAGAATTTGAAAATGAATGAATAAAATAGAAATGAATAACATAGTAATTCGGTTGTTGCACATACATTTCTGTAGTAAATTTAGCTAAGCTTCATTTGAACAGCTATTTAACAGACATTTGACTTGTTGTTTTTACTGTTATTAAAAGCATAAATTACTTAGCAGGAGTTTCTGAAACAACAGACCTGAAAAACATATTTGCGTTATCAAGGGTTGCCCCCCTTCAAAACAAGACCCCAATCAATAGAGGTTACGCAATCAACCAGACAGAAAAACATAAAAATTGAAGTGTGTCCATCAAAGTCTCAGGAGCCTCTGTCCCAAAAGAATTCAGAGATTCACAAAAACAATCAACAGATTTTTTTTTTAATTAAGGTAAATATATATGAGCTGAACTTAACTACATTTTCCCCCATTTTGCCTGAATTGACTACAGCTTTTAAGAACCATACAGGTCAAGAAAACAAGCTCAGGTTGATGTGTTAATTCAATAAAAAATGCACACAATTATTTACAACTACATCAAATTTACAAGCTTGAGTTGAGGATGTAAACTTGAAAGCAATATGACCAATTACATGGGTTGGTATTAAAGGCTATTTGTGAATAGAAAATGTGAAGAACAAAGGTCCTGATAAATGATCTGTATTTTGCCAACGTTTGAGATGCTGTCCACAGTACTGTATGCTCAGCACATCTTCATTCCCACGGTACCCATAAAAGGTATTACTCAAAGCTTGAAGTTATAGATGGCACACCAGTTTATGTGCATCTACAAAAGAGACATAGAATTTAATTACAAACTGTGAAGATTATGATGTAGTAGAGCTGTGTGTTGAGCACAGCAGACAGATTATGTGGTGGTCATTCAATACCAACAGCCTGAATTGGCTGTAGATTAGCTGTACATTTCCACCCACTTAACGTCAGATGGCCTAACAATAAAATGATGCTATGGTGAAAAAAATCACATTTGCCACATTTTAAACAAGTTTAGACCAACCTCATGGAGTGTGGGGTCCTGTAACAGCCGCTGGGGCAGGGTCTATGGATTCGCTCTGTTCAGGTGGAGGCACTGCATTTGAACCAGTCGGACTGTCTTCTTTTTTTTCCCCAGACAAGAATTCATGAATGGCTTTTTCTATCTGCGGCCTGAAAGTGTGGTTCATTTTAGGATCGACCACTTGAGTTATAATTCGGTCCACACCTGACTCCAACATCCCAGATCTGAAAACACAACAGATATCACCCCCCAATACATTATCCACTGCTCAAAAAATGAAAGGAAAACTTTGAAAACACATAATATTTTTATAGATATTTTGAAAAATCTCCACATTGAGACTGAGCAGTGTCTTAGGAACAAAAGGATGCCACCTCTTTTAATGGAACAACAGGTGCACTAGAGTGGCAACAGTGAGACAACTCCTAAAACAAGACTAGTTTTGCATGTGGAGAGATTTCAAGTTTCTCCCTCTTGATCTTTTTTGGCTGGTTTTCCACTAGTGTTGGCTTTGGCTGGAGTGATTATCACTACTGGGACAATAAGGCCATTCTTTAACCTTACAGAAGTTACACAGATTGTCCCACTTCTCCAGGATGGCACATCTGCAGATTCTGCATGTGCCGTTGCAAGATTTAATGTGTCTCCAGAATATGGAGGAGATTTCAGGAGACAGGCAGTTACTCTAGGAGAGCAGGAAAGTGCCGTAGAAGGTCCTGAACTCATCAGTAGGACCCATATTTGCTCTTTTGTGCAAAGAGGAACCGGTTGAGCACTGCCCTTGCCCTACAGAATGACATCCAGAACAGGTTCACCATGTGCACCTGTGCCAGATGTAACTGTCTGGTGTCTGGAGAAGACAAGGAGAATGCTATGCTGCCTGCAACATGGTTCAGCATGAGTGGCTCAGTGATGGTCTGGGGAGGCATATATATGGAGGGACGCACAGACCTCTACTGGCTAGAAAATGGTAGTCTGACTGCCATTAGGTATGCGGATGAAATCCTTGAACCCACTGTCAGACCCTACGCTGGTGTGGTAGGTCCTGGGACTGGGTTCCTCCTGATGCACGACAATGCCCGGCTTCATGTGACAAGAGTATGTAGGCAGTACATGGAGGATGAAGGGACTGATACAATTGAATGGCCATCACGATCACCTGACTTAAACTCGATAGAACACCTCTGAGACATTATGTTTGGGTCCATTAGACGCCACCAGATTGTTCCTCAGACTCTACAGGAGCTCAGTGATGCCCTTACACTGATCTTGGAGGACATCTCACAAGACACCATCCATCGTCTCATTAGGAGTATGCCATGAAGTTGTCAGACATGCACGCAAGCATGTGGGGGCCACACAAGATACTGAGAAGCATTTTTAGTTGCAGAAATTACATTTTGGCTAAATGGACTAGCCTGCCACATTATTATTTCACTATAAATTTCAGGGTGTTTATAAAATTAAGCATACAAGCAGAGGACTTACTGCACTACTTTTTGCCTAAGTCCGTTCCTCATCTGGTTCTTGTTGATGGTGGAGGTCCACTCCTGAGTACCTAGGTCAGTGGTCACAAAGTTGTCCACTTTCTGCCTTAGGTTCTGGTAGGCAGGCTGAAATAAAACAATACATACATGAAACTAATACTCTGCTATGTATTATGAACTGAACAAATATCACGTCTGTTCAAGTACGGAATATGTGTATAGTTATTTTTGAAATAACCCAATAATAATAATACATTGTAATGAACATCTTGCTCCTTGTGCAGCTTGCAATATTCCTCATCCAACTTTAAAAATAAAATAGTTTCTTATGTATCTTTCTTATACATTTCATACAAATACATAGAAATCACTACAGGTGTTAGACATGTTTTATTTGCAATCTTTTTTTATTTTTTTTATTAAAATGCATTTAAAATTATATGCACCTTGGTGTCGACGTCTGCTAAACAGTCGCGGCGAAACTCGTCAAAAAGACCTCTGTTTTTCAAATGTTCTACGATCAGCGCGATGAGCTGAGGGTCTCCCGGGGGCAGATTGGCTCCGTTCACACTGCCGCTTCCTTCCGCCATCACTATCTAAAATAAATATGTTATTTACATGAATCTCCAGATTATTTTTCGAATTAGAACAATCTTGCAGGATACTTCATAGAATTGACTCAAGGCTAACATACTAGCAGTTTGTTTACACAAATTGTGTGCGTTGGATTTAGTCGCTGTCTTTATGTAGTAAATTGTCCCCAATAGTCGCCTTTGCGGTCCGTGGAAAACGGTAGACGCTGTGTTTACAATCAAACGGTACTTCCGTGGTCACCACACATGCGCATCATGACATTGACATCGGAAGCACATCATTCAATTCTGCTAGCGCAATATGGATCCCCTACGTTTAGGAGGGATTATAAAGTTATGGATTTGACCATTTTCGATTGTATACGTACATACATATACATAATAAATATAACTTAATATAAATCACCCCAGGATCTATTGGACTGACAACCGCTACAGGCAAAGTTGGTATTTTCAGATAATATATCGTGGCTAACAATACATTAGCACTGTTAATGTAGCTTACCTTTTGACTGATGTGTACATGTGTGTCACTCAGCTCTGATCTATGAAGTACTGTGGTCCGTTATGCTGCTTACTAAATGGTGTAACTTTATGCATTGTTGGAGCTAGGGTTTTGTTTTGAAATATCCTATCCATGATGTGTAGTGATGTTGATTAAAAGAGAGAATTAACATAAAATATCACAAGGACTTTGCCTGATGGTTCTTTTGTTGCAGATGAGCGGGGGATCGGACTCGAATAAAGAGTTCATGGAGCAGTTGCGGATGCAGGAGATGTACGGTCAGAGAAACTCGGATGGCTCGGACCCGTACACTTACACTGACCCCGAGGATGGCACTGTTTACGACTGGGATCACGAGAAGAAGGCCTGGTTCCCGAAAGTAACAACTTCTTTCTATTTTTTGCAATAGCATTCGCTATTTTCAGTCTTCTGTTATATTCTGGTTCCAATCCGACTTAATTTTTCTTATTTATTAGAAGCTAAACATGTCACTGTCTGTGTTCAAAATGTTCTGCATTAATTGTATTCAAAATTATGAATATCCCTCTGCAGATTACTGAGGACTTTCTTGCAGCCTACCAGGCTAACTATGGCTTCAATGAAGAAGGAAATCCAGATGCACACAGTGCAACATCAGCCAGTGGTGAACCAGCCACTTCAGAGCAATCCACTAAGCCTCCAGTAACTGAGAAACCACCTGAGGTCACCCAAATCCCAACCACGGAGGTGCAGGAAGCAAAGCCAGACAAGATGCAGGATGTGAAGCAGAAAGGGGAGAAGAGGAAAGCAGAGCAGGGTAACATCCATGTGTTATACACTATAATTTAGATTAGACTTTTATAAAATGTCTAAAATTGTTGTTTCTGTTTATTTCTTGAAACAGCAGTTATATAAGTAAAATGGGCCATAAACACACCTGTTCAATAATTTTAAATTTACAGCATAACTGAGTACTGACTGTTGCCATCCCTTCTGTCCAACTCAAATGTGATATTTCTTGATCTTAATAATAATAAATGTATTTATATTTGTTTAGGATGGTTTGACATTGATGAGGACAAAAATACAAATGTCTACGTCTCAGGTTGGTGTTAGTTACTGCGTTTTTCCCCATTTCTCTTATTTTCTCTCTCTCCCAATGTCTTGTGTTCTCCATCCTTAGGTCTGCCCCCTGACATTGGGGCAGATGAGTTTGCTGAACTGATGTCCAAATGTGGCATTGTTATGAAAGACCCAATCACTGAGGAGTACAAGGTTAAACTCTATAAGGACAAAGAGGGAAATCTAAAAGGAGATGGCCTCTGCTGCTATTTAAAGGTATTTATAGTTGAACCTACCATCTGTAAGTTTTTTGTTTTGTTTTGGGGTTTTTTAACCAGTAGATGGCAGATGTGAAACCTGTTCCCGCTCACCTGCCCTTGGTTCAGATTCACCTGTCCTCTCTGGTCTTCTTCTGTCAGGCCAAACCTGGCACCCTGGCACACTGGCACACTGGCACACAGCAATAACACAAATAGAATCTACTAGTGATGGGAGAACACAACAAGGTACTCATGTGTAGATGAGGCATCAAAGTGCCATCTGGTAGTTTAAAAAATGCACTTCTGTGACTTCCTATGCAGAAATGTTAACACACTGCATGGGTCATTAAATTAAAAATAGTTACTAAATTGTGATAGAAGAGAGAACTGAGCCTGAAAGGTGTGCAGTCTTATGTAATTAAAGCAAATAACAGCCTTTTATACACTGAAGTAGGCTATAGGTGTAGCATTAAGCTCTAAATGATTATATAAAATATCTTGAAACCACTATGGGAAGTTAGAGATAGAACAATCTGAGATGGCTTTAAAAATTGAGAAACTACAAGTATGTTAAGACTGTGACCAGCAGACTTTTCTACTTGTGAGGTATGTGTAAATTGACCATATTAGATGTGTTAACAAATTCTGTCTAACAAATCAAGGGCTATAGTTTGCCAATACTGCTATTACCTTAACAGACTGATATGTGTAACCTCTGAATTGAGTTCTACACATCAGTCTGTGATAGTTCTCACTGAAAGTGAGCATTCAGTCAAACACACAAACTTTTGCTAAATCCAGTTGTGAGAAAAGCTCAGGAGTCTTACCCGTACACAAATGTATACGGTGGTTATCTCTGCATATTTTTCACAAACAGAATATTAATACCTATTTCTACTAAAATAGGCCAAAGTACGTCTGTCAGCATCACCATGTTTTGGTTCATTTGGCACTGGCTTCCGCACAAACCACAGTGCTGCTCTGTGATTTGTAAGTTATCTATCACATGCAAACGATCCAGTCGGAGCTGTTTTAAGACGGATTCTCAAGAGTTTGTGAAAATTGCAGCTATCTATTACTGATGATTCTCCTCACTGTGATTTTTGCAGAAAGAGTCTGTGGAGCTTGCTGTGCGTCTCATTGATGAGTCTGAAGTACGTGGTTACAAACTACATGTGGAGGCAGCACGATTTGAACTAAAGGGAGCTTATGATGCCAGTAAGAAGAAAAAGAAGAACAAGGACTACAAGAAAAAACTCAAAATGCAACAAAAGTATGTGCATGTTTCATTATTATATAAACATTTATTTAAAAACAAAAAGTTATTGAAAGTTTTTTGGGGGGTTTGCAGGCAGTTGGATTGGAGGCCAGAGAAGCAAGGAGAAGCAAGGAAGAGGCACGAAAAAGTTGTGATCATCAGGAACATGTTTCATCCCAGCGACTTTGAGGTAAAAAGGTCCCTTTTAGTGTTCCTTATTCAGAATACAAATGATCCTCTTTTGAATGCCTATTTCATTTTGAGTTTTGCTGCAACTTGACAAAACGGTCAATGGCATATGGTCCTGTGCCACATTTTCACCTGTACACACATCGAACAGTCATGCACTAGTGAATAAGGTACAAAACTTTTCTGTGCAATCATAATAGGCACAGGAATTGATTCCTGTGTATAAATGATGGTATGGAGATTGAACAGGAAGAGACATTTTTGTGTACAGGGGCTTTCTGTATGTGTCATTGTGTCAGTATTGTTCGGTGTTATTGTAAATTGCTTGTTTGTGAGTGATGTTTGAGGAGACCGATACAGTGACTAAGCTTAAAATAACAATATAGATGAAAGTACAGCTGTAAATAAATTTTTTCTGTGTGGTCTTTTGTAGGAGGACCCTCTTGTATTGAATGAGTACAGAGAAGATCTTCGAACTGAATGTGAAAAGTTTGGTGAGGTCAAGAAAGTCATAATCTTTGATGTAAGTTAAGCTCATATGCCAGTTTATTTTACAGAAATTGTCATTTGAATATTTTAGTTGGAGTCTAAATGAATTTAATTAATATTACTGTGTTGTGAATCAGAGACATCCTGATGGTGTGGCCTCTGTGGCGTTTAAAGAACCAGAAGTGGCTGATGCTTGTATCCAGTCATTTAACGGCCGCTGGTTTGGGGGACGGCAACTCACTGCTCTGCCTTGGGACGGGACCACTGACTTCCAGGTATAATTCTACTGCTATGTTCAAATCTACAATATAAAAAGAAGGGTACTTTAAAGATTTTGTCATGGCTTCAACAAATGGAATTAGCTAAGTGTGTCTACAATTTTTATATTTACTACCAACTATTTCTGTAATAATTATTGCAGTGTAGATTACCAGGCTACTAAAGAAATACCCTCCCTGTATTTTTGTTGACAATGTATAATTTATTATCTTTTAGGTTGAAGAAACGGCACGAGAACGTGAGGAGCGTCTCAAAGGCTGGTCCTCTTTTCTCCAAAGTGGAGAAAAAGCCCAAGTGGATGAGAGTGCAAGTACAGCTAAACCACCACAAGAGGGCCCCACCACAAATACCACAAATAACACTCCTAAGAGCACTGAGCCAGAATCAAACCCAGCAGAGGAACCACAGTCAACACAAAATGATGAAGACATGGATTCCACAGATAGCAGCCTGGCAGGAAGTGATGAAGAGGCTTAAGTTCCACTGAAACACATTCAAACTGTGTGGACAGTATTAAAAGGAAGATGTATAATACTGGAGAAACTGGACATTTACTGAACATATATGTTTTTGTGATTTGTAAACCAAGAAAAAAATGGTCAGAATCTCGCCATTTCTTCATATTTCATAGTTAATTTTCTGTGTGTCTTCACTATTGTGTTCTAATTGTTTGCGAATGTGGTGTACAGCCCAACTGTATTTTGTTTGATACATTTTTTTTGTATGGCGCTTACATGAAGATTATGCCAATACCGAAAAGATTAAATAAATTATTCACTTTTTCACCTTCCAATAAAACTACAGCTGGGAAATTATGACTTTTATAAAATTACTAATAATTCTCTGCCAGTTCATTTGCATCTGTTATTTTCATAGTTCTTCTTTATCTTCCACACTCTCAGATATGTGGAGCACTGGCAAAAAACTAAAATAAAGCCTCAACACAAACAAATACCACTCTCTTTTTTTTGCAAATCAAAATTAGTTGTTTAAAACATGCAAAACTATAACAACATAATACAATTATCAAATATAGTTGGAACTAAAGATTACATAAAGAATCACTTCTGCAAATACTTGAGCACTCCCTTGGTAAACTACAGTTTTCAGTGGTTTAACCAAACTGGGTTTAAATCAGGATGCAAAATAATGAACTGGGCATCATATAAAAATCTTATTAAATATATTATTATAAAGACTTGATTGCAAGAGGAAAGTGATACTCCAGTGATACCTGCACCACAGTTTGAGAACCACTGCACTAGAGCATTTATTAAGTAGAATCTCAGTTTGTTGGCTTGAATGATTGACTGTGGATACTGAAAATGATTCTCTTAGCACCTGCATTTACAAATTAATTTACAGTAGTTAGATACACCAACAGCAACATTAGACGGTAAACTATAGACTGTAAACTAATATTACATTTGGCTCATTTTGACCGAACCCAACATCTGATTGGCCAGTAATGTTTACACTTTAGATTATGAACAGTGGGAAATTGTCACCTCCTGCGAGAGCTCCACAAAAGAGTTGTGAGCAGCTTTTTGTGCCATGTTTGAACAGCATCAGATTCATAATAAGGATGTGGGTCAGTGTTCAGCTTGACAGACTCCTTTGTCCCAACACAAGAGCAGGACGAACATAATGAAAACAGTATTGTCTTTAGATTACATGTAATTACAGAGCATTATCAATTTCATCAAACAATTCAATTTCTTTTTTCTTCTCAACAAAGAAAGAAAAACTAGGTTACCAATTATGGCCCCTGGCTTTGGTCAAAAATAACTTGCATTATTGATAATGTTTTATGGGGCCACAATCTGGTATCAGTGACTGAAAATGTCACTATAAACAGTTGACTAAAACTGACTTCTGATTTTGGGTATTGAGGTAACGTAGGATGCAGTATTTAATATTTCAAAACTATAGGCAATAATTATATTTAGGCTTATTTATTTATGGTTGTCAGATTAGAGACTTGACTCAAGCCAAAAACAGTAAAACTAAAATCAGTATTTCTGCGACAATTTGCCCCCCCAAACTGATTTTATGGATAAAGTTTGAACCAGGCCCTGGCCCCTGATGTAGGGATCGAGGCTTTGAAGTATTCAGCCTTTAAAGGTCTGAATATTTACACTCAAGTTTGTTAGACTATTGGCGATGCACTACTACACTACTGTTTCTCAATTCCAGGACCTTCCTCCAAAGACCATTTTGTAGCATTCCTGTTGGCTTCTCTAAAGCAGAGCCAAGTGTCCTGGTTATAACTCCTGGGAATGAACAATCAAATATTAACTCCAAACTATTCAGTCATCTTACATAGGTATTCTGCCGTAAAACTTCTGCCTCGGGAGCTCAAATCGACAGGCATTTAAACTGTAAAGGTCGTGCGCATGCGCACTAGCGCTAGGTAGCTCAAATCGACGGGTAGACCGTTTCGACAGGACATTGGAGGAAGCGACTGCGCCCTGTCAGGTGACCAAGCGCGATAATACTCCGAGTTTTAATATACAACAGTGCTTCTACAATAGAAAGTGTTATGCATTAAAACACGTGAATAATAAAGGCTGTGTGAATCATCTGTAGTTATTTAGGATGAATATTTGCCTAAATAAATAAACACACAGGCTGAAACATTTTCGGGAGGTAGGCTGATTGTATTCCCAATTCCCTTTTGTTTATGCTGCATTTGTCCTGATTTGAATTAATTGATCTAATAGTGTTTTATTGTTTTATTTGCAGCAATGTGACTAAAATAGCACAATATTTAATTATTTTATATTGTAAAATGCATTTGACTCCTTAAATAAAGTTCGTAAAAAAATGAAGCTGCGGTGCATTGTGGACAATTTCAAGCGCTCCGAGGCGGCCAAGGATCCATCCGCGCATCCTTGGTAAAAGGGCTTTGGGGGAATTGGAACAGCACTTGGAGTATCTCTGATGACCTGGATCTGTCCGAAGTGGTTCAGAAGCCGAGGATCCTGGCAATTGGGAAACACAGAGTGTGATGGAGTAGACTGTAGTGGGAAGTGAACCCGCCCCCCTCTGCCCGCTCTCTGCAGGGCGCCTGTACTTGCTGTGGTGCGGGATAGTGTCGATAGACCTGTGAAGCCCATGTTGATCCGTGCAGAGACGCACAGGCAAAACTACCCCAAAAAATATATAATTTTAAGTCTCATTTAAAGTTGTGATTTTTTTTTTCAGGGCTGGACATGGATCTATCCTAATGTCCGTACTTAGTCAAAACCTGAGCGCGCTGTCGGACCCCACAGTGCCCAGAGAAACATCGCTCAGCAGGGCCGGACACACCGCTGTGGCCGTGGTATTGGGGGTTATTTTTGTCCTGGGCTTTTTGGGAAACTTCGTGGCATTGCTGGTGTTCTCACGGTACTCCGTGCTCCGGACCCCTGTTAACCTGCTCCTGATCAACATAAGCGCCAGTGACATGCTGGTTTGCATCTTCGGGACCCCGATGAGCTTCGCCGCCAGCGTACGCGGCAGGTGGCTCACCGGGAATTACGGGTGCCGTTGGTACGGCTTCTCGAACGCGCTCTTCGGTAAGGTGTTCTGCAAACTTATTATAAATTGTATTAGTAGCCTATATCTTAAGATAAACGGCATTTTGCACAGTGTTTTATATTGTTTGGACCCCAAATTAATGCATTAGTCCTTCAGCTGTACTCTTTACAAATCCAATTCTAATAGGCCCATAGAATATAGCAAAAACAATGCTTAGTAATTAATTTAATTAATCATTGCATTTATATAGCGCTTTTCAAGACACCCAAAGCGCTTTACAGTTAATTGTTCATTCACTCCATACTCAGTGGTAAATTATTATACCCTACTTCCATGATCCTATAGGAGCCAATGGAGTTGGCATTCAGAAGTGGAACCAGAAATACTGTAAAACACTTTTCTTATTTATTTCTTAATGTGCACAGGTATTTGCATGAACAAAATTAACACTTTCTTGTGGTCAATAATACCACCAATTATAGTTTCATATTTCACCAACATTCTCACATGGGACAGGTCCCTCAACAGGCAGACCCGCCTAATGTTTTGGTTTGTTTTTTTTTTCTTGTGTTTCAGGTATTGTGTCTCTGGTTTCACTGTCACTCCTCTCATTTGAACGCTACTCTGCAGTGCTCCACACTGTTCCATCAGACTCCTCTCAGTTTGGACGTGCCCGCTTTGCTGTGGCCGCCTCTTGGGTTTACTCTCTGGCCTGGACCTTGCCTCCTTTGCTGGGCTGGAGCAGGTCAGCATAAATTCCTCATACAGTATGGCTATATAAGAGTAATATTTTGGACTTTGTCTCTTTGGGATTAGTTACGGTCCAGAGGGTCCCGGCACAACCTGCTCAGTTCAGTGGGACATGCAGTCTCCCACAGCGCGCTCTTATGTGAGCTGTCTGTTCACCTTTTGTCTGTTGCTGCCTCTACTTCTCATGCTCTTCTGCTACGGGAGGATCATTATGGCCGTGCGCACAGTCACAAAACAGGTACCCATCCTATGCTCACCCAATGCTCAATTTCCAGGTTAGAAGGAGCCTCTGTTTGGAGTTTGCATGTTCTTCAAATCTGGATGGTTTTGCCTACACTGGTTGTTCCCCAAACTAAACTAACAAAACTAAACCTAGATCAAGATCTGGAAATGGCTACAGGGCTCTGCAGTTGTTCAGTTTGCCCCAGAGGCAGCTGACTTCTAAGGACAGGTTAGGTTCCTTCAGGGACAATAAAGTATACCATACCTCTTGCTAAAGCAGAGGACCAAAAATTGACTTTAAATTTAACATAGAACCTGACTCCAGAACAAATCTATACTTATTTGTGTTGTGTGCCAGGTCCCACGGTTGAGCACGTCCTCAGCAGAGAAGAGGGAGGGCCGTGTGCTCCTGATGGTGGTCTCCATGGTGACGGGTTACCTTGTCTGCTGGCTGCCGTACGGTGTGGTGGCAATGCTCTTCTCATTTGGACATCCTGGAGCTGTGCCCCCTGTGGCCAGTCTAGTGCCCTCTCTGTTAGCTAAGACCAGCACAGTGCTGAACCCGGTCATATACGTGCTCCTCAACAAACAGGTACTAGACAATTACTCTGCTGTGATGTGTGTATAATTATATCTGAGAATAGGATTTCACATCTGAGAAGATGAGTTCACATGATTCAAACTTTAAATGTGAAATAGAAGCACATGTTTTATCTGGTATTTATCTGGTATTTCTATGATTACTCCTGTCCACATGAAACAAAAACTGGTTGGGGTGAAGAAAAATAGTGACTACTCTATGCACTTCTGTAAATGTTAAAAAGTTATAGTATAGTATAGTATAGTATAGTATATATAATATATATATATCCACCATATATATATATATATATATATATATATATATATATATATATATATATATATATATATATATATATGTGGTTGACATCGCAATACCAAGCGATGGTAATATCAGGAAAAAGGAACACGAGAAGCTAGAGAAATACCAGGGGCTCAAGGAAGAGCTGGAGAGAGCCTGGAAAGTAAAGGCATCAGTGGTGCCTGTGGTGATCGGAGCACTCGGGGCTGTAACCCCCAAACTGGAAGAGTGGCTACAACAGATACCGGGAAAAACAACGGACATCTCAGTCCAGAAAAGTGCAGTACTGGGAACAGCAAAGATACTGCGCAGAACTCTCAAGCTCCCAGGCCTCTGGTAGAGGACCCGAGCTCAATGAGGGTGAGAGAGACCTACCACCGTGGAAGGTGAGAAACACATTTTTTATATATATATATATATATATATATATATATATATATATATAGTTTTGCCCAGTAGGAAGTTCTGCATCATAGTGTACTTAGTATGTCAAAATTATAAACTCAGGTCTAGTATGAATTATAAATATTTTAGTTAGATCTTTTTTTGTGGTGTCAAATTGTCAATATGACATAAACCCCTAATGGCTATGAACAAGGAAGATATTGTTAAATAACATCTATTAATAGTTTTTAACCTGCATTGTCTCATAACTTTTTTGTTGTGTTTGTATCTCAGTTCTCTAGATGTTTCCGACACATGTTCAGCTGGACCTCCGAGGCCACGCCGACCCCAGTGCATCAGTCCTTCCCCAGCAGCAGAGGGGCCTGGATGTACCCTCCAAAAATGCCCTCAGTGGACCAAGACTCCTCTCCAAACACATCCTTGCCCCAACCACAGAAACAAGAGCCGCAGCACACACAAACACCAGTGGACTATTACAATGGAGATCCTTAAAGGAGAACATTTTAATCTTTGTGATTAATGGCATGTTAAAAGGGATATTTATGGGGCTTTAATGTTTTTGCATACAATTCTAAATCTGGGGTGCTCATACTTCATGAGGCCGCAACCTGGCTACCACCTACCACCTGACGATGTCACAATAAATAAATTGTGAATTTCATGTTTCAATAACATTTTTAATTCAGATTAATTTCTAGTAGTGTTATTTTATTTGTGTAGTCAATTAAATTTATGTATATAATTTTAGGATTGTATAGCATAAGAATCGCTGATGATCGTAATGATGACATTAAGTTTTTGGTGAACCCCCTATACATGATCCCCAGATCCCAGTTTGAGAATGGTGTATCTAAATTGTTTTGACTATATTTTTGACTATCCAGAACAGTTTGAATAAGCATGTATAATGCTGGAGATGCATGTCTGGTTCCCAAGATTGTCATGGAAAGATTGTGTATCCATTTTTACGGTAGGGGGCTGAGCTAGTGTCATCTTTTTGCCACCAGAGGGGGCAGTGGCTTAACTCTCTACATCTGACGACGGTGTTTCTCAGAAAGAAGCAACAAAAATATTAGTGACGTTCACGACTCTTTAATAATCTTTTATCAATATACATTTTTTTAAAAGAGTCATTTCCAGGTAAACAACATTGTTCAACATTTCAATGCATCTCTCACATCAAAATAATTTATTAAGAAAATAAACACATTTTCAAAAATATACAGTCATTATGCTTCATGAACACTGATCTGGTGCTGCTGCGTTAGTGAAGATTTGACACATTCACATTCAAGTTGGACTGATAAGTTACATCTTAAACATCATTTCAAAGACAAAATGTAATACTGTGGAAGAACAGCCATGGCAAAAAGTCGCCCTTATCTGTTAGAAGTCTTTTCCTACTGGTCATGGTCAGTGGAGACACCACTAATGTGTAGGTCTGGTGCGGGACAGGTTGTAGAGGGACAGCGGTGGCTCGGGGCGGCTGTAGTCGGGGGGGTTGGCATGAGGGTCATAGCCCAAACGTGAGAGCATGGGGGCGATTTCTGCCATATCGCTCAGGACGTCCGAAGGGATATTCCCCACCCACTTAGACAGCGCCTCTGTGTTCACTGGCTTCACCACCTGATCCGTTGACCGCTCCACTCTGCACAGGCACAAGAGATTATGGACATGCCTTTTTAGCGTTAACTGAAAAGAAGACATATTATGCTTTATTTAGCATATAATAAGAAATAATAATAATGGCTGCGTGATATTGTTGAACATTTAAGTATGACCCGGAGTCTGTCTTATAAGTAAAGGGCCTTAGGCAAAGACAGGGAGTGGGTGAAAAGAGAAAGCAGACATTTCCTGAGCACTTATCAAACAATTTTGTAGTTTCAGGACAATACAGGATTACTCAAACATGCTTGAATCAATCCAAATATAACTCTGAGTGAGCTAATGATGATTATATAACATGGTTAAAAGCTCAAGTATATTTTGTAAAATATGTCTACAAATAGTTTAATAACAATTCTTATTATTAAAAGATTGAAGAAGCAATTTGTTTACTCTACTGCTTGAAGGATTTAAATTATTTACTCTAAATGCAACCTTTTGCTTTTCCTGGCTGGGGACTAGCAGTTGTACTTTGGAAGCATATTCTATTGTATAGAACATCAAAATGTGTATACAGCCTCCAAATATTTTATCTGCTAATAGATTTTACCTCATTTATACACTTATTTTAATGGCTGACAAAAGCATTATATCAGACTACTTCTCACTGTCGGAGTGCTTTGTATGTGAAACTTTCCAAACCTTTATTTACATCCCATTTACACTGTAAAGTATGCAACCACAGTAATAAAATTCATATTAAATGTGGCCTAAATCCTCTAGGGCTGTATATGCCAGGGACCCATTTTACTGTAATTTGTTGATGGCTCAGATCCCAGTAAATCCCCAGAGATTAGATCAGGAAAATGATACTATATTTGATTTAAAGCAAACCAACACACTAATCCTGTACTTGGCACACAGCATAATTTTCTTTGGCAGAATTAAATAACAAAGAAAGAAATATCCATCCATTCATCAGTCAAGTCATGATTTTAGAAAATATTAAATATTAATGAGTAAAGATTTGGATTGATGTTACAGGCAACAGTTCACTTGGGTCATGGCCTGTGTAATGCCTGTGGACATTAGTCAAAAGAACTGCAGTTATGAGGTCTAAGGAGCACAAATCTATCTTCTGTCCTTCCTGTGTCTTCCTCTCCGATCACACCAAATACCCATCCTCCATGTGCATATATTGGCTTGACTTAGTGACATATGGCCCATATAAACTAGCTTCATCTTCTCCAGCTTAACCATCAGAAGTTGTCCTGTTTATAATTTCTAACATTTTAATTAAACATATTTTTACTCAGTCCTCATTGACTGTTACACATTAATTAACACAGGGGTCTACTGGACAATAAGCAAATACATTTATATCTCATTACAGTTTTCTTAATTATGTACACAATTATGTACACACGGTAGCTTTATAGAAAACCTTTTTAAGTATCAAATAGAGCAGAGTGCCCAAAGTGGTGCGTGCAGGCCACCTCTAGTTTTACATGCACATTGAAAATGACATTGGCCTAAAGGACGTTATCTCTGTTACATTTCACTGATTGTACTGACCGCCTGCACTGTGACCTGTGTAAATATAGCTAAAGCATTGCTTTTAGATGGATCAATAAAGTCACGTCATCTATGGTGTCAGGAAGCTATTATATTGTGCCAGCAGTTCCCAGAGCAAAGAAAAGGACAAATGAAAACCTGTGTACACAGTGAGCCAAATAATTACTAAACTAATAGGATAACTTCAAGTAATGAGAAACTATTTGGGTGCAACAATTAATTTATGATTATGTTAGTGTAATTGGGTAGGTACAATATTCAATAATTACAACAAATTGGGAAAAAATATATATTTAAAAAGGCAAGATGCAAGAAATGAAACAATGTCACTTACTATTGTATGAAAAGGAACCAAAATATTAAGTCAAAAAACGCACAGTTACATCAAGAAATATGTTCAGTAAAATTACGGTGACAGAAAGTACAGAAGTACAATATGATGGGTTACTAAAATAAATGTGATGAGCCAAGCCAAGAATGACATACAGCACATATCCCCTATGTATATGCAGTCTAGTTCTTCTAAAAAGTGTCAAACAATTGAAAGAGTGCGGTATTGTAGCCACATCCTGCTTGTGACTCTTGAGTTCATACACAGACTGTATGAGATTTTGTTTTTAAGGTAGCTATATTGGACAAACATATTGTACTGGATTGCCTGAAGATGAGGCTACAATGAAATGTTCACAGTATGGCTTTAAAATAATCACCATGGATACAAGGTGACACTAGAAAAGTATTTTTAGCAAGTATTTTAGCAATAAAAACATCAATACACATGGAAGAGCCTCCAACAGAAAAGTCACATATGCACCTTTAACCAAAAACTACTGTAAATTTTTGGATGTTTAGTAAAGAATGTGGATAACTCACTTGGATAGAGACACGCCCCCCGCCTTCCCGATCAGCTCCTCGTGGTGCAGCACAGAGTGGTCCCACTGCAGGTCCAGGAAGTGTAGAAGTTTCCTCATTTCAGGCTCTGGGCGCTGTACCAGCTCCTCGTAACGCACTGGGAGACAGCGCTCTTCTCCGGCTGCCAAGCACTGATTCACCATGGTTTCCACGGCACTGCTCCACTTGGTCAGACAGTCTCGGTAACTGCTCAGGTCAAACCCAGAGATGGTAACCTACAAAATGCAAAAACACACACATTTAAAGCTCCAATAAAACATTATTCCTTCCAATAGAATGAATTAATTTTTGACTATATAATGTAAAAGTGTACATTGTGTATAGGGCATATTGCACTGAATTATGAGCCACATTTTATGAAGCATGCACTGGGATTTGTTTGGGTTTTTGTTACTATAAACTTCAAATCATAGCCAGAAGTCATAAATGTGTAAAACAATTTGTCCATGTAAACAGACCGGATGCATTAACAGATTTGTAAAAACGGTAGCTAACTGTTTAGATGGAAATCACTGAAAAACAAGTTTTGGAAGCATACCTTTCGTGAAATCATGGAGTGGACGGCTGCTCTGCCGTCTCGAATCATGAGGACAAATTTGGCTTTTGGAAAGATATGTGACAAATAGGACAGAGACTTTAGTGCAAACGGGTCTTTGTTACACAGACGAGGGGCAGGCTCTCCATGACCAACAATTACCTGAAACACAAGCAAAAATGCACCATCATTATCACATACCATTAAAGCATTGATGATGGGAAATTTAAGAATGCGGTTTCTTTCTTTAAGCAAACTATGTATATACAGAGAGTATGTTCACATGTGGTTTATGCGTTATACTCATTTCATTTTCCTATTTGTTCTCAAGGTTTAACAGATTGTGGCCATTGATCATTAAAGGTGCCAATATTTGTTTATATATAAGTTACTCAAAAAACTAAAAACAACCCTTTTTCTAAATATGCTTTAAGAAATCCTATCACTACATTAACCCTATATTGCCTACAATCACTAATGTAATTTTTGCAATCATAAACTCCAAAACATAATTCATTGCCTCTCTCACCTCGAGCAGAAACGCCCTCACAGCTGCATCCAACACCTGGTCAGTGACCCCGGCTTCATCCAATCGGATCCTCTCCTTCACAGAGCGGCTCCACGTGGCCCTCATGGCTAACAGCCGTGGTATTACCCTCGTCTCCTCCCCGCAGCGGACAGCATTATGAGCATCTAGCATCACCCGCATCAGAGTAGTACCACTACGTGGAAACCCTCCGATGAAGATGAGGGGCGTGTCCTCGGGGAAGTGCTCAGACAAAGACACATTCTGATTGGCCGATTGGCTCAAGTGCATCTCCATCCATTTGTGTCGGTGGCTCTTGGGCGGGCACTCCACACCACTCATGCCCAAATATAGAAGAGAGGCGGAGCAGAAAAGTACTGAGCACAGGAGCAGCGTGGATCTGCTGGTCCGCATGGTTCAGAGTTCAGCGCAGGCACACATGAACATCTAAAGAGGGGAGACAAAATATGGAGTGATGTTACCAATTTGAGACATTGACTTTGGAAGAAATTTAATTAAGACATCCAAGTAACTACATGATTATACTTTTGTACTGAAGAACAGTACTGCTGTGTTTCAATAACTTTACTACTGTACACAAGCAGACATTTATCTTACAGCTACGGTGCCACGGCTGCATGATAAATGAGAAAATTCTACAGACAGTCACTCTGCATAATTAAGGTACTCAATGTTACACCACTTTAATTGATAATCTTGTGATACTGCTGGAATCTAAATGCAAATAAATATGTCAAGACTAAATTAATGAATGCAATTTTCAAGTCAATAAACCAAGTTAATATAATCCATAAATCTTCACCTGTGGGTCTATGGCACTTGAAGAGGCGGAGAGAGACAGAGAACTCTCATGGGAGAAGCTGAAGGAATACGATTGTGGGATATGGTCAATTAAATACAAGCTTTGTCCCATCTGTGGTCGGTCAACCCTGGAATCCAAGAGCAATGAGTCCTAGAGGGGGCCGAAGCTTGTCTCTTCTTTTACCCATGACTCCTAATAAGACAAAATAATTTTTTTAGAACGTTGTTATGCTTTCTGATTCAGAATGAATAGTAGTAGTAGTTTGCATTAATTTTCATTACTTGTCATATGTTGCGGTGTAAGGCTGTGTCTTTTTTTTTTTTTTCTATTAAATCAAAATTGAGATTCACTCATATTCACTAATCATCACTGACATGTTTGGATCTTTTTAATCAAGTCATGAAAAGCATGGAGTTTGGAGTTCAAACCTGGAAGAGAAATTCTTAAAATGTCTCTATCGTTTATGTTCATTAAATTAATAGCCAAGGACAGACGTTTATTTAGGTTGAAAGCGTTTCGCAGCTCATTCAAGCTGCTTCTTCACTTCTGGTCGGAATGCTGGTGGACACTTCCTTATATCTGCCTGTAGGGAGGAGCAGGCAGATATAAGGATGCCATAGATTCTACCTGGACGACTGAGGGATTTTACACACATTAAATTAATACTTAAAATACTTTTGAAGCTAAGGTAGAGTCATCAGTAAGCACCTGGCCACCACAGTGCACATCTTTCATACTTTACCATGACTGAAATCTGTACAATGTGTAAATGTACATTTATCCAAATATACTGTAAAATATATATTCAGTTAAATTTTCCTCTTTATACTGTGCCACCTTTGTCCAGACGGTCATACAGGAAAACAAAAAACAAGCCATACTTCTCATTAAAAGTCGGACTAAATGATAATCAATGTTTAAATAGCCTGGGCTATAATCTGTAAACAGGATTTGACAGCAGTCATGTTGGAAATATAACTCCACAAATCAGGGGCCAATTGTAAGAATCAGTGCAACAAAGCTTCACAGACTGGAAGTTGATCCTTAGCCACTAATTATAGTTATAGATGTTTTGATTCTTTATGACAGTTTCTACCACACTGGGACAGAGACAATTTGGTCTTAAGATCACATTACCATTGGCCAAGACAGCCAGACCACAACTTCTCCATTTCACTTTGCACACTACACACAAAACACACTTGTTCCTCTTAACAGACAAAACGTGCAGTTCAAAAATAACATCTGTATGAAATGATATACTCAATAACTATTACATTCATTTGACTGCAGTTTGAAAACATTGTTTTGGACTTCATCTTATGTATGATCCTAATATCAACAATAATCTGCAAATGTGAGGAAATTTTGGAAAGATATGCAATTGCGATTGAGATTGAGATACCATTTGAACCTCATGTCCAAGGCAAGAGCATTATAGAACTTGTTTTGTTTTACACCCATTTAACAATGTAGTTGGTTATGGTTCAATAATCGCAAAAAAGTGAAAGTACTGTAATATACACCACTGGTAAAGAAAAAATCTAATATAATTCTCATGATTCTAATAAAGTTGAACCAAGCACGATTTCAACAGGCACAAATGGCACAACAGGTTAATGCTACAGCTCAGTCCTTCAGGCACATATTTTTTCAGCCTAGATGTAGAAGAAACTTGTAGAAGTTTATCATATTAATTATTTTTCTTTTTCCTTCTGAACTGACTCATTGTTTTTTTTTTTCAAATTAAATAACCGAGTATGTCATTTTCATTCATCTGTCTTACATGCAAACACTTCTATGAGTCTTTGCAGCTGTATACTTTTACAGTTTTAATCACAATCCTGTACTGGAATAGCTCGTTTTTGGCGAGTCCATGGTTTTGCTCTTGTTAGAGATTATGGACCAGGCCTAACATCTGGATGCCACGTGGGTCTATACAGTGTTCTCTTGTTTCTATAGTTCCTCCTGATAAGACCCAATGTAAAAACATTCACAGACAGAAAGAGGACAAGGGTCTGTTCCGAAGGTCCAAGGTGCTTTTCTAATCTGGGATAAGGCAAGTGAGGGGAGATTTACGTGAAAAATTGCCATACAGAGATTAAGCCAGAAACAGAAGTAGGGCAGAGGTTTAAGAACAGGGAATATAGCCAAAGCAAGCCTTTGTGTGGCTTTGCAAAAGATTTGATTTCTGAACTTTCTATAATAGCAGAATTCTGCATAACAGCATTCACAAGTTCTATAATAAACTACAGTTAAATGCAGTAGGGTTGGGCGATATGGGAAATTTTTTTTTCCTGATCCTGATAATGATCAAGACTTTCAGAGAGACTTTTAATATTTAACACAAATAGTCACATTTATTCCACCGAATTCAGAACGCTGCTCCAAATCATGCTGTTTCAGACAGAAATTACCTCTCAGTTCTCAAGATAAAAATCAATTCAAATTGTTAATGATTATCTCCATTTGATCATTTACACAGACCTTAGTTTATACTCTCTGTTGCATAGAACCCCTAGCAAAGCTGCCCAATTTTTATATTTGACCATGTCCTACGTCCTATTGGAATCCTTGGGAAACAGTATTGTGTTGGGCAATTATGGCATTTGCCCAACATAATGTTACAAAAAAACATAAATTTACCTACAGTTGATCTTTAAATTCCTTTAACTTCAAACTAAATGTATACGACTGCCCTGTCAACTTGCACTTGTTTTTATAGTGCTTCTTCCTGACAGTTTATTGTGTTTGAGTTGTTGTTATTGGTCCTATACCTTTTGGCTTGGACTCACATGGAAAGACTGTTTAATTTTGTCATTTCCAGGTTACAAAAAAAAAAAAAAAAAAAAAAAAAAAATTCACATGAATTCACTACTAAAATGTACACTTAATATAAAGTTCTTAATCTGCAGCCATTGTCACAGTGAAAATAGTGCTGTAAAAACATCATTATGTACTTCATGCAAAGACCTGCATTAAACATGATAAATCTGGGATTGACCTTGAAAAGGCTGCAGTATTTGTGGAACAGCAGAATCATATAAAGACAAAGGTAAGTGGAGCATGGACCTATAATCAGAGGACTGGAAATAATGTGACTAACCAAAATGTCACCTTTAGAACATTGAGTTCCAGTCAAAAGCACAAAACTGATAACAGGTTTACTGCAATGCAATACAGCCATTTATAACACTAAAACACTAATGTTAGAAACAATGTAGTAAAATCGAATAGCAAAAATGTAATCTCTAATTTCACATGTACTATTAATTTAGTTTTTAAGTAAATAAATGCATATAGAGATAAGCTTGTTTTGTTCAAAGTAGGCATTCACCTTATGTAGAGAGTCAAAACATCCCTATTTACCTGTGACAGTCCCAGTTTTGAGCTCTGTGTCATCTTGTCCCAGCAGATTTATACAAAACCAATTTGTTCCAGTTTTATACAAAAAATGTCCCAGGTATTGGACCAATTTGATCCAAAGCAGGTCTAAGAATAAACCAGGACTATATCAGGTCTAAAGCAGGACTAAAACATAACTATCACAATTTTGACTAATCAGATCAGTAAAGAGGAGCATAAATTGCTATTTGTTTAGCCAAATTCAGAAAATTTACAGATATTTTATTTATACCAGTCATCACACCCTGGTTTGTCCCAGTTTTGAATTTTGATAATCTGGTCACCCTAGCCATATGTCACCTGTATATAGTGTTGGGGAGTGACAGATTACATGTACCAGAGTTACGTAATCAGAGTACAAATTATGAGTAACTGTATTTGGTTACAGTTACTGTTTCAGTGAGTGGTAATTGGATTACAGTTACTTTGTTGAAATAAATGGATTACACGGTGGTATTTTCCTGTTTTCACATTTTGGGGTAAAGCCAGGTCTAAACCAAGACTAAGCCAGGTCTAAACCAAGACTAAGCCAGGTCTAAACCAAGACTAAGCCAGGACTTAAACCAGGACTAAAACCAGGACTAAATCCAGGACTAAATCCAGGACTAAATCAGTATTTAGCAAGATTTAACAGGACTAAACCATGTTGCGTGGACCGTGTCTCCTCATATTCTATCAATAATATTTTTATTACGGTTAAGTAAAGTCGGGGCTTTTTATTGTCTTTATATTGTCTTTTTAAACCAGGTCTAAACCAAGACTAAGCCAGGACTAAAACCAGGACTAAAACCAGGACTAAAACCAGGACTAAAACCAGGACTAAAACCAGGACTAAAACAGTATTTAGCAGGATTTAACAGGACTAAACCATGTTGCGTGGACCGTGTCTCCTCATATTCTATCAATAATATTTTTATTACGGTTAAGTATAGTTGGGGCTTTTTATTGTCTTTTAGCAGATAAAACTTCTTATGTGAAGATTTCCTCATCTTTGCGTCTCTACAGCAAATCAAGTAATCCAAAGTATTCAGATTACGTTACTCACTTTAAGTAATTTTATGGATTCCGTTACAAACTACAGTTTAGGGTATGTAATCTGTAATCTGTAGGGGATTACCTTTTAAAAGTCACCTTCCCAACACTGCCTGTATATATTCTATGTGATTGGAGAGGCTATAATGAAAGGTCTGCTGTTTGTTGATCATGGGTTTGATACACTTTGTACACTTGAGCTATTGGCCAATACACCGCATTTCCGCGTTCATCAACATACAACAAACCCAATTTAGCGTAAGAAAAGAATCCATCACGATACACAGGTCGTATATAAAGCGCGTAGTGGATAAAAAGCGAGTGTCTGCGGCTGGAAGGCAAAGGCCCAGCGGCTTTGCACATCTGGACTCGCGGTGTGCAGGGACCCAAGAGGCAAGACAGCACCAGGTGAACGACCCGCTGCAGATCATGAAGCTGTGACAGACCACGACCACCTACCGCCACCAGCTCCACAAACAAGCACTCGATTGTACAACGTTTGACCATTTACACTTGATTTTCATCTAAATGCGTAAAAACGTCTCAGAAAAGAAATACACGTTCACTCACCAGCGCCTGCGAAACAGTCGAAATCCGCAGGAAAAAAACTCCAATCACCTTCTTGGCCCCAAAAAAATGATTATACCAGCGATTTTCAGACACGATGCGCATCTGTGTAGCTTAGTGAAACGTCGATAATCGCTTGGCTGTTTTGCCTTCACCGTTTTCTACATAAAATTTGCACATCTGCGTAACATACAACTTTGTACCGTAAAAACGAAGTGAGCTACATCTACATTCGAGGAGAAAAGATATGATCAGGAAGGGAGATGAAGCCGAGCGCTGATTGGTTTGAATTATTCTACACATTTACATAAACGACTCTGATTGGTCCAAAGGCGTTAAAGGGGGCTCTTCCACCACCGCAGTGTAGGCCAAATGTTTTTGTTTTTTTTATGTACGCGAGGAAAGATAAAATTACTTTACCTATCGATTCGTGTGCTCTTAGTAAAAGCCCACAAGGGAGATTCAATCAGCTAGTGTGGTATAAAGTGGAAGTTACGGCCGGTTCATTCAATTTAGCAATGTTTTTCACGCGCAAACTCATCTGGCAAGGCAGACAAGAATTTTAGGGTGTGATGATAACATATGGTTTGGTTTGGTGGGATTATAGTAGCCACATACAGTCTGTAACTTTAAGACGTAATAAATAGTAATGAAATGTTTGGCATTTGTAGTCATAAAATAACTGGTAAGCCATAATTAATCCTTGACATATTGGAAAAGATACTTTTTCTTATTATACTGCTGCTGTCCTTGCACTTTGCTATATCAACACTAATTTCCCCATATTGGGACTAAACGCTATTTATGACATTCTCAGTCATTTCCGTCTGGTAGTTGATCAGATGGTAATGGCTTTTACTATATTTAACTTCTTCAAAACATTTCAACTTGCTTGCAAATTAGTCCCCAAAATACAGTTTTAACTTAGCAGAGGGTTATATAAAAACAGGAAACCATTGCATCACCTTTAAATGAAACGGTGTTTTTTCCAGAATTTCCTTCCTCTGCCTTTCAACAAATTCAAACAACATAAATCATAATCAGGTCCAAAAACAAATCAGTATTTTTGGAATGAGTTTTACCTTTTAAAAATGTTAAAAGCAAGCCCACTCTGTATTTGCAGGATGAAAATTCTTGACCAAGCCTCTCCTGGTTCATTTTATGCAACGCCAAATAGGGATGTTGTGGTTAGCTTAATGAAATCAAACTTTCTTAATGAAAAAGGAATGTTAATCTTAAATAAACACATAAAAAAATCTAACTGAATAGAAATTACTTATTTGGACCAGTTTGTACTTCAAACCCATAAAAAACAAAATCAAAATAATTTAATAGGAATTTTATATGAATTCTGCTAGGACTTTTTTGCCTAATTACAAATTCTAAAATCTCATGTTAAGTGAAATATGCTTCAGCTTTGACATGGAAATTATCAAGACCCAACAAATGCTCAATCTCCTGTCTATCAGGCCATCTCCAGGAACACCAGCTATACCTATGCACGCCTCTGATTTTGTGGGAGACTTGACTCTCAAAATAAAGAAAAAACAAAAGCCACATCTTCTGGAAATAATGAACTCATTATCAGGACAATTATAGTACATTATGCCTCACTTTTCAAGTAAACCATGGCATGCCAACCATGATACATTTGAAAACACATTATTATTGACTGATTCAAAACTCCAAACACATTTTTTATTTATTATTATTATTATTTATTTTTATATTTTTTGCTCGTCACTCAGAAGACAGTCCATTCAATGGAGAAAAGATGGTTGTTTTTTTCTAGTTGAAATTACTTACTACTCGGGTTTGGACATGCCATGATTTCTATGTGTATAGTTGGTGAGCATGGACATGTAGATCTCATCATCTGAGTCTTCATCATAGTCAAAGTTTAGTTTGTCGCCACGGAGCTGCATCAGGTGAGCTTGCAATTGCAGACTTTGTTTCTTTGCCCTATTTTGATAATTTTTCTTGCGTTTTGGGGTCTGACTTTGAGGACAAGTTGTCTCTGCACCAAGAACTGAGGTACTGTCCTCATGGGGCGTGATGTTGCCGTTTTGACAATTCCAGATCAGTTCATTTGAAAGTCCACTAACTTCCACTGGCTCTTGGTTAGATACTCCATTTGAGCTTTTCTTAAGCACTTAGGCTCATTTCAAGGGCAAGTTCTTTCAGAAGAGGCATTTGAAGATCCATTAACCTCCAGAAGTTCAGGGTTAGACGTTCCTCTTTTGTTGGTGAGCACAGACATAGATTTCATCATCTGAGTCCTGATCATTGTCAAAATTCAGTTTGTCACCACGAAGTTGTAGCAGATGGGATTGCAATCTCAGGCTTTGCCCTGTTTTGATTTTTTTTCTTGGGGGTTTGGGTCTAGCTTTGAGGGCAAGTTGTCTCAGCAGTGACACCTGACATATCGTAGCCATATTTCTCGTTCCTTGGTTGATTCAAAGCTTCTCTTGCCACCATTGGTTCAGGACATGCTGTTGATGACAAAAACATGTGGAAATCTATCAACAGCTTGTTCAGCCCAGTCTTTTTTGGGAGTGAATCTTGGGTTGCCACCCTTGATGTCATGTTGGTACTAGGCCTGAGAAACAAGATACTTCTCCTTCCTGCTGTAGTTTTGATGTGAGGTCTACTGGCATGGACCTCGGTCCTTGTGTCCACATGGGGCTGGTTGCCAACAGCTTACTCAACCTTATCTGATGTAGGAGTAAATGTTCTACATCCACCCCTTCTTTGAGTCTGCTTCCAGTTCTTAGGAGCTTGATAAGTCTCCTGTTTATTGGACCTTTGATAGAAAGATCTACTATCACTGAATCCAGCCCTTGTGTCGACATGGTACTTGGTCGCAGACAGCGTGTTCCTCTCTAACTGGTGTGGAAGGGTATTCTTGGTTGTCACCTCTTCTTCCATAGTGACTCCATTTTATAGGAGCTTGATAGGTCTCCTGGTTGGAATGTTGATAGCGAGGTCTACTGGCATTGACCTGAGCCCTTGTGTCCATGTGGGGCTGGTTGCTGACAGCTTGTTGGACTGTACCTGCTCTGTAGGTGGATGTTGTGTATTCAACCCTTCTGTCTTTTGCACTCCAGGTTTGATGATAGTAGGTAGTAGTAATCATGGTAACCATGGTCACTGGGACACCCATGGCGGAATGTCAGCAGTGAACAGAGCCCAGGAAAGTGAGCACTCTGCTCTTCCTTATATCTTTAAAATGAAATAAATAAATATTTAAATAATAATGAATATAATAATTATATGAATAAATATTGAAAATGTATATTATATGAATATATCAGTAGTTTGAATTTAGAACAATTGGTTAAATTAAAGAAACATACATTACTCAGCTCTTATTTTTTAATATATAGTGTCCTGAATAACCATTTAGTAAATAATCTCAACATCCATTATGGCAAACATGTTATCCCACCAGTTTGTCAGTTTATTTATTTTTATAAAATATAGAAAAGTGACTTATTTTTACAAAATGCTGACTGTTCTTTATTTTATAGTTGAAATCCAAAATGAAAAAAAAACAAAAAACAAAAAAAACAAACATAAAACCTCAAAGTGTGCTCAAACGCTAAAGGTTTGATTTCCTTTTGCCCTGCTAGTGTCATGAATTTTCTGCAGTTTCTTCTATCTCTACATCAGCTGTGGTTTTGTTTTGTTGTTCTGGGTCTCCAGGAAGGATCTCTGCAATGGTCTGAATCAGCTCCTCAATCTGCTCCTCTGACAGACGTTCTTCACTCTCTTCAACCATCTGAACATAAATAAAGGATAAACATGTGATCTATTTCAATACAAACGATCTATAGTTATGACAAATGTAATTAATATATGTAACAGACCATAATACACAATATAAAAAGAATATATCTATGTCTGTCCTCTGTAGCAGTTAAGCATTTAGCAGAAATATGCATTTGTAATAAGCAGTACATATGTTTTTGTAAAGCACTTACGAGCTGAATTTCCACTGCTGTTTGTGGGCGGTGGTTTAGTAGCTGCAGCTTTTCTGCTCTGAAATAAAGAATAAATATAAAATGGTTGAAATTGCAAAGACTGAATGTATTGTTCTACCGAATGTTCTACATTCTGTTCTAATCCAGAGGGGTCTCGAACCAAACCAAAGAACATGAAAAACCTCTGTCCAAATTTTAGATGATCCAACCACAGCCACTAATTTATTTATTTTATGAGTGTCCCTCAAATGTGGAGGATATCTCTCAAAAATTCTTGTAACAAGTATTCTTCAAGTACATCCAAGAAAACCACAGATAAATAATAAACGAATTAAATGTATTTCAGAATATTTGTAGAGGTCTAAAGTCTACAAAGTTTTCTGCTGTTTATACTAAAGAGGACCCCATGGAGACAGTATACTTGATTCTCTGCAGAGAAAAATCCTATCATTCCAATTTTCCAGCTATTTAAATTCCAATTGATCCAGTTTGCGATTAATCTACCTCTGTCTCCAACCATAATCTCAAATCCTAATATAGCCATGACACTTAAATGTCACTTAGACTGACCAGACGTCCCGAAATCTAAGCTGTTGTCCCAAATCCTGAATCAGGCCCTAAATGCCCCGAAAATTACACTCCAACAGAATACTGAGTAGTTATTTTCTGATAAACATTAAAAACTGTTCGTAAGTAGGTTAAGTCGATTGCATGCAGCCCTGACAGCTGCTCATAGGCTGCACGCAGCCCCTGATGTCTTGCAAGTGGCTGCGTGCAGCCCTGGCAACAATCTATCCATTTTGTTTATTTTGTGACGTTCTACAATTAAGCGCAAATATGCAATGTTGATAAACCAATTTTCATTCATTCAACATGGGTGGTGTACTAGAACCCCAACACACTGCTAAAAAGCAAAAATGTCATTGCAGGTACCAGGAAGAGTGGGTGGGAAAGTACATGTGGATTGCCAGAGCCCTAAGCGATGAAATGAAAGCATTCTATAAAGAGTGTAGAAAAGAGTTTGGTTTCGGTCTCTCTCACGGAGTAAATTACACTGTACCAACATCGTGACAGTACAGAGCAACGGCATATGTGCATTGTTTTCTTTTCACGATAATTTCATGATTTTTATGTTGTTTTCTGGTGGCAGAAATATTACTGAAAGACTTGATCTTTGAATAAATTTATGTTTGTGACAAATTCATCAGCAACCCCCCTCCCCCCACCCAAAAAACAAACAAAACAAACACACTGTCCTGAATTTCAGTCAGTGTCATCTAATCACCCTAATGTCATTCTGGTTGAAGATGCACTGACCTGATACTGGTATCTGATATCTGCTCTGGTACTGAAACTTTTTTTTTATATAAAGTCGTTCTATAGTTACTTGATGGATATATAACAGCTACATAACACATATGGATCAATGTTGTCTTATTTTTGTTTAAAGGAAACAAATGTAGTTTTCAGTCTCATTGGTCGCACTGGTATTGATCGATATAGGGCCTTAGCAGATACATAAACCTGAAGTATCGAAACTGGTATTAGAACTGAAAAAGCTGGATCGGTGCATCCCTAACTGCAACAGTAGTTCACTTGGTAGGTGGTCTGTTTCCAACTCCCACATGTGAATACTGTCATGGGAAATACTTAATCCACCTTGCCCCTGGTGTATAATGTGTATATGAATGGGTGAGCGCTTCCTTGATGTAAAGCTGCTTGAAGGTAGAAAAGAACTATACCATTTATCAGACAGGAGGTTGAGAAAAAGACAAACACCAAAACATATACATTACATGTTTTCCAACTCACTTTGTAAGTTTATGAGGCATCATGGTTGTAAGAAAGTCTTTGACGATCTCTGGACTTTGCCTGCTGCAAGGAGTCTTTGACAGGTATTTCAATGTCTACACAAAACATGAGAATATGTTCAAGTAGCAAAAAGGGTATTTGATTTTATAAACAGAACGAGCTCAGACCTCATACATGATGGTGTTGAGGTTTTGCTGCCCAGCACTGTGCTTGTTCTTCCCACTGTCTTTCCTTTGCTCTTTCAGGTCTGTCAGCAGTTTAAAAATCTGAAGATAAAAAATGAATTAAAGAGGATAAAAGCCCTCGTCCCGGCAAGAAACCCACCCCCTTGCCAACAATACAGGTGATTCAATATCCCTATCTCCAACATGGGGTGGGAGAGGTTTGTGATCCTACAGTCAAAGGACTACAAAATAGAACGCATGAACACATGTCTCATTGACTTTTTAGATCAAAAGTACAAAGGTCTTTTCTGCCAAGTTTAGCCAATTTAAGCTAAAGTAATTAGTTTTCTCCCCATAGTATTGATTTATTTGACTGCCATAGGTATACAACGGAGGACATTTATGATCATATGGGCAAAAAAGGTTGACTTTTTGAAAGAAGGGCAGATGATGAAAGTTTCTACAGTTTTATTACATTATTTTTTTCCTTCTGTTATTCTTAGCATGAATCGTACCTACTGTTATACAGAAATGTAGGTGAATTTCAAGTTGATTGTAAATCACACATAGCGTACTTTGTCCAAAGAATTATACTATATTTTTACATTTATAAGTAGAACAACATTGTGTGCATGACCCGCACCAATAGTTTCCCGGTGGAGGGTCTAGAAGTGTACTGGTTCTTGGTGGAATCAGATTTAACTAGCATTTGTTTAGATGGCATTTAGAGGGAGCAATTGACAAGGCTTCTTGAACACATTTTGCAATGATGTATTGTTTCTTAGGATGTTTTAAATGTATTTTCCTTGAGCAAAACATTTAAAATCTCATCTTGGTACATTTTAAGTCAGTTTGTCTTTGTTTTGGAGACAGTCCTCTTATGTTATAGCATCAAAATTTTCTCTGGTTCCCTTCCTGCTCTAGGTCATCAGCTTGTTTGTAAATTGGCTGACCTGCAAACTTTTCTTCAGGTGAGGAGGATGGAAGGAATCCGCATGTACAGACAAGCATTTATCAGTGTATTTTCGATATGTCACTAGTTCTTTTCTCGACTGATCAAAATGTTCAGGAAGTTTCCATTTCACTGAGGTTTACAGTAAATTTAAAATACTTATGACTATTATATGAAATTATAAAACTCCAATAGGCTTTCTTTTGGCCCCTCATATATCATCAACATATGTCTTCCAAAGTTTTATGCTTGTAGAATGGATTTTTTTTTTTTTTCCCCATTTTCCACAAATTCGTTGTTAAAATGGGCAACATACAATGAGCTACATTGTTCATAGATTGATGACACTTTTTCAAACATGAACATATTTTTCATGTTGGCATTTCATCTATTTCATAAATATTAATCTCATTATACAGGCTATATACTCATACTAAATTTTGTGAGCGTGAGATTGAAACAACTGAGACACTGTCAAATTTACAGAAAAAAAACATGTTTTTTTTTTTGTTTTTTTTTGGCATCAATCCTGTCCATCAAGCATTGGCAATGGGAGCACGCCTGTGTTCCCTCATTTCTATTTTTATTTTATTATTTTTCCCAAAATAAAGCCCTGTGTTACCACATTTCTTTTAGAATCAGTTTGCATCAGAATTTAACCCCTTTTCTCCCTGTTTGGTAGTCAATTACACCCAACCCATTACCCAACAGCAGTTGACTACAGATGTAATGTAGAGGTCATGGTGCAAAGGATCCTAGGGTGAAATTACTTAGAATCATCCCTCTAAATACGGTATAAAAATAAAAATTACTTGACTTTGAGTTTAACTTTTTAGAAACATCTTAGAAATAAGAAAAAATCTTAGAAACACGGGAACGTGGGGTTGAGGGAACCTCTTGGCTATAGCTCTGGGCAGATCCTGGCTCGGCTATTGGAAATATTTCAAAGACACAATGAGAGATGCACATACCTCATAGTTACTGAGCATAGCAGCATTGGCATTTTTCCTGGAAATATAAAATAAACATATTATGCCTTGGAAACGGACAAAGTATAAAACAAATCATATAATTAGACCTTTATAGGTTTAATTAAAAATATCTTGTCTATTTTAGCTTTAGGTAAATTTTAGCTGACGGTGTAACGTTAACATTATCCCACTGGCTAAACTGTTACACAAAATATACGCATTAAGCCTCTCGATGCAAAGACAAATCTAACAGATACTTCAAACAATAACTTAATAGATACTTATTTACTTACACCTCCATCACAAATACAACAAACCGAAAGCTGTAGCATGGGTCCTTTAAAAAAAATGGTCCGTCTAGAAATAACACCAACACAAACGTTCCGTCACCACAACCCTTCATTTTTATTTGTTGTTTCGTTTACGCCATACATCGTATATACCGTAATTACATTTTTATACAGTCTGTGGTTTACACACGTACACGTTAACGCATTAAAGACTTTACACAAACCATATAATCAGCATATAATCAGTAGAGAAATAAAAACAATGTCAGGGATTGGGGGAGTTTATAAAATTATAGGCGATAAAAGGTGTCCACTAGCTAAACACTACATGATGACAGCACATTAGGGCTATATAAATGGACATACAATCGTCATACAAAATGTAATAAAAATGGCAAAATATAAACTCTGAATTAATTTTTGTATGAAGCTTTACAGATTTAGCACAAATAAACAAAATAGTTAATGACCCAGAATGGGACATTTTAAAACAAAAGTAAAGTAGAATAGAATACTTTTATCGCATCATTCCCAACTCCATGTCCATTGAGACAGGAGTGTCTGACTCACATATGAAATCAAAGAACATTTTCAGTGTGCCATCGTTCAAATTATTAACCTTGTTAGCAGTGTATTGAAACACAGTGTAATTTCGGCTGGTGACTAGTTTCTTAACATTGTGAATTATAGTCTTGTGGTGTTTATTAAAGCCAACTAAAATCTTCTTTAATACATCCAGTCTGTCTCTTTTCACTAACTGAACAATAAGATTTTCAAGAATGGATGACAGAGGGTGTCCATACTCAATGACACTTTGAGTCTCTCCTGAGGAACTTTCATAAAGAAACCCACCTGAGTGCATTGCCACAACATTACAGTGGCTGTCAAAGACTGGAGAGCCAGAGGAGCCAAAGTAAAAACAGGTCTCATAGGTTAAATCTCGAGTCCTGGACAATGCCTTTGCCACCCCCCTAGCAAACAAAGGAGTCACAAACGGAATTACTTCACCTCTTTCACTGGATGTAAGGTTTTCATTGTAATGTTTCTCAATAACCTGACATTGGACACTGATATTGGGTAAAATCCAACTTAGTTCTACTTTTTTCACACCCCCATGTGGGTGGCCTATGATACAAATGCTGCCACTAGGGGGAATAAATCCAAAGTGTGACAAGAGACCAGGTGGTAGCACTTGGTCTGCATTCAGCTCCAACAGAGCCCAGTCACATTTGTGGCCTGACACATCAATGCCGTACTCACAGGCAACTATCCCCTGTACCTGATGCCCTCCAGTAGCCTGGTCAAAACTTTCAAAGGAGAAATGCACACTAATGGGTTCTGACAGCTGCATGTTCTGATTAAAAACATTTTTAATTACATGGAAATTTGTGAGGACAAAGGAGTCGAACAGAAGAAAACCACTGCCCACTGCAGAACCTTTTATTCTAACCTGACACACAGAGTTACTCAGGCTCATCAGCCTCTTCATGGTTTCCACAGTTACAGAGCCCTGGCTTCTGCCATACTCCACTCTCAGAATTTGATGCTCATCTTTTTCCTGATCATTAGACATTTTATTAAGAAAATCTCTTACCAGTGATGACAGGTGAGATCTAATTTCTTTAGAATCTGGGATTTCACACAGTTCTTCTATAAATGTATTGTTTTCATCATTATCATTTCCCTGTTCAAGTGCATTATCATTTCCCTGTTCAAGAGTGTCAATAGCATCCTCCAGACTACTTGGTTGGCTCTCTGGAGGACTGTTCTTATTCAAAATAATAATTTGAAAAGTTTTATCATCAAGATCATCAACAAGATTAGACATCTCTACATTAGTGGTCAAGTCATAGAGAGCGCAGGTTTTCTTAAAGATTGTTTTAAGAAATCGCCCATCTCTTTTCAGAGCACGTTTCACCTTTTCCCCTTTGTAAGCATAAACCGAGAACTCAGGATATGATCTTAATGCTGGATTTCTTACTATTTTTGTAATATTTTTTCCCCCCTTTGTTTGTAAATTAAATACAACCATTTGCTCTGATGACCTTGTTCCAGACTTTACCACTGGCTTATCATCTGCAGATTTGGAGTTTACATAGTTAACTTCCAGTTGCTCTTCAGGTTTAATCAAAATGCATGGAAAGTGTGAAGGGATAGGTCTGCCACCTCTCACAACCACAAGCTCTTTGAGTTTGTTCTTTTCTTCATTTTTTCTGAAGAGGTCACTCCTCCTCAGAGAATCTTTCACAGTTCCTGCTTCACCACACGTTATGGTCATGGGTTTCTTCTGTCCCAAGCGCCATTGAAATGAGTGAGTTGAATGACAAATCTGACTCTGCAAACATTTTTTTTTTATTAAGTTACACTTTTAAAACATGTGTAATTCTAGGAAATAAAAATGTGGCTGTAAGACTTGAGAAGTTTTTTTTTTAAATTGCAATTCGTATCAACAGATATTGCAATTAGAACTGGAGATTGGAATATGAACATGTAAACTCACAATACACTTATTTATTTGTTTAGCTCTAAATTATAGGGTTACCACAGTGGCGGACCGTGCATTACACACCTAGGCCTTCAGTAGTAGCACGGAAAAGAGGTGAGGAGTACGGTGTATGCGAAGATTCTATGCGAAGACTGTACTTTTGCGAGTATTCAGGTGGTTCGTGGGGACGCAGTCAAGGCGGGGGCCACTTGTTGTCAAGGCTTTAACTGCTGCGGTAAACACTGATATCTCCAGTACTGTCCTATAATGACCTGTGACATGAGAGACCAGGACTGAACCAGGACTAAAACAGGAGTAAACAAGGACATCGGGAAGGGCCCGGGGGTGCACCCGTGTAGTCGCAAGTGACCGCATGCAAAAAAGACTCTAAAAGGGCTCTACACCCCGCGGGACTAAGAGCAGCCGTCGCCCGATCGCGCTTTGCGGACACCCTGCTCCGTGGACTCGGGGTTCTCTCTCTCACACTCTCTCTCTCTCTCTCTCATGTCCAAGATTAGTCTTGGATTAGTCCTGATTTAGACCTGGTTTAGACCTGGTGTAGACCTGGTGTAGTCCTGGTTTAGTCTTGGTTTAGTCCTGATTTAGACCTGGTTTAGTCCTCCTGGTTCATTCAGGAATTGCGTACCCCCACTTAAAATATCCCAACTACACCACTGGTAATTAATAATAGTAATACATAGTAATAATCATTTCAATTTGCGTAGCCCGCTACTTACAGATGCAATTTGCATCTGTAAGTTGCAAAATGGTTGTTTTGTTGCCATACACCTGCTAGAAGCACCTGGTGACACCAAATCAAAATCTGATTGGTTAAAGTAACACTTTCATGGACATTTATTTTGTGTTCGAGGGCCTGCAGGACGGATTGTGAAGGCATCAGGCAGACTTCTTTGACTTTAACTCTGCCTGGCAACAAATGATGGCTGAAGTGTGATTTAATATGAAAATACATGTCTGAAGCAGCACAACCATCGGAAAAGCTATAAAAGGAAGCGGACAGACCATTTGGAATTATTTAACAATAGTATAATTAACATCAGTCTGTGATTCAGATTTTTTTTAGGCCAGCAGAGAAGGACTTGAAGGCCCTGACGGCCCACCACTGGGTTAACAAGTTTTTCAACAAAGACATAATATTTTGTTGTTTTATAGAAGACATTCTAAGTGAAGCTTTTGTAAATTGCAATTTTGATTTAATTATGATTAAATGTGCTGTCCTAATAAAAATCAGTGAGTACATACCTTTTCTTGTGGTTGCACATTTGACTTTTGGTTCTCTTTCTAAAATCAAATTATGTAAGTTATATGGTTGTTATTGTTGTATTACAACTCAGCAGACAAAGGCCTTACCTCAGCTGTGTTGGCCATGTGTCATTCGTGGCTGGTCATGTATTTGAGATCAAGGCAGGTGGACAGAGTGCTTATCACAGGTTCTCTTTTGCTGAAAGGAAATGTAATATATTTTATTTAGTAAAAACACCATAGTTGGTTTTATTACATTATTTATTATCATAGTGAAGTCTCCCTTATCGAATAGCTTCAGCAAGCTTTGTTAGCTTTAATTAAAGGAATCTCAACTTAGGCCTGATGAGACAGGTTAAAGTATTTACAATGTGCAAAACACAGTGGACACATAAGCAAAAGATAGCCATACGTTTTTAAAAGATGTAAATACTTTTATACCAGTTACTTATAATTGCAAGCCTCCTTTTGCAGCTTGCCTGTTGCTTATCGACCGAAATTAGTAATACATACGTTTATACTGCAGCACGGTCAGAGCTAGGAAATTCTTCGTCTTCTTAATAGTTAGCAACTCGCAACCATTAATGCATTTAATTATCGGTCGCAACCATACACATTTTTGACCTTGGCGCTGCTAGATTTTTCAGGAAGTACAAAAAAAAAAAGAAAAGTTTTACAGGAAGTACGTCTCAGGAAAGGAACCGCCCCCAAAACCTGACATACACACAGCTAAGAAATAAAGAAATAAAGAAATAAATAAACAAAGAATGTGAGATTGATGACATTGTCTCACTAGATTGTTTTCACCTATTATGTTGGCGGATTTCACAATTGCTCCATCCTTCACAGAACATTTTCATTGCCAGGTCTACTAGTTGCTTTCAGGCAAAGCATGAACATCTCCACGGAAACAAGAAAAAGTTACGGAGTGAAAGTTCCTACTGTGGTAAAAAACAAACAAAAATTGATCTATTAAAATAACGGGTGCAAAGAACTACGCTGCAGAACATATCCAGGAGGTGGCAGCACTGGTGACAGTCGGATTTCCACAGAAGAAAAGCAGTTATTTATGTTTCATCAGAAAAACTCCTGCTGTTACAAACACGATCCGCCGGGTGTTCAGCTCACGGACACACGGAGCTATGGCTAACGCGGAGGTAATTTAAACACATGCTTTATCCTTGATTTAATGATAGTCCTGTCTCCACGTGTATACACGTGCTTTTGTTTTACTGTTGTTTTTAGCTTTCTCAGCTTGTTGGAAGAACAGTCCTACAGTGCTCCTGATCCACGCGGGTCTTATTTATACAGTTATTTAAAAGGCGCTATTTGCCTCTTTTCTTTTGCTTTGAAATCTAATTTAATTTTATGAATGACTGTCAGCAAATGGCAGAATAATGATCTCGAATTACTTCGAATCACAGTATACTGACTTTCTTCTTTTTGTTGATTTCTGAATATGTTTTGCACTTTGGAGATTTACAGGGTAATGGTTTGGCCCTGTTTCTCCATGGAAAATGTTAAACATGTTTCCTGACACTGGCTGCTCTGCATGCGTAATTAAAATGTGCTGCCAATTCCACATTACCAAGCTTTTTTCTCTTACTGCTCTAATACTGTGCTTTTTAACAGGGAAATAAACTTTGGGGGGGTCGGTTCCTGGGTGACACAGACCCCATAATGGAGAAATTCAATGCTTCAATCTCCTACGACCAGAGGATGTGGGACGCAGACATCAGAGGAAGCAAAGCCTATGTGAAGGCGCTGGAGAAGGCCAAGCTCGTCACCGCAGACGAGATGACCAGTATTTTAAATGGGATGGATCAGGTGAGGTTAACCAAGTTTATAAGCTTAGCTAATTAATGCTTCTATTTTCCATGTTAAATACACAAGAAATAACAGGTGTATTTCTATGCTATGAAATTACGTACTTACTTACTATTTCTTGCTTCCTTGCCTTTATGTAAATTGTATAACATCAAGTAACTATAGACAAACATGGAAATAATAGTTCAACATTAAGTTTACATTGCCTAATTTGCTTCTATAATTATCTGTTTAGCTATTGTCACATGCATGTCCTCACTGTAGAAGCAAAAACACTGAAAAAGACATTCTAATAAATTAAATCATATATAAAATATGTAAATGTTATCTATAAAACACGTCACACTAGTTTTGTTCAAAAGCTAAAGTTTGAATTACTGAGTTGTTTTAATTTAATCTTCTTGCATAATTTTCCAAAGTAGATTTTTAGTTGAGGCTCCATGTTAATAAATGACATCTGAAAACAAGAATGCAGGAAAGTTCTGTGCTTTCTGAGGTGAGAACAAAAACAGAGCACATGACACAGAAGCTGAAAACTGCCCTGTCATTCAGACACACAGCGTTGAAAGTATGTGGGTGAACTCACTTTGTGCTTTATAAATACAGATGAGTTAACTTTCATCCCTCCAGACTGCTTCTAGTGGTACAAAGCCTCCACATAAAGCAAAAATCCTGGTCAGAAAGTAACATCGTTTGAAATAAATAGGGTAAACAACTTACTTAACAATATATAATTAAAATTGCGGGTTTACTACAATATCTAATATATAATCCCCGAGGCTTTTTCAATAATTGTGTAAAAAAAAGTACACTGCGTAAAAAAAATAAAATAAAGGAACACTTTGAAAACACATAATATCTCAATGTGACAGAAAATATGTTGGATATCAATACAAATATGGACAGGGCAATGTCTTAGGAACAAACGGATGCCACCTCTTTTAATGGAAATGAACAACAGGTGCACTAGAGTGGCAACAATGAGACAACCCCTGAAACAGGACTAGTTTTGCATGTGGAGGTCATTTCAAGTTTCTCCCTCTTGGTCTTCTTTGGCTGGGTTTTCACTAGTGCTGGCTTTGGCTGAAGTGATTATCACTACTGGGAGTATGAGGACAATCTGTGCAACTTCTGTAGGGTTAAAGAATGACACATCCAGACATGCTGTTGCAAGTTTAATGTGTTTCCCAGCACATCTTCAGAATATGGAGGAGATTTCAGGAGACAGGCAGTTACTCTAGGGTAGTTCTCCTGCTGTCTGCTTTAGACCCCTAAAAGGAGGCAGTATGGATCGCTTAACCCAGTGGAAACACTCAGGGTCCGTGCTGTTCCTTCCCCTACCAGCCCTATGGAAACGAAGCTTAGGACAGCTGGACAGGGCCGTAGGAGGTCCTCAATCCTCCTTGCACAAAGGAGCAGGACAGATAATTGTTCCTTTGCAAGGAGGAACAGGTTGAGCACTGTCAGTGCCCTACAGAATGACCTCCAGCAGGCCACTGGTGTGAATGGCTCTGCCTAAACAATCAGAAACTTCATGAGGGTGGCTGGAGGGCTTAACGTCCTGTAGCACCCACCACCATGGAGCTCGATTGGCATTTGCTAGACCACACCACAATTGGCTATCTGTCACTGGTGCCCTGTGCTCTTCACAAATGAGAGCAGGTTCACCATGTGCCCCTGTGATAGACATAATTGAGGCTGGAGAAGACAAGGAGAATGCTATGCTGCCTGCAACATTGTTCAGCATGAGCGGCTCAGTGCTGGGTCAGTGATGGTCTGGGTAGGCATATCTATGGAGGACACACAGACCTCTTCTGGCTAGAAAAGGCCAGTCTTCCTGCCATTAGGTATGGGGATGAAATCCTTGAACCCTTTGTCAGAAACTACGCTGGTGGTAAAATTAAGCCCTCTGTAGGCTTAAAATTATATTTCCATGAAAGCAGTTGGCATCTTTTTGTTTCTAAGCCCTGTCCATATCTGTATAGATACATAAAACATTTTCTTTTCACATTGAGATCTGATGTGTAAGTGTTGCTTACATTTTTTTGAGCAGTATTTGACTTAGACTTAGAAAAACTTTATTGATCCACAAGGGAAATTAGGACACAGTAGCTCACACATCACAATAAATATAATTACAAAGAGGAAACATATAAAAAATGAATATACAAGTATACGTAATGTATATTTATAAGTAAATGGACTGAATGTGCTAATGTTTATAGATTTCTGAGGAGTGGAACAAAGGCATTTTTGTGATTAAACCTGAAGATGAAGATATTCATACAGCTAATGAGAGACGATTGAAGGTAAGTATGATTGATTACTTAACTGATTTATGTTTATGTTTGATGAAGACAGTAGAGTCACTGTGGTAACCTATGAAAGAAATAGCCTATATTGTTCATATATTTTTGTTCATATATTTTAAAAGGAGCTGATTGGTGCTCCTGCGGGCAAGTTACATACTGGTCGTAGCAGAAATGACCAGGTTTGTATATTTTTGTACCAAACATGGTACATTTTGTAAACTTTTGTACTTTTACCCCTGTTGTCTCTGATATTCAGGTTGTTACTGACATGAGACTGTGGCTTCGTGATGCTATTTCATCCCTCAGAGAAGCCGCATTGCAATTGCTTTCTACAATGGTGGAACGGGCAGCAATGTGACATAAGATCAGGATCGATTATAAATACTGTATCTAGTCTAGTCTAGCTGTAAGCCTTTTTCTAATTCTGTTCACAGAGAAATTGATGTCCTATTTCCTGGTTACACACACATGCAGAGGGCCCAGCCAATCAGATGGAGCCACTGGATTTTAAGGTAACAGTGTGCTTTAATTATGATAGTATCTGTTATTATGGGACTAGTTTGTGTTTTCCTTTTAGTCATGCCGTCGCCCTGAGCAGAGATGTGGAGCGGCTTCAGGAGATCAACAAAAGGGTTAACGTTTTGCCTCTAGGAAGGTACATCATAAGAACTTTTAAAAATAATATCACATATCTGTTGAGATGGCGTGACAGCTCAGCTCAATGAACCCGTCTGCCATTCCTTTACTAGATTAATTACTGTAATCTTCTGGTTGTATTTTCTTGTGTTTTAGCTTGTGTTTTATGGAATAATTTATTCATTTACATAGTGTTGATTGTACAAAAGCAGCTGGCCATAAATCAGATTTTTGGGGGATTATTAGTGTATTTATTTGTCTGTGCCCAAGGTAGACTAGACAATTAGCCTATTTGCCAAAATTCTAATGTTTGTCTACATTTTTCAGTGCAATGATGAAACCCAGAATGAAAAGATGTATTATTTTAGTCTTATTTTATTTGCTAAAAAAATATGCAGTTATTATATCACATCTGAGAAATTCTCTGGCAGCCTTAACATCATCAGTTTTACCACTTCTCATTTCTGCTACTTTGACAACTGTTCTCCTTTGTATACGCTCTTGTTTTGTGTAATGGTTTATTTATAAGCCCTCTTGTTTTCAGTGGTGCTCTTGCTGGGACACCATTTGACATTGATAGGAATCTTCTGTGTAAAGGTGAGACCACTACACCAAAAGAATAAATTAATTTCTATACTTTGAGGACAAAGCAAAAATGTCCTTTATATTACAGAGTTGGGTTTTACCAGCATAAGTCTTAACAGTATGGATGCGACAAGCCAGAGGGATTTTGTTTGTAAGTAAACGTATATATGTTTTATTTACAAGCATGCATGGTAATGATGAATGGTATTTTTTTTTCAGTGGAGTTTTTGTTCTGGGCTTCACTGTGTCTGACCCACCTCAGTAAAATGGCTGAAGATCTGTTGTTGTACAGCACCAAAGAGTACTCCTTTGTCACACTTTCTGATGCCTACAGGTCAGTTGGTTTCTGATCATATGATGTTATGACGTATGTTGCAATATGATTCATACATGTTTGAGTAATTCTGCATTGTTCTGCATTGAAGAGTTGAATACTCGGAAAAGTCCTTTTTTCACCTACCCCCTATACCCACCCACTACCTTGTAATTACTTTTTAATATAAGAAGAAATTACAACTTGGCTTGTACATGTTGGGTTTGGTAAATGTCGCATAGTAAATTTTCAACCGTAAAAACAAATTAAACTGTAGTTTTCTACTATAAAATTCCATTATGAAGAGGCAGGGCCTATCAGCTCTGTAGTTTTGAACCAAAACTCAGCTGACCTGCTTCTATTATCAATCCCTTTTAGACCAATATTGCTTTATACAATGAATAAAATGTATAGAAGTACAAATCCGTATATGTTGTCATTCAATACTAAATACCCCCAAAAAATCATAGTATGATTTCTTTATAGTGGGAGTCCATGTTCTGTATTGTTTATAAAGATTTATATACTTCTGTGTGTAGTACAGGCAGCAGTTTGATGCCACAGAAGAAAAACGCTGACAGTCTGGAGCTGATCCGCAGCAAGGCGGGACGTATCTTTGGCCAAGTAAGACTTGAAATATTTAATAAAAGACCATTCTGTTCTTTGGTTCACTGACTTGTGATGTTAAAATAAAATTACCGTAACCAATTTCCAGTTTTGAGGTTAAAGTACAATAACTGAAAACAAAAATACAGGTCTGGTTTAAAGTATAACTCTTGAACACAAAAATACAGCTAGTGCTTTAAGAACCTCTAAATTATTAAAATGTGAAGACCTAATGGACCTAATAAACCTGATGTGACTATGTAACTCTTAGTGGCACAGGGGCATAGTGTTAACTCCTGCCTCATACCAACAAGGTCTTGGATTTGATTCCAGGACTTGGTGGGATCTTTTTGTGTAGACTTGCTTGTTCTCCACCTATCTGCACAATATTTCTTTGTTCAACCTTTATAGTAGTTATCAATTGATAGAATGTGGAAATATTTAGCAGTTTTTTTTTTTGTGCAGTGATTTTTAGTTCCATTTCTTTTTCCAGTGTACCGGGTTTATCATGACTATGAAAGGTTTACCTAGCTGCTACAACAAAGACCTGCAGGTACTGTCCCTGTCATGTCTACTTGATTAATTGTTTTATTGGTATAATTACAGCAAATCATGTATTAATATTTTCTCCAGGAGGATAAGCAAGCCATGTTTGACTGCTTTGACACACTTCATGCTGTGCTTCAAGTGACAACAGGAGTCATGTATACACTCAAGGTATTCAAGTCAATCATGCCTACTATGTAACTTTTGGTGAATATGTTTCTTTTTTACTTTTCTTTATTTAGCTAGTTTGCATTTTTAGACTTGATCTTCCACTAAAATGCCTTAATCACAGATAGAGTAGATATTGTTCAAAGTGTACTCGAAATGTACTTTGTATTTTATTTTTCAGATTAACCCTTCAGTAATGGAAGGAGCCCTCAGTCCAGACATGTTAGCAACTGATTTGGCCTATTACCTTGTGAAGAAAGGGGTGAGTGAGATATTTCAAATCGGAGTTAAGTGAATAATAAATATAAAGAAGCTTAGCAGTGTAAGTGACATTGGGTTGATTTCAGTACTAGAATTTATAATGTTTTTACCCAGTGTTACAAAGTTTTAATGCTATTAGAGGATACGTTTCAGCAAATATTCACAGTAGCCTCCTTCACATTTGAATGAAGTCTAGTCACAACATATCAAGTAGAAAGAGGTTTCAGAGCAACAGGACTAGACTGATCTGTGCCAGGAATAAATGTATGACCCATCTTTGTTTAGGTCCCCTTCAGAGAGGCTCATGGTATTTCTGGAAAAGCTGTTTTTACTGCAGAATCCAGAAACATTGCCTTAAATCAACTCACTGTGGAAGACTTGAGTTCTGTCAGGTAAATATGATCTTCTCCCATATATTTTATTATACATCTTTTAATATCAGTGTTGTCTACATATCCCTATTCATTTTATTTAATACATTTATGTGAAAATGTCCCATAATGATTCATTTAGTTAATAACCATTTTCTTTTCTTTTCAACTCAAATCTATGAGTTTTTTTTTATTTTCAAATTGTATTTTTCCCTGTCTCTAAACTTACTACAGTGTCAGTTTGTAGATTCATATGACTTGCCTACATCATTATCTTGTCTTTTCTCATAGCCCTCATTTTGGAGAGGATGTGGCTGCAGTGTGGGACTATCGCAGCAGTGTGGAGCAGTACAGTGCCCCCGGTGGGACAGCAAAGTCCAGTGTCTTAGCCCAAATAGAGCACCTACGAAACTGGATCAAGACACAGTCGCAGTAATCATCAATAATGATTGAATCTAGTTTACTGAACAAAATGGTCAATGTTTCATAGGTCAATTTACTGTAACCTGGTTACAAATTAATTAATGTTACGGTATGCACAGTATTGCACTCATTAGCAATGTAAGCCGTCCGAGGTTTGTTGACAGTACTTTTATTTTCAAATGGCAAACAATTTATTTCGCACAGCACCACTGTTGCCTTTAGTTATGGCTAATGAAAGAAAATGTTTTTTATCTTTTTTGTATTTGTAAGGTTACATAATATATTTATGCATATTTTAAAATTTAGATTTTAAGATCCTATCTATCCAAACCAAAATACTCTACCTACAAACAAACAGTTATAAAGGTTAATTAACTTGGCCTGATTTAGCCTCTTTATTAACTATGCGAGAGGTGGCTGTGAAACCTTCTAAATTAAAATAGTTTTCTTTTATAATTTATACATGTATACAGTTAACTGACCAGGCTGATAATCATAAGTAAGAGATGTCTGCACACACAACATTTACTAAAACTTCTAGCTTTCTAAATATGTAATAAAAGACAAAAAGAGCACACCAGGGTGAGACTTGGAAGAAGTAAGCCAGAGTTAGATTTGTAGACAACTCTGCCATCTAGTGGCTGAGTGGGTCTGAAGATGTCAGTCATGGGCTGACCTGTCCAGAACCGGCACTTTGAGATGAAGGCACTCAACTAGAGTAAAAAAAATATATTTAAGGATTAGTATAAAACCCAGATTAAAGTATAAAATGATTACATTCAATTTACTAGAGAAGTAATAATACTGGAGAATACGTTATGCTCAAAATCTTTAGGTTTTAACCATGTACATACATGCATTGGAATTTTATGGAACGCACCTCTCACCTGTCCTTAATCCAGCTCCTCACCTGTCGGCTGCTGACCGGTAGCATCCTCTTAAAAACGGTCCAGGCCACGGCTTGTTCACAGCCAGGTGTCGTCATGGAGCCCATGTATCTATAATAACTGTGGAGTTCAGACGCTGATGGGACGACGTCACTCAGTCTGAAGTTTATCACCTCTGTAGAGCTGCCTGGGAACAGAGAAGTCAAAATCTGTACAGTTACAAATATTATAGCTAGAAAACACACAGTTCAGGGTTCACAGGTCTTTCACATGTTCTGTTGTGTCCTCTTTCGTTTGTAAATCTCATTGTTTTTTCTCAGTGACTCCAAATTTCATTCTCAACATCTTATATTGTGCAGAGGAAGGGTAATGAATATAATACAAGTAATTTTGATAACTTTTTAAATAATACATTAATGACATTGATGTTTCAGTGTACTGTCATTTTATAGTTTTTTGGTACCATTATTTTGAATACGACCCAACGCCTCTATCAATGTGTCCAGATGTGGATGGTCTTCAGCTGTCTCCTGTGAACAGCATATATTTTTTAATCATGTCAACAGCATTTTAAACAAAACTTGATATATTTTAAACAGTACCTCAAAGAGAAAAGCAAGGAGAGCTATTCCAGCCATGTCATGCTCAGCTTCGGTCAGAGACCCGTACGGCTCCTTTATGTGAACTATGTGCATCTATAAATTACACAGAAGTCTAATAGGAAAATATTTTTTATTTTGTATATCTGTCAAAATAGAAAGCCTTGACAGAGAGGAAAGTACAAAATAGAAAAGAGTGTTTTCAGTGGTCTATAAATCTCCACAGATTAGTTGGAGTTTGAAGTCAAAAAGTGTCTAAACTATTAACCTTTTACTTTATATCACCACAAATGTGATCAGTTGTGCCAGTATTGATATTTCTTTGTGGGTTTATTTTATATTTGTATGCATGTTATTCATAGTTACGCAGTTGGCCATACTTCCATAGGCAGCCTCTCTCCGTCAATGGTGTGTTCAGACCCTGGGCTCCCCTCTCGGCCCCAATGAAAGTGGAAATTTGCTGCTCTGTAGTTTCCAGGCAGAGCACCCCCGGACAACCCCACCGACTGAGGCAGCCTGAAAGTGGCTTAAATCACACACATACGGGCCTACTGTATTTTAAATTCATTTATGAAACATGAAGATTGCAGTCTGAAGCAGAGTACACACTAAAGTACACCCTAAAATATAGAAAAGTTTTCACTTGTAAAATAGTATTATTGTAATTGAAAATGAAATTAGCAGTAAGGTTGTTACCAGAGTGCCCAGTGTTCTCCAAGCTGATGTTGATTTGTTTGTTGTGTCCGATGAAGTTGAAAGGAGCTAGAGCAGAGTTAGTGTGGGCTTTACTAGTGACAATGTTGATGGGAGACTGGCGAAGCCCTCCACATCTTGGGAACTGGGTTACCCAATGACTCGGATCTGAAATCATTCAAAATGGGTTAGTCGAAATTAAAGATACTGTATGTTCATTTAGGCATGATGTTCCAAATTGAATTCTGAACTAACTTGGGGTTTGTTTTTATTACTACTAGTGCTGTGTTCCCTTGACCTATGTTCACTTTATAATTATATTAGTGCTGGTTTGTGATTGGAGAGCAGATAGTGTGGTTGCCATTTGACCCTAACTGTCAAGGAATAAAAAATACAAAATGCAAAAATGCATTTTAACTTTGTCTGACATTTTGTCTTCAGTGATAAGTTTGTGTCAAGTGCCTCACCTCTACATGATTCCTCACAGGAGTACTGGGTATCATAGCACCACAGATCTGAACAAAAACAATGCACTTAAGCAACAGCAGCAATTGTTTAAGTCAAACTGAAATGTCAAACATTCACTATGGACACTGTTTAGTTAGTTAGAATATTTATTTAAAACTTGCACATATTCAAATTGCTATTTAAGTTTAGCAAGTTAATTTCCACCGTCTTTCAAGATCTATGCTGACTAAAAGATGTTTAAAGAGCCTCAACACAGCAATAGAAGGAGTGCTACTAATTGCTCTCCTGAATTAATGTTGTATTGTTGAGTGGTAAACATTTATTGCTTAGTTCGTTACACTCTGTCTTGTTTCCAGTGCAGTTGTTGTCATGTGAGTTTGTGGTGAGAATGGACAGCTCTATAGACAAGTCTTAATCTAAAACAGGAGTCAGATTAAGCCAGATGTCTCTCACAATAACCTGCTTTGAGTCAAATCGTTTCTCACCACAGAGAACAATGCACAGGACACACTGGCTCTGGTCCACCTGGCTCTGCACCTGTTTACCCCGGAGAGGGGCAGTACAGGCAGGGCACTCTATAACAGCTTGTCTCTCTGATAGTTAATCAAAACATCTAATATTAATGTATTTCTTATTTTGGCATCTCACTTGTATCTCAGTGGAAAAGATGTCTTCATGCTTTGTAACACTGATCTTTGATTTTTATTTGTTTTCCTTTCTGTTCTGGTTTATAAATCCTACCAGGGTGCAAAACCCATGTAGCCACTCAGCAAGCACATCACTACACAGAATAATTTAGGAGGGGTATTTTTTGCCCTTTAAATAAATCTGGAAAAAATATTATTCTATTAGCGCCACTCCTACAAGTACAACAATGACAACATATGTTGTGCGTTTTTAGTTGTTTGACTATAAGACTCAAAAAACAAAGAAATTGAAATCAGTTTTCTTTTTTTGTAACTTAACACATTTTTACAGACATTAAATTCATCTAATTAATTCTAACATAGGCTAAAAAAGAAGGGAATTCACAACAACAAACTTTACTGGCAACATAAGTCTCCTACTCTAAATTTGTTCTAATGAAAGTGTTTGGGTGCTTACCGGTGCCTGTGGTCTGGTAGATGTAGAGTAGGTTGAGGAGGTAAAGGGACAAACCCATGATGAGTTTAGGTTACTCCCAGGTCCAGACCTCTTCACACTTTTGAGCCAGGCAGTGTGGGACCTGGAAGAAAAGGGGCCCTGGCCCTGGTTTTAAAACTGGCCCCCTTCTGGACAAAACCTGCACTGCCTCAACTGGGCAGAACAGAGGTTATTTGCACAAATGGATGTGTAATGTAATAGCCTATCTGTGCAAATGATCAGCAGTTTATTTAAGAGGTGAAGGTGACCTTCTATTTAAATAATTCACACTTAACTGCATAAATAATTGTGCTACTGCTTATGTTGTATATGTTCACATTTGAAGCAGAATTTCTTAAACCATATGATATAGAAATATAGACAATATAATTTATTCATATTTCCCCAACCTATTGTCTCTAATAGCAGTTCAACACAATGTATATGTATACATACATACATTTATAATAATAATAATAATAATAATAATAATAATGCATACGTTTTTTATAGCACTTTTCTGGACACTCAAAGACGCTTTTTACAGAGCATTATTCATTCACTCCTTACCCGGAGGTAGACTTCTACTGTAGCCACAGCTACCGTGGGGCAGACTGACGGAAGCAAGGCTGCCAATCTGTACCATTGGCCCCTCCAACCACCACCAACACTCATGCACACAGCACTTTCATACTGGGAATTGTGGGTGAAGTGCCTTGCCTGAGGAAACAACAATTTTTTGCAACTGGCAATAATAATTTTTGCCTATGGTAGCTTTACATCTAGCTTGTCATTTGCTTTCCTTACATATTGATTTTCTTTTATATCTCCTGAAAACATCTTCTATTCTCAGTACTTTATGAAAAATAAAACACAACATAACTTAAACAAGTACAAATATATTTAATTTATTAATTGTTTATAGACATTTGTGTATTACAAATCACATATTAAATTGTCTTTAAGCAGCACTACTTTGTTTGCTACTAATGTAATAAAATGAGGAAATCCTTCATGTGACAGTTTTGCTGACAGTGAGAGAATAGACACTTATAAAACAGGTTTAAAACAAAGTGCTTCAGGCTGAAATGAATGGACCTACACTGTACAGCTACACTGTATATTTCATAAAGCACTGGAAATGTTTAAATTGCACTTAGGCTCTTGTTTCTTCATTGGGTTTGGAAATAAAGGGAAGCAATCATCACAAATAATAAAAAAACATTACATGAAATTAAAAGGGTGCTAAAATAGCTATAAAAGAATAAATAATTACTAAAAATTTGTTTAAATGCTGAAATGAAATGTTAACAATTTTACAATAGAAACATTTTCAGTCAAAAGTCATCTCTGGATTTTAGTATTTCTAGAATTTCTTAGTACTTCTATCATGCGTATGTACTGTATCTCTGCAGTCTTTTCCAGTTTGTGGTCTTCAAAGAAAATAATTCTGAAAAGGACACAGAAAGATTAATAATAAAAAATGTGCTATATCTTATAACAAATATGCCAACTTCAACAACTGAATCTAAAATTTATATTTTAGATTTCGTTGTTGAAGTTTAGATTTAATTGTTAAAGTTGACATATTTGTTAATCTACAAAGTCTTTAAAATCTTCAAAAAGTTAGGTATTAATGGAATGTATAAAATGTTATTATGCTAAATTGTTTTGTTTTTTTTGTTGTTTTTTTTTTTTGCCAAAACCACTTTTATAATGTTGTTCCCTCATCAAAAACATGCCTGAAGTGGTTTTTAGAAGTCATTCATTCAGTATTTTACGATCTCTCCTGGGCCATCCAGTAAGATTCTGTCCAGTGCTCTGCCCACAAGCCTACGTTACCCATGCTCCATGAATATGCTTGATGAACATCTTGATAATCATGATGCAGTGCTCAATAGTTTCATTAGTGGGTTATGTTATGTGTTAGCTGTTAATACCCCATAGATGTAAAATGCCCCTCTTAAATAATAAACCTAGATTTTAGTTTACATATATTTCCACTATGTAATTTTTACTTAAAAAAGGGCAATTTTATTATTTGCTCACCTGAATGACCACAGCTGCCACCACAACGAGGGTGGCTAACATCATCATGCGTCCGATCCAGCTCAGGTTTGAGGACTTGAGGATGAAGAAGCGGGCACGGCTTAGTTTTGAGGGAGTGTGCGGGGGGTATCGCATGGTGTTTATCCCCTCCATTTTCAGCTTCTTGATGAGACAGCTGCGCAGATGACTGAGCTGGTCAAAAGAGAACTTACCATGATAACAGCCCATGCCACTGTTACCTGAAAGACGCAAGAAGAGGAAATATGTATTAATTAAGGGAGAAAACACTCACCATATAGTGTGTTGGAAATCACAAAGGGAGCAATTTAAGCAATATGTCAAAACATGTGAAAGTATAACTAATGTTATTAGTACTGTAAGACAAAATTATTATGAGTCAGCAGGTGGGGGGTTCTGGGTTACTTGACTATATTTTATATTATAGAAATTGGAATAAAATGGACATTAATTTATCATTTGGTACTGTTCGACATGCAGCAGCAGATGGGATGAATTTCACATGCTTTCAGGGCAATACACAGGGAGGGGACAACTGGGTCTATTGTCCTGGGCCCCAGGGTTTTAGGGGCCTGGAATTGGATCCTTTTCATATTATAGTAGAGGGGGGCCCAATGTCAGACTTCTTGCCCTGGTCCCCCAGATTTCTGACAACGGGCCTGATTGCTTGCTTTATATAGATATTATTAATGATTTGTTGTTGAGTCTCTTACCAACTCCTCCAAAAGGCAGAGCGCTGATGGAGTAATGCAGTAGACAGTCATTGGCCAAGATCGCTCCACTGGATGTTTCTTCTATCATTTTCTGTATCACCTAAAAAAAAACACATAGACCCAAAATATCAGTACTTTTCCAATATTTTTAGTTTAATGTTGCTATGACATCATCAAACCTTGTCATCTGGTGTGAATACATAAAGAGCCAGAGGTTTCTCTCCTTTGTTGATGAATTTTATGGCTTCGTCCAAACCACTGATGGTGATGATGGGAAGAACTGGACCAAAAATCTCTTCCTGCATCACTTTGGCGTCAGGCTTCACGTCCCTCAGCACTGTGGGGGCTGAGCACAAGAGTCAAAAATATAGCAATAAAACAAGAGCCTCTTTAAGGTGCAAGGTTTTCCGTCTGTTTGTCTGCATACAAATTATTTTGCTTTGCCTAACAAATACATACATATTTATTGCATTTATTCAATTACTCGGGTTTTGTGACTTAAAAATACATTGGAAAGCAAGCATTCTTAAGGCCAATACATGCTTCTTAAGAAGTTTCTTATATAGTATGAATTGGCCTTTAAGATGAGCAGGGTTTCCTCTCCATTTCTGAGTACTGATCTGTCATCTGCTTAACTCCATAGAGATAGATAAGTTTATGTTTACTATGCAACAGACCTGGGCATCTTGCAGCCTTGGGGAGGAATCTAGCCCTTGACCTGTATTAATCAGTACCCCAGCAATTTTGATAATAATTCTGTCTATAGTGTCCAAGTGGGGAGTGAATGAATAATGTCCTGTTAAGCGTCTTTGAGTGCCCAAAAGGCACTTGTATAAAATGATGGCATAGTAATAGATAGATACAGTAGTTTATATTTTACAGAAATGTGCTTATCTGTTACACATTATCACTAACCCTGCTGTATAAAACCAGCAGAACCAAAGCTAGGACTTAAACAAATTGAAGTCAGTTCTCAGTGGTTCAGTTATTACCAATGTAGCAGTCTGCTTCTTCATTTTGTCCTCCCATGGCCACTGTACTGTCATCTATAAGAGCCATGATTCTCTTGAAGTGTCTCTGGTTGATGACACGTCCATAGTCAGGGCAGGTCTGTGGGTTTTCTGTGTAAAACTCCTAATAATGAAAAAAGAGATAATGTTTTAGAACAATCATTTAAATGCATGTATTATGTACAGGTAACGTAATGCTCATGTTAATTTGGCACAAATGTCAATATATACTTATCAGCACATGCTCTAGATATGGATATAATCAAACCTACTATCTAATAACCAATAACCACACCCCTATTTAATGTCATTGTGCTTGATTTTTACCTTAACGGCTTTCTTGATCTCTGCGATGACTTTGTCCTGAATGCTTGATTCACACAGGATGTAGTCTGGAGCAATACAGGTTTGGCCACAGTTTGTATATTTGCCCCATGCCACTCGTCTGTTTACATAAAAATAAGGGTAAATAAGGAAAAATAAGGAAAGTATTTACAACCAGTAACTCCTTAAGCTGCAAAGATTGTCTCACATTTTGTCCATAGTTGGTTGAATTTAATTGTGTACTGTACTGTTCATATTACACAGAGCTACCACTAATGAACCACAAAAGTGCACAAAAATTAACACTTATTAAACAAAGCAAATTTCTTAAGAGTTTTAAAAAATCTTTTATCTTATCTCCAATGTAGACTTTATATCATCCAGTCCGTGGCCTGTTGGAATCTGGCCCCCAAGCACAATTTGGTATTCAATAATTATTGTAGTATTTTTTTTACTATTTATATATTTATTTGTTTATTTAATAGGGTCAGTACAATTAAACATTGCCCAAAAGATAACTGTATCCATGTACATAAGGCTCACAGGCATTCCTCATCCAATATTTGTGTTTACACTGTTGATTTTCCTTGAGCCAGTTCTTGAGTTTTGTGGTTTAATGTCCAACTGTGTTTAATGTTTAATGTCCAACTGTGATTTCACCTCCAGTGGCAAAAAGTTGTCTGCATACATTTGGCAGTCGATGTCTTTGCAAATTTCTGGCAAATCATTTGTATAAACATATATACAATCATATCAACAGGAAGGTATTGCTGCTTATGAGCATTTGTTACACCAGTTATCACGTTGGTCCTGGGTTCAAATACGGGTCCCCCAACTTTGCTTAATATCATCCAAACATACTTTTTCCCACTCACATCTCCTGCTGTCAAGTCTCTGCAAGGCTCTGAGTGAGTGACAGCTGGATGCAACCAATCACAGTTAAAAGTGTGAATCTTCAGAATATTTAATTTTATTGTGTGGCTTTATTTACCCCTCTTAGACAATAGAGAAATACAAAGTGTACATGAACGTGATAAAACAAAATCATGACCTGTCACCAAGAAGAAAAAAAAATCATTAATTACTCATTTATTTTGGAAATGTAAATGGGAATATCCTAGTTAAAACATAATGTGAGGAGCAAAATGTTCACTTTTGTTTCAAGAATGTCTCATAAATTAGACAAGCTAAGGTCCTGTCTGTGTGAACCAAGGTCACATAGTCAAACAGAATATAGTGATAGCAAGATTCAGCTTTAGCCTATCACCTTCTTTCTGAATAAAACTTCTCTGTAGTGTCTTAAAGTACCTCTTCATGTATGTGCTGTCCTTTTTGATCAAGGTGTAATTAAAATTTTTAACTTTCCCACTCTTTGGTTATGACTTTTTTAAATTTTTATTTTATTGAATGTTAAAAGTAAAATAGACTTTGCCATTTCAATCGGTCTTTCTTCCCTACACTGTTTACATGCATGGAGTTTAAGTTCATACCTGCAGGCAATGGTGATGTCACAGTTTTTGTCGATGTAACAGGGGCTTTTTCCTCCGAGCTCCAGAGTGACCGGCGTCAGGTGCTTTGCCGCGGCCTCCATGATGATTTTACCGACCATGCTGTTCCCGGTGTAAAAGATGTGATCAAAGCGCTGCTTTAACAACTCCTGTGTCTCAGCCACTCCTCCAGTCACAACCGGGTACAGCTCCTGAAATGTAAAGAAGTGAAGGTAATATAATAAACATGTAATAAAGTAAGAATTAAATAGTCTACTTTATATGTGCCAAATTACTTTTTTGATATTACAGTTTAGGGTCTATGAAGACTTTACTAGATATAAATCTATGCTTGTGTTGGGAATATTATTTGAATATTATTTAATAGATAACAGATCAAAACAATATTCCAAAAACTACTACATTATAGTGAATATGTCCAAATATGTATGAGTGTGTTCTTACTTTGTCAATGTAGGCAGGCAGAAACTCCTCCATGACTTTGGCTGTGTGAACGCAAACTTCAGAGGGCTTGATCACAGCTGCATTACCTAGAAAATAAAAACAATCTATAAAAAAACAGCATTGGAAAGCAATTTAAATTACAATAATAAATGTACGTGTGGCTGATTCATCTCTTGTCTTAACTGTAATACTTAATACTTAATTACACAATATTGTTTTCTTCAGGGGCACCTACAGCATTTTTTGTTAAGGTACGTGGTTAAGTTGGTGACAGACCCTCCATGTGCACCTGTGTACGCAGATACATGTCCTGACAGCCCTGAGCAAAACAGACCAGTTTGGTCAATGACCCCTGTCACACTCCTTCATGTCTAACTTAAGATATTCAAGGTCTGAACTATGAGTACAGGTGCCTCTGGTTTTTTTCATAATCTAGTTTTTCATATTGACGACTTTGAAGACTTGTGACCTATTGCACAGACGGAATCTGATAATGCAAGGATGAAGTCCATTGAGTCACCAGGAAATACCTATATTGACTTTCGCCAGGGTAAATCTAGTGTTGGTTTAAAAAAAACAAGCTTTGGAATTGAACTTTTACATTGTTATAAATAATATCATTTTTATTATGTTGCCCTTTTCAGCTGTTTCTTTTAAGAAACATAAAGATAAAGATAAAAGTTTTTGGGCTTGTGTAGGGAGGGACTTGTTAAGAACTTTTACTCTAATTCGATTAACTCTACTTGTAAAAAGTCTATTTTTTGATACATTCAGCTTAGATATGTTTTTAACTTTCTTTTCTACTACATCTGTAGTTAAACACTATTTAATCAGAGAGATTGAAGGTTTAAATTGTTAACTTTTTCTTAATATATTATTGTACTTATTAAAAAATTAACCACTACTCACAGAGAAGTTCATTTTAGTAACATGAAATCTTATTTTATTTCTAGGGTTAAAAATAATGTAAATAATTGTTACAGTATCTGCTAACTGCCCTCTCCCTCAGTGCCCTCTGAACCTCTCCTACCTCTCACAAACTCTCCTGCCCTTGGCCTAGCATGAAGACTCTATTCATGTAATTAAATCATGTATTGGATATCCCAACTTGATTCTTGTGAAGCAGTATTTTAACCCAAAAGAATGAGCTGAGTTGTGAATGTATTGGTGGCCCATCCCTCACCTATCTGAAAATAGCTTTTGTAAAACTGTGCATGCGCCTTAAAATTCATGCATGTAAATACTAACAAAGGGTTTAAAAGAGTTGGATAGATGGATTTAAATAGCTACTTCCTCCTTAACATTATAATGAACTCCCTAGTCATTATTTTTGTTTGATTTTTTATCTGATTTACTGACATGGTTGTATATATTTTTGTTTTACTTTTTTATTTTTATTTATTTCTGGGAACTATTAAATATATTGTGTATATTCTTATTTCTATTTCTACTTGTGTATTTTACATGTGGCACTGTTCTATGTTTTAAAAAAGGATAACTAAATATCATCCATAATTGGTAAGGCAACAAAAAATGGAAATACAGTGTTTTTGGATTACCAGCTGCGATGGCCCCAATGAGAGGTTGGATGGTGACGGCCCAAGGGTAGTTCCAGGCTCCAATGATGAGGACCACACCGAGGGGCTCAGGGCGAATGTAGACTGTATCCGAAATGGTCAGCAAGTTCTTCTCCACGGGACGAGGCGCTGCCCAAGACTTCAGGTTTTTAACAGCCAGGTTTATTTCACCCTCCAAGCCCAGCGTCTCATACAGCTGAGTGCCCACTTCACTCTGATGGAGAGCAAGGATTTAGCACTAGTTTCAAATAGGGCTTAGAAAGACTTTAATTTTATAATTGTACCCTATATTTGAATACATATTCTTTGCATTCATTCTGTGCATTCCCAATCATGAGTGAATTGTCTTACCCAAGATTGCATAACAATAATGTCAATTCCAACCTGGACTTATACTTTCTGTATCAAGCATGTTCTCCCCAGTGAAGAGATTTGGATCGTGAGTGTGGATTGTCTGGTTATATATAGTACAAATAAAATGAAAATCTTCACAGTCTTTTAGAGGAGTCCTGAAGCTACTCAAAAAGTGAGTGGGCTGCACCAGGAATAGCATAAAGAACACTGCAGTACCTACAAAAACAAATGTAAATTATTCTAATTAAGGGCATCTGAAATAATGAGACTGGCTATTGCAGGGCATACTAATAAAGCACTTGAACTGTTGTACAGTTGTACTCACTGCAGTTATGTGGCCATGTATTTAAACTATGTCAAGTGAGTATTTTCATGTAAAAAACACACATAGCTTTCCTCAATAGCACGAGTCCTAAAATACTTATCTTTATTATTCTCAAAGAGTAATTAGCAGCATTTCCAGGATGTAATATAACTCTTAGACTCAAAGTACTTTGGACTTTTTTGGGATGGCTGTTACCTTATTTAGGTCTTTCTTCAAAGCGTTCGCAATCTCTTTTTGTTTCTCAATGAATAGACGCTTGAGGCTCTCGAGCTGCAGGATGCGGTAGTCTAAGCATTTGGACCGACCCGTTTCAAATGCCTTCCTGGCCTGAGCCACTGCCTGTTGTTCGCGGGACATCCTGGACACAGACACAACAGGTTAGCTATAAACAGACCAGGTTTTTTTCACTCTTACACTGGCATAACATTTGGTAAAGTCTCATCTATTGTACTCATGATGTCACATTTCTTTAGGTATTTCTTTGTTTCTATTTTAGTGGACAATAATAAGTGGCCTTATCTATTTAATTTTTGGGTACTATAGTTTTATAGTATTTGCAATGCACGATTGTGAAATATCTTGAGTTAGACTTTGATTAAAAAAAAAAAAAAAACGTAATCTTTTGTCTATCTATATTTTTATATTGCCTATCTGATAGGTAGAAAGACGTTAAGTGCCACTGCTTCTTTCTTTTCTTAAATACGATTTTATCTGATAATCCCATTTGTTGGGCTATCAACTCCTAAATGTTGTATTGTAGTTTGATAACGCACAAACTAAATATTAATATCAATTAAAAAGTAAAAGGCTTTACCCAAAAGCTTTTAGCATTGTCCTCATGAGATGAGAATACTATCCCCAATATTACCCTGTGGCTATTTACAACTATCTCTTGTGACCCTGTTTATCATTGTTTGTAGAAAAAGCACAGTTGTGGTGTGTAACCAGAAACCCAACCGCAGTTTTTTAAAGGCACAGCACTCATTTGAACATAACCATAACAATATCGGGTACATGTCTCCTTTAATTGCAATACAATGAATGCGTACGTTAACATTGTTATTATTATGTAATAGCAACTAATTAATGAGAAACTATCTGCATTTTACCATTATCAAACGCGCAACAAAAGCTGACTTAAGCAATAGCACTGACCATTGCATACACTGTAAGTCCCACTAAGTGCAACGCGCATTTCCGCTATTCGCCTCTTGTTATTGCTCTCCGGCAGATTTCAGTCGTGAAGCCTATGAAGAAACTCTGTATGCTTCTTCGTGGCTCATTCTAATCCTACCTGAATTTGTAGTGTTTTCCTGCGGTCCTGGGAGTGAGTGGACTCTGGACAGCCGGAGCAGCAGAGAAGCGGATACTGTCAGGAGGCGCCCGCAGCCCCCCTTCCCCGCTTAAAGACCCGCCTACGTAGCCGAGTCCCCGCCCATCTCCGGGAGATCCATGGAGGAGACCAACAGCATTTCAACATGGATTTTATAAGAACCACAACACACTTTGGTTTATTACATTAGTTTGTTTAGGTGATCCTATTATTGTCTCACCAAATTTAGAAACAATCCTGAAGATTGTGCAAAAGATCTTAAGATTCACAACTTTTTTTTCTTCAAATGCAAATGTGTACGACGCTACATAACGCTTCTTTATAGCCTATTTTGGCTTTTATCAATTAACATTGATAAAAAATAATACCTTTGTTAGAGCCTATTAACATAAAATCTTCTCTTTTCCTTCTCCTCCTTCATTTATTCATAAAAAATGGATGAAAGAAAAAAGAAATAAATAAATCACATATAGAGCCATCATATAAATTGAGCACTTTAATTTTATGAAACATGGCCAACATAAATATGTATACATTTAAATAGACTTTATTGCGGTGCCAACATTATGAGCCAGATTCACAGTGGGGCACCAGTGGCAAAAACTTGGTAAGACACTTCACCTGCATTGCCTAGTATGAAAGTGGCGTATGAGTGAGTGTTAATGGTGGTTGGAGTGGCCAATGGCTCAGATTGGCAGCTTTGCCTCCATCAGTCTGCCCCAGGGCAGCTGTGGCTACAATAGTAGCATGCCACCACTGAGTGTGGAGTGAACAAACAGTGAACTGTAAAGTGCGCTGGGTGTCTTGAAAGGCGTTATATAAATGCAATGATTAAAGAATTAATTAATTTAAAAAACACAGTTTATATTGCCATTGACTGGGGTATTTCATGCCCACAGCCAACACATTTTTATTTCTCTGTATTCTGGTTACATATAAGCCAAAATATACTTTAGTTGTGACATAGGACCATTTATTTATTATTCAGTGACTCAATGTTAAGATGTGTTTTATATTGGCTCAGCAAGTATGTGGTTAATTTTGCATTTGAAAAAAAAATAAATATATATATATATATATATATATATATATACAGTCTGTACACTATCTATCCCATACATTTTTTTTTTTATTGCAGTGACATCCACAATGTAGGTTCACCAATCTGCTGAATTTTATTACCAAATTCTACCAGTTCCTAAATTCCACCTCTTTTAAAGCTGCATTCATTTATACCTCCTTTTTTTTTGTATTCTCTGGCTGATCTTTAATCCATTGCCAACCTTGATTCACACTACCCTCCTATACTCTTTTGAACATCCCAGGATGGTGTTAGTGGTGGACCGAGACCAAAAATCTGTGGGCTTAACAGGAAACATGGACTTCTCTTTCACATCAAACACCTGAGGTTTGTGTATTGTGGAGGCAGCAGAGCTGGTGCAGCAGAGCGTCATTCACACTAGTGTGTTAAACCCAAATTCAGAAAGAGGACTGTTGGACATGCGCAAGAGTTTGTTAGGAATAAATGCTGAAAGAACAGTTTGTGTATGTATATATTAATTAATTAATTCATACATACATATATGCACTTTTTTTCTTTAATTGACAAATCTGTTTTAAATACATAATTGCATTTAAAACATGTCACAACAAGTGGCAGCATGTTAAAAATGTTTATCAAAACTGTCCATGTTGTAGTTTGTCATCTACTTGTTGAAGTGACAGAAAAAAAATAGCCAAGCATTTTTTTAGGGTTTAAGTCTATATCTTATTGTATTCTTAGTAAATTCTATCCATGTATGTATATTCCAAGTCTGGTCTGTAGGCCTATAGGATTATATAGCCTATTGAAATACAAGCTACATTAAATAACATTTAATAAATATGATTTTATGTATAGTATTTAATAACCACAAACTGTATTTTTGCTCTTGCCAACCCTTTTGTAAGCAGTGCCACTGCGGTCTAGATTATTTTGCAATTCTCTATAGTCTAAAACATACAAATATTCAAGTGAAGATAGTTATTGCCTATTATAAATTATAATGCACTTGAAACAAATTACCAGTAGTTCGAATGTTGGCATGTTAGGCCATGTTTTGACAGATTGGCCCTAATGGCCAGTGCTCTATTTGAAAGGGAAACGTGACCTATAGTTTCGAAACTCCTGAATTATTAGTATCGATATGTTATTGGTTTAGTGATGGTCATGTGACGGTCATGTGCCGCGTCCACTATTGTTTCTCAAATCAGAACACTTACTTTGGTGATCTGTCGTAATCACAGATGCTAATATGTGTCATTTAAGTTTTATGCCCACATCGTAAAAACGTCGCGTGATTCCATATTTTGCATCAGTATTGGTAACTGCTATTAAAAAAGATGCATTTCTGTATTTATGCTCAAAAAAGTAAACAATGATTCGTGCTGTAATCAACTGTTAGCCTGGAAACTATCTGGAAACTGTAATCCACTGCACTGTGCGTAAAAGTTTTGATGTCTCGATCGGTGGAAACGCAGTAGCCCTGTTTGTCACCTCCACACATTATAGCTACCTAAAGGCTCACACTCTGCCACCATCTTTCAATACACGTCCAGCGCTCTGCACACAGCTCCTGCGCCCGTTTAGGGAACAAGGATTTGTACCTGATGCGCTCCAGGAGGCCGTGCGCTGAATGAAGAGGATGTTGACCAGACTTGGCTTCAAAGTGTGTCAAAAGGTGTCACCAGTTTTACCTGTCAACAATTCTGTTCTGGATAGGAAATGGTGTAAAACGTATTTAAATAGACAAATGATGACCAAACATGGCAGATTTAAGCCTAGAAGAAGCCTAAATTTCGAAATGCAATTGATGTTTTGTAGGCTAGCTATAGTAGGCTAGCCTACCAAGAGTAGAAGGATATAGTAGAAGCTATATGAGAAGGGAAAACAGTTTGAGCCATACAATTAACTAATCGCACCATAATACAGTAATAGTTGGCCAGTTTTGCATCTTACAGTGTACAATATTTGCACAGTGTAAATTTGCAATATTTCTAACCATTGCAGTTTTAAAATTGTGTCATTTGCTCTCGCTATTAAAGGGCCCCACAGTTCGTCTAGCCAAAATGGGCTCGTTAATGGCTGATTGTGGATCAAACATGCACTATTAGGAGAGCAGTGGGTCATAGGTGTGCACCACATCAAAGGCACGTGTTTGTAAAGTGGGCAATATACACTTTAGATCCGCAAGTGGCCCATAGGTGGGTGTGACTGAGAGTGATTGGTGTCCGTCTCCAAAACCAAGATAAAACCCGTGCAGTTCGGGTAGTTGTCAACAGTTTGGAGGAGACGCTTCAAGTTAAGTTTCAACGCACTTGGAAATAAGGAACTGAAAGAAATGTCTTACGGAATGGATTTTACTCTACCTGAGATGAACACCTTTTACTGGACCAACACCTGCCTGGATCTCAGCAACATTGAGGATTACGCACAAACTCCAAACAGAGGTGGGTCTACTTATCCTGTTTTTATATTTTTGTTATGACTATATTTATTAGCCTGCAAGATATTTTCAACGTAAATAAGAGAAATTGACCTTTTTTTGTTTTCCTTTAGTATCCAATGATGTGCCCTACATGCGTCCAGACACTCACCGTCGCAGGAAGCGCACCACTTTCAGTAAAGCACAGCTAACCGAGTTGGAGAGGGCCTTCTCCATTACGCAATATCCCGACATCAAGATGAAGGAGTCCTTGGCCTCTCTGACTGGCCTACCTGAGTCCAAAATCCAGGTAAGAACACTGGCTTGTTCTTAAAAAATATATGATGGCATTCATGGTGTGAGTCCAACAATGTAACAAAACTTATGTATTTAATTTTATTCTTTACCAGGTCTGGTTTCAGAATCGCCGTGCAAGACATTTCAAGAGTAAGAAGCCGCCAAGACACTCTCCAAAACCTAACGCAGAGTCTTACCAGTCACAGCACTTCAACACCCCCCTCAGCCCGCCATTCGCCCAGGTCCCCACATTCTCACCTCCCCCGAGCCTGACCCCCTCTCCTGGATACACCACGTCCACACTTACCATCTCCTGCCCGCTCTCAGACATTCTGGAGGCGAGAGCTCTGTCACTACCAATGCCAGCATCACCGGAACAGGCCGCGGTGCCCGGGTCACCACATGGGCACTGCGGGAAGAACTACATGGAGATGCCGGACTTCAGCGACCTCTGCGGGGATGATTTCCTTCACAACTCTCTGAGTGAGTGGGACATCCCTGAAGAGCTGGAGGCTTTCCTTGGGATCGACCCCCTGGCCGCCCAAACCCGCTGTGGGCCCGTCAAACCCGAGCCTAAGCAGAATTCACTAAGCCCTGACGAGTTCATCCAAGGAGGAAAGCTCATCACCGACGAGTCCGCCTCTGACCTGTCCGATCTGTCTCTGCAGGATCTGGGTGATTTTAACTTGTCTGACTTGGAGCTCTCTGCTGCTATGATCGATTATCTCCTTAACTGAACTTTATTATAAACATTATTGGCCTAATACAGCATTATTTTGCTACAACAGAATATTTATAGTGATGTATGCTTCGGTCGCACACTCATGAAATGTAAAGAAAAGAATATATTGAAATGTTGTTATAAAAAAAAACAAAATGCCGTGTGTTTTCATTCATAAATCCTTGGTGTCCCTTCCACCGTCACGTGGCGCCGTGGCTTAGTTGGTTAAAGCGCCTGTCTAGTAAACAGGAGATCCTGGGTTCGAATCCCAGCGGTGCCTTTTTCGAATTTATTGTAGAAGCTCATTTTAGCTGCATCCTCATGAAATGTCATTCCTCATAACACTCACAATGAATAATTCTGATAATTAGCTGTGCCTTTCGTGATGAATTAACCCACCACGCTGGACGACGCGACACGGTGAGAGCAAAGAGCGGAGAACGAATAATCTGTTACAAAAACAAGCACCTTCTAATGTTTCCAGAACTGTTGCCGAAAGCTAAAAGTAAAAAAAAAATATAAAAAAGAGACAAAATTCACATTATTTCACTATTCCCTTAACCATTTTCATAAATTATGCACACCGGCGTTTGTAGCTTTGTGTTTTCTTCTAATAAATATCAAATCAAATCAAATAATAAATATAGCTGTTTCGGCGGTAGCACAGGAAAACAAAGTTTCTACATAAAAACAGAAGAGAAAAAGAAGAGATAAAATTTTATTTTCTAAATATTTTTATCTGCCTCTGAAATAGACTAGATAATTGATGCATTTGTGTATCAATAGTTTCATTTTATAGTTTCGTTAATATTTAAATTTGTTTTATTTTGTTAATGTTTGCTGTTACTTTCTTCTTTCAAGCAGGCCATTGTACAGATTTCATCAAGTATTGCATTGTCTTTAATGTCCAGCAGATGACGCTCCTTCTTCACAAAGATTTCTGACAACAACAGAGCAAGTTCTTGGATGTTTCTATGCAAGTATATAGTTTATTTATTTATATTTCATCAATAGCTACTTCCAGTTAACTTATGGCAATAGACTGCATGCACAGGCTACAGAGGCACAAATAGTGTTTTAAATATTTAAACAAATAAACACAAATGTGCACTTTATTATAATCTTAGACAGAATTTCAGTTTAATGACCGTTTCATTTGCTACATTATACTTGATGTGGCCAAGGTGGTGTTGCATTGTGTAAATGAGATTTGTCTTGTTTAGTTTAGATCTCTCTCATTTTTCTGCTCGTGAAGTATCAGGAATTTGTTCATTCTCACAACCAAGCCAGTATTTTGCAATAGATCGTGGGTAAGGAGGGAGCACGCTGTCCACACGCTTCCTCTTTAGGTCAACTCTGGTATATTTATCTGAAAAGCAAAATTCGACAAAACAATTACAGAATATTCCAACACAATAATATATATATCTATATCTATGTTGTGTGTGTGTGTGTGTATATATATATATATATATATATATATATATATATATATATATATATATATATATATATATATATATATATATATAAATTACCTCTTCTGAAAAAATAGACGTTTTGAACTGGCGTAGTCTTGACTTGTTGCGGCTGCGGCTGATGTGTGATTCTCAAGTTGCTATAGTCTGTGTAGTCAGTATATTCCCCATAGTCAAAGAGGTCATCAAAAAGGCTATCAAACATATCCTCAAATAACACATGACGGGTCCTTCGTGAGCTCCGTTTCCTGCTGGGTCTCCTCTTTCTGGAGTTGTGACGTTTGGCTATTGTCACAGGAGGAAGGGTGGGTTTGGGGGTAAGTTTGACCCGTCCCACCATGGCTGCGTCCACGGGATAGCTCAGCCCTGCCCAGTCCTGACTGATGAGGCGAGGGCCACTGGGGGTGCTGCCAGCTGGAGAAGGACAAAGGAATACTATTAGGTCATAGCAGTAAGAAAAAAGAGAAAAAAAAGGTTAAGATATAATATAGGATCTCTGTATGGAAATGTGTCCTCTGCATTTGATCCCTCCATCAATGCCTCTGAGCAAGCTGCTAGGAGTATAATCATGAATAATTGCCCTGATGTTTCTTCAGTAAATGCCACAATCTTATATTTTGACATTCCACCATAGAATTCTGACCTGTCTTCCAGCTGAGTTTTAAAATAGGCTCTTTGGATGTTGTGATGTAAAGTGAACTCTACCTATTAAGTGTACCATACCTTAGTTTTTCAAAATGGTAATGAATCTAATATGAAAATGTTTCTCTTTGGCCCAATTCTTATATCTGAACACTATCAAATTGTCAAAACTAACTTATTAATGCCTTGTTAACATCACCTCCAACTAACTTAAATTTGTTCACAGGAAAGAGTATAGGAGTCTTACATGGGGCCCCAAACAGGTCTCTGAACATGTCTGTGAAGGAACGGTCACAGAACAGGTTGGTGTAGCGTGTGAATACCACAGAGGGGGACGAACGCGTCATCTCCACACACTCCTCATGGGTCGGCTGGTGCTTGAACTCATACTGGTAATACTTGTCATCTACAAAACAAAACAAATTAAACTAAAACTAAACTAAACGGGATAAATGTTTTGTACTGGGCCAGAGCTGACCTATTAAAACAAGAAGCTATTTTATAAGTACTCAAGTTATTATTTGTTTCCAGTTTCTGTTTACAAATAATATGAATCATCTGTCTGGCCTATCTTTAAAATAAAATAATTGAAAGTCCTATTACATTTTCACTATTTTTAATCTGCTAACTTGCCTTGTCTATAATATGAGTAAGTAATAGACTTATAAACATGTATTAAATTCAACAGTCGTGACAGTCGTTCTCTTTGGTTTAGGTTTAAATGATGTTACTGTTTTAATTTGATGTTTCATTTATCTTATGCTTTTAAGGAAAAGGGTATACTTTTTGGCGATGTTGTATTGTTTCTTTATTATTTCTTCTCACTCCATTTAACAATAGGCTGAGTACCTTTGAAGAAATAGGCCTTCTCTTTCCCTCTGTGACTCGGGGCAGGGACAGCAAAGGCTGCGTCCATGTCATTCGGGACTCCGTCAAATCCCACCGTAATGTTCCTTGGGTAATCTTCATCCAGAACGTCCCCATCAAACCTCCAATACTGGTGTCCCTATGGATCCAAAATATTCAGGCAAAATCACAAACTAACACTGTAATATAAGCATTGATAAATAGGTATAGTACCTTGAATATGTAAGTTTTTCCCTGGCAGTTGATCCTTGTAAAAGCAGCGTCAATGGGGCCAGGAATTCCCCAAACATCTTCAATTAATTTGGGATAACCAGGAAGCACAGATTTGTCGTCAAGTTCAAAGAAGTATTCACCTAAAAAGTGACACACAAACAGAGGCAATATATTTATTGACACTTGACTTATCAACATTTACTGATCCTGGAAAGAGATGTTTTGGTCACAGTAGTTCAACTGGACACAGCAATCTTAAGAACACTAGTAAGAAGGGATGCACGATAATATCATTCACAGATACGTGTTCGCCGATAATGGCAATGATTATGTCACACACATATTTAGATAAGCACCTTTCATTGTTTTGAAAATATGATAACTGAAAACAACCTATTAAAAATAAAGGAAAAATAACTAGGCTAAGCTATTTTGTATAATCACTTCTCTAGTTCATTATTGTATCGAGGTAATTTGAAGATAAGGGCTCTGATCACAGCTGTGAGACTCATATATCAAGACAAATGCATGATGTTCCAATTTATCTAATAGCAAACTAACTAAGTAGGACAAGAACTCAACAATTTTTTTCCTCAATAATTTTATAAGTTTAAGTTTCGCTTTTCTGCCTGCACTAAGTCACTCCCACGTCAGAATGCTATCACAACACAATCTAATATGCTACTGTACAACACACCAAGTTGGTGAAGTGTATGTTTTGTATCCAGCTTTTCTAAGTTTTATGAAAAATGTACAGACCTGTGGGCTGAGTATTGTACAGGCTTGTACTGCTAATACCCCCTCTGACCTTTGACCTGAAGTTAGACAGTTAGAATTTATATTTTATTAATATCAACTCATTGCACTTGTGTTTCATAGCAGACCCCTAAACCCCAGACTCCTAAAGGAGTGGAATAAAGTTACACACAGTCACAAAAAATAAACAATACTAAGGAAAATATACCACAAACCATTCTGACAAAGACAATAGAAATAACTGTACTTCCTTAAATGTTACCACATGCTCTTACACTAGGCCTATAGATCAAGACCATTCTAAAACTAATCAGGAAAGGTCAGATTTTGTGCTACATATGTATTTTTATTAATTTTTTAAATTTATTTTTCATTTTGTTTTTATACTTTTTTAAATGAGTATCTAGTTTGATACTAGTTTAAGTATTGATCATTATTTGAGTATTGTGCTTTTTTGGCGACCTCAGTTTGATCACACTCCTACATTTATGCTAGAACATATCATACCTGCGTGACTTTCTGGAGGCAGTCAATTTGCTGTAGAGAAAGGAAATCAGAAACTTACCTCTGAATGCATAGATGGAGCCATTTTTTAGCTGGAGGAAAGCGTCAAAAGCTTTCCCGCTGCAGGTTGCTGCGTTGAGGTCTGTGTCCTCCATGGGACCCAGAGTTGGGATGATCACCGCAGCAGAGGCAGGACTGGGAAGAGGGGAAGATTCAGTGGCAGCAGGAGGCACTTCATTCACTGTCGTCATGATCTCAGTCACATCTTCCATTTCAGCAAAAGTGTCACCTCGTGCTGCAATTCATATAAACCCATGTTAAAGCTTTATCCAATTTTTTTTGTAAAAATACAATTTCTATGTTTTTGCAGATTTTATCTTTATTTTATCTTATTTTATTTTATAGAGTCTTGTTATTCCTTTGTTAATCCTGCTCTTCCTGGGAATTATTACATCTAGATGCATTTGGCTGGATCACAAAATTTAGCCCTTTAGTCTTTGTTCTAGACTTTGACATGGATCAATCTAGGTTTAGAACATTTGTTTTTCCTTGTTTAACCTGCATTGAGAAGTGATTTAATCCTGGTTTAGGTCTGGTGTCTCATTTGGTGTTTAATTTCAGGCTTGGTCTAGTCCAGGTTTAGTTCCGAGTTTAGTCCCAGTTTAATTCCTTTCCATTTTTATGTGGTGTTTGTGTGTGTGCATGTAAGTTCAAGAAATGCTACAAGTTTTAGAAGAGTATAAGAAGTTTACTGAAGACTTCTCTTTTCTAAATGTAAAGACAGCTCTTGTAAAGTGACTAACCCTTTTTGGGGCAGACAGAGTCGTAGTCAGGACAACAGCTCCCATAGTACACACACATGGAGTCACACTGGCATTTGTTCCCAGGGTTAAAGGACCCACAGCGCTTTGCACAGGATTCTAGGAAAATTCAGGTTGTTTGTCAAAAAATACCTGATGCGGTTCATAGTTATGCATCAAAGTACAAGGCAAGAGTTAGTTAGTCTCAGTATGGAAGATATATTTCAAGATCAGGTAACAGTGCACTCTGTTGATCAAATTATTTTATATCTATACTGTATGTATATAATAAATATATACAACAAACAAAAGAAAAAAAATAGTCAAATTAAGAGTGCTCTTCTCAGATCACAATACAATTTGAGATTACAAAAGAGGCAAAAAAGAAAGATGACAAACACCATATATTTTTATACATTACATACATATACATTTTAAAATAAGTAAAATAAAATATATTTACACTATAACATTTTGGGATTTTTCTTTCTTAAGCACTGAAACATTGAAAATCTTACCTTCTGCAGCGAATGTACCCCTTATCAAGAGAACAACCCCAAGAAGCAAGACTACAGTAGACTTCATTTTGTTAAGGAAAATATCCACAAATACATAAAAAGTATATATCTCCCCCTTTGTTCACTCTGTTGTGGAGCTGTCAGTACCAGTAAACAGCCCTTTGAGAATGGCCCAGTTTGGAGCAGGACTGTGGGCAGAATATCAATAGATCATTTTGAAAAGGCACTGACCCCCAGGCGTTTCAGACTCAAGCCATAATCATTAAACAGTGTCCCAGATAAGCCACTCTTCACAAAATGTCAGACTGCTTTTAAAATGTTTTAAAACATTTTAAAACAGTCCCTTGATTTTACTCTACTCCTATTAATGTCATTGCTTTAATTATAAATCAAGCAGTGAACTTAAAGCTTGTTTGATATTGCTGTGTTTAAAATAACCTGAGGAAATGTTAAAGTTTCTATTTGGCTACAATTGTTTTTTGTATGTTTTGTTTTATGTACAGCTACACTGTTAGAGAAGTAACTTTTCTGTGCTGTAATGAGCTGGCAGTGAGTGCCCTCACAACAGAAATGCATTTTGTCTAAGAGACACTCTTTAGAGATTAAACTAAATTGTAACTAAACCATCCTCATAGCTTCAAATCTAAGATCTAAAAATATGTTTTATTTAAAAGAATATATTAAGTAAGACTCTGCTGCTTCACTGCATGTCACATTTCATTGGGTGCAACCTCACTTGTCCTATTGGAGCCCAGTTTATTACTGACTTCTGTTCTGCTCCTCATTCAATGACCTATTAGCTCAAATATTGTGTAACTTTCCTCTATTGATTACTTTGGGACAAAAAAATAATAATTAACCAAACATTGTTATGTTCAATGAAACTGCATTAGTCAAAAACACAACTACTGCATGTTGTTTTTTTGTTTAAAATAGTATAATGAGATTATCATGGGTCATCATAGGAAAAACTAAAGATGTGTTTGTGTAATTGCTCTAATCTACAGAGTAGGGCTTCCTCCTAAGTCACATTTATCTATTATCAGATTTATATTTTAACAGTGCATACATGCCATAGTTCAGAAGCACTTACTATATTTTTTGTAAAAGATTTAGATTTAATTAGTTTTAATAGATTTAAAGATTAGTTTTAATCAGAGAAAATTGTACATCAATGAGAACATTTATAAGTTGACAAAATGAACACTACTTTAGACAGTATTTAGAATATATAAACACCTTGCAATCCTGTAACTTTAGTTTATTACAGTAAATAGAATAGCAAAGGTGTTGTGATAATCCATTTTCCTACTACATGCTGTTAATATACAATACTGTGGTAACACTTTATAATAACTACACCTTACTTAGCCTTAATAAAGCATGAACAAAGACTTAATTAATAATGAACAAAGATTTAATTAATAATGATTCACGCTTAGTAAATGCTTAATAAAGCATAATTCATCTTCACTTTAGAAAAGCTCTCAAAAAGACTTAACTAACAGATAACAGCTGCCTGAATTACCATTGCATTACATTATAAGCAAAATCATTCTCTCATAGCTTAATAATGATTAATAAATGCTCAGATGGTTAGTACATGAGTAATTAAGTATGAAATAATTATGAGTAACTATTTACAGCACAGGCGAATTAAGTGCAAGTACTAATTAAGGTAGTAATTAAGTAGTTACTAAGCATGAATCATTATTAATTAAGTCTTTGTTCATGCTTTATTGAGGCTAAATAAGGTGTAGTTATTATAAAGTGTTACCAGTACTGCTGACCAATAGAGGAGTGAGTGTGTAAAAGTGACTTTTATTACTGTCAGATTTTTATAATAGTTACATTGCATAACATGCCACCAAACTGTCCCTTCTTTGTTACGAGTTATGTCCTTTTTGCTGGTAAACCTTTGAGCCTTAAATTGTAGCAGTAGTAATGCAATAGTCTCACTAGCCATAAAACCACAGCTTTTTTACGGATGTGGAAAAACTAAATGGGACAAATGTTACAGGTTTGTCTGTTATGTAATAATTTTTTTTAACACAGAGTCAGAGTTCAGTATAAAAACCCAAACTAAATATAGCAACGGTTCTCATGATATCTGATTAATGTAATTGCACTAGTTATAATGGGAGGACTTTGGGCTATTCTGTGCCATTACAGATCAGGTTGAGAAGCCCTAATTTGCTTTTAATATGCTTTTATGGGTTTATTGTTTTTATTTGCTATAATAAATAAAAGATAGGGAAATGATACTTTATGGCTTCCTGTTCTATCATTTGTCAAGTTTGTGTATAACTACATAATAGGTCTGTCTAGTATGTCTAAAATGGTAGCAGCACAGACACAAATAGACAGTGGACTTAAATACACATGGGAAAGTACAAAATGAATTGAAATTTGTTTTTCAGTACTTGTACTCACTGGTCACTTTAGTCTATGTCATCGATCATCATTATATACAATTTAATTACTTCAACTTACTGCCCATCTAATTGTTTTTAAGTATGGCTTCATGATCTTCCATTGTCCAAGGTGTAACATTTACCATTTACTTTGCTTCACAAGGGAAAATATTTGGTCCTCAAAAAACAATCTTTAAAAGACTAGAAAAAGCAGTTTGAATACTTATGTGAAAATGTAACTTTATATGTTTTGAGAGCTGAGGAGCATTTCAGGACTTCCTTGTTCTTTTTCACAGTCGCATCATCTGTCCTTCATGAGCGGTGCTCCTCTTGATCAGTTAATATTTGATTTGCTGTCTCAGATAAAAACACTAAACAGCACTGATTGCAATTCTTTCACTCAGCTTCATCTCAAGAGCCAATTTTTAAACACGTCACCTGCTTTATTTTGAAATCTTTTTCTTTTGTGTTTTCTCATATTTTGGGACAACTATTCTGTGTTGACCATGGATCCGAAATGGTTTTGGTACCACAGGAACTTCTTCATCATCATCCTGACTCCGATCCTGGTGCTGCCACTGCCTCTAGCCATCCCAACAACAGTGAGTGCTCAAAACCAACCCACATCTGAAATGATTAAAATTCACGATGTATCTTTTCTGTTGGGGGTCTCCTACCTTCTTGTCTCCAGACGTTTTTAAACGTGGGTTTAAACATATCAATTATGCATTATTTCATGACAGGTTTTATTACTGTTCATAAATATACCGTGAACGGCTTACCCCTCGAGATCTTACCTCTAACGTTGGCTGGTGGTGTTGCTTGCTTGTCTCCATGGAGATGGATACCTTACGTAAAGGAGACACTCCACCAAAAAGGTAGTGCACTCCCAAGTATGTCCAGTTGTCTGACATTCATCAGAAATGAGAGGCACTAAACTCAGACTAAACCCTGAAATAAACCTGGAACCAGAACTAGAACTGAACTTTTCACCACTTACAATGGGGAATGATATACTGTAAAGAGTGCAACCAATTATATATTCAAGCAGCAGTTTATATCATGTAAATCTGAATGGCACATTTAGAAGGACATCTTCGGAAACAAAGTGTTTGTTTTATGATTCAGGGTTAATGATATCGCACGCAATAAAATCTTATGGCCTTTGTAGTGTTGCTGGAGATAAGAATGAAGAGTTAATGACTGATTTATGCACTTTACTGTATAGGACTAGACCTTATTATTATATTATTATTGTTCCTCTGCCTAAAAAATACAACTTCCATTTTGTTAACAGAACTTACAATTATAAGTTCACTGAACCTTTTAACCTGCTAAAAGTTGAGTCAATCCATTCGGTTCAGCTATATTGCTGTGTTTTCAGTAGATGAAAGATGATAAGTTGGGAGAACTTGTTATCTTTATTCTCTGGTTGAAAGCTCAAACTTCATTTGTTTGCACATGCTCAGTTGGAAAATGTACGTGATTTTCCTGTTTCCTCGTGGCAGCCATGTTGACAAAATATATGACACTCCAAGTAAGTGGATTTTCTGTTGTTTTATGTCAAAATTAGCTTGATACATCTTAATCAGGAATGTAAAACATTATAAGAAAGACAGGGTATGTCTTTCTTATAATGTTTTACATTCCTGATTAAGATATTTGTTCAAAGAATTATATTAAAATGCTAGAAATTAAAATAAAATAGAGACATGAGTAACTTGCTATATAAATACAAATAGTAGCCTATAAAAGAAAATCATGGGTATTATAGTTTAACCTGAAACAGATATTTGTGAATTGTTGTAGATAATGAGGCCCAGCAGCACAGATGCGCTAACAGATGTGTGCTAAACAACAGTGGAGATGTGGGACAGGTTTTCAGTTTAGTCTTCTGCCTGATCATGGAAGATGCTCCTGGAAGAGTCTAACTAAAATTTTTTGCCATTTATTTTAAGATGTTTAAGAAGAATTGATCATGTGTTTTAGATCTGAACACAACTTATTTTATTGTGAATAGAAGTGACTTGCTTTAAAGAAGAGGTATGCCTTTAATTTTGTGTTTGCACAATAGCCTCCATATTTATGTGGTTCATGCTTTTTAGCTCAATTATTTTAATTTAAAATTTTTGTCTTGAACTTGGAATAAGTGTGACAGACGAGAGGTGAGCATGCACATGAGAGGGAAGTCTGGGCCCCAGATAAAGCAGTGCAAAACTGGTGGATTCATTAATTAAGCGTCATGTCATTTTTCCACATCTCTGATTTGATACATCTTATTGTCTCCTTTTTCCATGCCATAACAGCATTACAATCGTACTTGATTTTTTACACCAACATGAAATGTCATGTATTACAAATGATAAAGGACGTGCTTTCAGTTTTTATGGTCAAATGAAGGCAAGGTAAGGAAAGGCAAGGCAAGTTTTTTTGTATAGCACAATTCATACACAAAGTAATTCAAAGTGCTTTACAGAATAAGAAATACATTAAAATCACAGCAAACACAAATCAAAACATAAATAATCAAAATTAAAGAGAGAGAGACATTAAATTAGAGAGTGCAGAATGAAAAATTGGTCGTAAGTGTGGCTGTTTGTATTACTATATTACTGTAATTAACAATATAATGATCATGAGGATTATATTATTATATTACACCTTATCTACAATATCCATCCTTGTTCCTCACCTATAGATATGCCACAGCTCTTTGAATGATCTCCTGAACACAGGCCTGGTGAGTTCACATTGCAGCTCAAAAACAGTACTTTTTAACTTGGAGGTATCTGGATGTATTAACCCCATTTTCAGTCACCAATGTTTCCAGAGAATCTGGGTATAAGGGGATTAGTATTTTTTTGGTTTATTAGTTGAAGTTTACTATTCTCCTAATTTATTTTTTTTTTTACATTTATTTCTTTCACACATGGTATATGGGGCAAACTTTATCAGACCAATATTACAAATGGTCATAATTATTATAATGCACACATTTAATCAAGTCATTAGAGAAGGTTTTATAGTGGTTTCTTCAGTAAAGGTGACTTGGGTTTGTTATCACTCTTTTCTTGAGCAAATGATCCTGACAGTTTATTTATTTTACAGAACACAAAGCAAAAAGAGTTCTATGTAAAATAGGATGAAGATGTGGATTATCACAATGTAGATGACGTCATCTCTCCGACCATAGGTTCTGTGCTTCTTGTTATGGACATGGACTCTTTGCACTGAAGCATTTAAAATGTTAATGATCCTAAATCTTAATGCTTTGTTGTGTTAATCATTGATAATAGTTTACATTGTTTATGGTTTATTGCTATGATAAAACATGTGATGTTAGAGTAAGTTTAGGTTGTAATTGTTTGTGCCAAACTGTGTTTTTTAATGTGACATTACACAATGAATAAATGAGCTTTAATGTTCTACTTCTGTTTACTTGGCATATTGTATGTACTTGACTTCTTCTTCACTTGGGCTTAAAGACTTGAATTAAAAGTTCACTCTTAAAACTTAAAATAGTGAATAAATCTGCTGCAAAGCTTTTTTAAGTTCATGGCTCCAACAAGAGTTGATAAGTTAACCATTTCTTAGGTCAACTAATATTAATAACTTCACCAAACAGAGAAGAAAATGCTTGCTGGACTTTAAATATGTGTTGTTTTTTAACTGTGTGTTCTGTATTTTACTTCTGGCCACAATTTTGAACTTCACATGACTGAAGGAACTCATTGGTATTTTATATTCCAAATTTTAAAAAAAATTGCAGCTAAATTTTGATTTATTCAGCCATTTTTAGCTTGAATCCTTTTAATTTACAGTTAAAGATGTAGACGTGCTCATATTGCAAAGAGTAAAAATACATATACGTAATAAATACATTTATCAGTATTTTTCCTGGTTTCCTTTCTATCACTAATACATGGATCTGTGTCTCTACTTAACTTGTTTTTTGTTACTTTTATCATATTGCAGTGTTCAGCAGTAGAATGATCACTTTCATGTTTCCATGTTGTGCAAATAGATGCATTGTTTCATACATTCTAATATGTTGTTGTTGCAATAACTATAGGGACATTTCTTACGAAAAATGTGAATGTAATGACTCATGTTTCGTATTTGTTTTTTTCTAAGGAGGCAAAATGTGGCTATGTGATCATCCTCATGGCTTTGTACTGGTGCACAGAGTGTTTGCCGTTAGCAGTGACTGCTCTGCTGCCTGTTGTCATGTTTCCAATGATGAACATTATGGAGGCTGGGAAGGTACAATCACTGTTATATAGGGCTGTATGCAAGTCATTTACAAGCGTGTAGGCAGATCTGCTGTTTGCCCTGAATTTCCCCTTTTAGGGATCAATCAATCATTATCAATTCAATTTATCTACCTATCTTTTTTCCTATCTCTATCTATCTATCTGTATTATTATAGCCACAATATATAGATTTTATATATCTATAAAAGCATTTCTTTTTCATTTAGCTTAAGATAAAATGTTTGATTGATAATTTTGCCCCATTTTTATGGTTAAATATTTGTCTTTTGTTCAAAAGTTCACTATCATTTAAAATGATGAATAAATGGACACATGAATCACTTCCGCCTCCATTGGCCTCTACTGTGACATCTGTGTTCTGTTCAGGTGAGCATAGAGTACTTGAAGGACTCCAACATGCTTTTTATCGGCGGGCTGCTGGTGGCCATTGCTGTGGAGCACTGGAACCTCCACAAACGCATTGCCCTCAAGGTCCTGCTGCTGGTTGGAGTCCGCCCCTCACTGTAAGAAACACAACCCAACCAAGGCATTTTCTATTTACATCTTAGACCTGGAACTTTAAAACTATGAGGTGGTTTCATACATAAGGGATAACCAAGAAATTAATTAAATTCTACATTATATGGGGACTTGTTCTGCCCCACAAAACCTGGAGCGAAACCACTTGTCTAACTTTTGAAGGGTTTTGAAACATGAATTACTAAATATTCTTACTAAATTATCATTAATCATTTTCTTTCTGACAGATTATGTACTGCTGTAATAATTGTTTCAAAATAACCGCAATATATTTACGAACGAAAGAATTCTGGTCATGCTCTATTATAGATATTAGTAACAGAGAAATGATGTGCACAGTTTACTTATTTTTGTCATTAGCTGAATTTTGTGCTAGGGTTGGTTTTTCATAAACAATACATCAAGTAGTAGTAATTGTATAAGTAATAATTCTGTTTGTCTCTGTATGTTGTTTCCTTTGATTCTGTGCAATATGGGGCAGTAACAAGTTACAAAGTGTCATATCCATAGTACTGAAAAATAGTGAAAAAAAAAAAAAAGATAAGAAAAGAGACAGGTAACATGCAATTTTACAAACTGCCATTTTACAAATCTCTGCTGTCATTTAAAAAAAAAAAAAAAGGCTTAAAACACAACATTAAAAGATGCTTTCTGAAGTTGTTTCAAAAGTTGATTCTTGAGCTGTTATGTTTCCCTTTTAGTATAGTAATCAGAAATTACTTTTCAAATAATGTAATCAGTGTTGTAATTAGTCATTTTAGAAGGAACCATCAGTAGTCAGTAATCTGTCCAACTAACAGTGTCTTGGCGGTGTCTCAGGTTGATGCTGGGGTTTATGATCGTCTCTTCGTTCCTCTCGATGTGGATCAGTAATACAGCCACCACAGCCATGATGTTACCCATCGCTTATGCCGTCCTGCAGCAGCTCAGAGCCACAGAAGCACACGCGGATGAAATGGAGGACTGCCGAGCCGAGGACAACACAGCCTTTGAGCTGCAGGAAACACACGCCAACGGAGCTGTGACCAAGAAACAACTGGATGTGATTCAAGAGGAGAGATGCAGTGAGTTGGTTGTAGTGAAGTCCATGAGATTTTTCACAATACTGGGATCTTAGTTGGGCCTGGTTGTGCAATTTTCAAATCACACACATAGACTGCTAGTATTTAGGTAATCTTATATCCTCTGTGATTTTTTTATTATTTTCATAAATTGTACAGCGTTAATGTATAAACATAAAAAACAAATTGGAAAACCTGTTGAGATCCCACAAAATGTGGCTATACATTTTTTCACAGAAATTCATCAATAAATTGTCGTATATCGGCCAAGGAACAGTAAGAAAGAAAGAAGAATTTGGGGATAACCTGACTGTATAAATCTCCTTTATACACTTTATGGGATCATCTGTAGAAACAACTTCTCTATGGCAGATTGTGACAGCCATTTTTTGGTTATAGCTGTGGTTACACCTCACTTAATGTAGCACATTTACATGGACAATGGCACTTGCCTGGCAGTCTAGACTGCACTTTTCTGATGAAGTATAGTCAGAGACTATGTCTGGTTCGTTCTTGTCTAAACAAATGCACATAAAAAGGTGCAAGACAAAAAATAGAACTGTTGATTGAGAAACAGCATGGGATTCTAATGAATTAACAAGCAAAGCAGTGAACTCCCATCTAAGGTAAAATAAGTTTTTACTAGTGCTGTCATGCGATTAAAAAAATTGAGAGATTAATTAATTATGATCTGTAATTAATTAATCTAATTAATCTCTTTTTAATCTCACCTAAAAATTGCTGAGAAAAGCCTTCAATTTGAGGTATTTTCATTTAAATTCATTATTACATTATTGTGGCAGATCAAAAGACTGATATAGAACAAAAAAAAGTGACTTTATAAAGTCATTTATTGTTTAACAAACTTTAACAGATGCAGTCACTTACATTCCACAGTATCATCATTATTATTACTATTACTAATCTGCAATGTTGGGAAGGTTACTTTTAAAATGTATTCCCCTACAGATTACAGATTACATATCCCAAAATGTAGTTTGTAACTTAATCCATTTAATGATTTAAAGTGAGTAACGTAATTTGAACACTTTGGATTACTTGATATTGTCATGCTTTTTAAAACTACATGAATGTAGCAACCACATCCCGCAAATGTTGTTCTTGTTTGTTCTCTTTAAATTGGCTGTTGAGCCCAAGTCTCCATGAATAAGAAACTGTTTGCTGTAAAGTAGCAAAGACTAGGAAATCTGAACATAATAACTTTTGTCTACTTTAAGACAATAAAAAGTCCAGTCTTTCCTTAACCATATTAAAATATTATTCATAGAGAAATGTTTTACATATGAGGTCACTGGTTTTAGTCCTGGTTTTAGTACTCGTTTAGACTTGCTTTATTCCTACTTTAGTCCTAGTTTAGTCCTGTCTACTGACACTGACAATGACTTATTCTAACACATTGTTAATTATATCCATACATATATGATGCATCTTTACATGTAATGTAATATTTTTGACCACACTGACCCTGTGTTTTCAGATGAGACGGTACAACAGGCACAGCGGGAAGCAAGGAGTAAAGCGCGGGAGGCTAAGTATGATCTGCTGACCAAAGGCATGAGTCTGAGTGTGTGTTACTCCGCTAGTATCGGGGGGACAGCTACTCTCACTGGGACCACCCCAAACCTCATCCTCCAGGGCCAGATGAATCAGTAAGACTCACATCCAGGCTTTTTCTGTAGCCAAAGTATGGCTCTGGAAACGGAATGATATGTTTATTAGATTTTAGATGCTCAATCCTTGACTTTTTTCATTTTAATTTTTTATGATTTAGACTGTTCCCGCAAAATGGAGGCATTATAAACTTTGCAAGCTGGTTCGGCTTTTCTTTCCCAAACATGATCCTGATGCTCATCTTCTCTTATCTCTGGCTACAGTTTATGTTCCTCGGCTTCAAGTAAGTTCACTTAGATTAGAAATTATGAAAATAATTATATGTTACATTGTTATTGCTCATGGAGAAAATCAACTTGGTATAAAAAATATTCAAGTATTTAAAAAATACTGAAAAACTACACATTATTTGTTTGTTATTGAGCTAACAGTGATGTAACTAAAACATTCCAGTGCAGCTTACAGTAATGAACATTAATATGAGGCAAAAACTGAGCAAGGTTTTCCTGAGAAATTTTAGATTTCCAACAAATATTGACCAGTAAAAAGATTGAAAAAAAAATCAAGTAAAAAAAAAAACTCCCTGTCCTCACCATCTCGATAACTGTTCTTTTTCTTTCAATGGATAGAATGGAAAAGTAAAAGATGAAATGTTTTGTGAGTAAACAGATCTGATGCAAATAGAGATTATTAAGATGTCTTTATTTTTTGTGCCATGGTTCCATTTTTGAGCTGAATCAAAATCCTAGAAGATCCAAGTTTAGTCTGTTTAGATTACACTGTTAATTCAATTCAGTTCAATTTAATTCAGTTCAATTCAATCTTTATTAAGAACACGTAATATCTGGTTCATAGTATTAAAAAGAAAATAGAAGAATAAAAAAGTTAAATACAAAGAATGTTATAATGTATACAGACAAAATTGCTATGTGTCTCCAGAGCTTAGAGGTGAATCTGACAGAGCTCCTCACAGGACACACTAGACTAGAGCTTCAATGATTCGATTGCTCAGATTCATGGCTCTACACATAAATTAATAAATACAACATCTGATCGTGACAACACAGGGTCTCACACCACAATTTATTAATTATTATTTATTTATTAATTTCACTGGCACTACAGAACTTTGGCACTTTCAGTAATATTCTCAAAGAGTCATTATAGGCCACTGTCAACCTCTGCAAACACTTTTTCTTGTAGTTGCGCCAAAGATGCGCAATATACAAGGGTGAGCAGAAACATTTAAAAAGTGCAATTTTGACATCACTGGAGCATATGGAGAACTTACGAACAAGCATATTGGCCTCACCGTAAAGTTTACACTGCTGCCTCTACATGTCACTATCATCTGAGAGGTCACTGGTGACATAATGCCCAAGATATCTGACCTCATCTGTGAGTTGGAGGGCACTCCCGCACAGAGAGAAAACAGGGAAGGATAGCTTTTTGTCCTCTTTTGTTTTAACAATCATAATCATTTCAGAGCATTGTACTTAATGTCATATTCAAAGCCATACTGGGAACACGATTAACGATATTAATATGTGAACAATAAGAATATATGACTTTATCTGCTGCTAAGATAGCTAGTATATAACATGTAGTTTCTATCCTCAGTCTGAAGAAGTCCTTTGGTTGTGACGAGAAGAACGAGCGTGATCGAGAGGCGTATGCAGTGATGAAGGAGGAGTACAGAAAGCTGGGGTCCATGTCTTTTGCAGAGATCATGGTTTTGGTGATTTTTGTCCTGTTGGTTTTACTGTGGTTCACCAGAGAGCCGGGCTTCATACCGGGATGGGCCACTGTCCTGTTTAACAAGGAGCTGACGTAAGTTATCATATATCATAAATGTTATATAAATATATAACTTGTTTTGTTTTTATTTTTTTTTTGTTTTGTATTTATTTATTTGAGACAGGGACAGCGCACAATCTTCGCATTAACCTTGACAGGAGAGATGCATGTACATCAGGTTGTAGCATCAGTGCTAATTTCCACCTGTCGTCCCTGGACAGGTTCATTGATTGATTGTAGTTAACTGACCTTGACTATTAACTGTTCTGGAGACCTGTAGCATGTTTTGGGTTGATGGGGGAAACCGGAGCACCCGGAGGAAACCCATCCAGACACAGGGAGAAACATGCAAACTCCACACAGAAAGGCCCTGGGCGACCTGGGGATCGAACCCAGAACCTTCTTGCTGTGAGGCATGAGTGCTAGCCGGAAAAAAGTGTATTCTTTCTGTGATAAAAGATCTGACTTTGAATTGACCTGGTGGTTCCTCCTGCTTGTCTCCAGAGAGAGAGATACGTTTAATGTTTCTATTCTAGCCAGTTCAATAGCATTTCTATGGACCATTAGAAAAGTTACACAGTGCATCTTTAAGGTTTTTCACTGCAAATTTCTCTCATCACTTATATGGTTTTCTTTTAGGTCTCCTTTTTCTGTCTCCTCCTTCTCTCACTCTTGCTAATTGTAAATATTTAAATTGTGAATTTAAAGGATTTGATTGCGCTTCACCTTGCTTCTTGCTACAGTCTGGTCTGCCTTCAGTATTTTTCAGAGAGAAACCTTACCTTGTTTGACATCTTTATTTATTCTTCACATCTGTGTTTTGTCCCCCTTAGCGTTAACACATTAGCTGTTAGCAGAAAGTTCCTGTCCCTTGTCAAGACTGGGCAACTCGTTTTGTTTTCCTTTGTCTGCGTAGTTTTCCTATGGGTGCTGCAGTTTCCCTTCTCTCTGAACAACATGCACAACAGGTCTCCTCTGGGGCCAGGACGCTTGAATAGACACAAGTCATTGCCATAGGACTTTGCTGTCACATAATGTAATCTTAAGGTCAAATCCATCATTAAAAGTGATCAATCCAACAAGACAGGGGAGTTGATGGTGTGAAGAGATAACTAAATAATGGCACGTTACATCCGGCAATTCTTAAGAATTAGTTTGTAGAGTGGAAGATTGTCTGTAAACGAGGTGTAAATGTCCCGTGTGCTTTGCCCTTTATTCCACAACACAAAATCATCTTCTAAAGTAATTAGGGATACACTGATACCGATACCAGTATCGAGTAGATACCAGGTGCCAGTACTCATACTCGTCAATAGGCTGCTGAAACCAAGAGGTGATACCAGTGTAACTGCACTGCGCCTTATTTGACACTCACAACTCGCCTCTGAACAGAGAGGAGAGCACATTAACTATTCTGCACATTAAGCTCTGCTTTAATCACGTGTGACTGCCACATGAACTCTAAAAATATTATGGACTCTTAAAGGTTTTTATAGGATATCAGCACAGTACTTGTGTGTTTACGATAGTACCGTGCTAACATTGCTAAATGGCTCTGGTGAATATTTGCTTGTGCTTGGGCGTGTATTGTGACTTATTGTAATTGACAATATTGTGTGTCAAAGTTTTGTTAAATGTGGCTTGTTGGCAGTTTTATGGAGCATAGTTGGCAAAGACAAAGTGGAATTTTAAAAAAAGCCAAATTCCAATATAAATAAATTATAATTATACTGAACTCCAATGATTTCAGTAAGAATTTTAAACAGCCACTCAAATATTATTATTATTATTATTATTATTATTATTATTATTATTACAATATTCTAAGATAAAAAAGTAAGCTGTACAGTAAAAATCCTATGAAAAGAATTAGATTCATCACTATAATCAAGAATAAAAATAATGTCAGGTATCAGTACATGGTATCGATTGACAATATCAGCGAGTACTCAAAATGAAGTACTCAAGAAAGTGGTATTGGTGCATCCCTCAAAGTAATGATTTGTTTTTTTGTTGATTTAATTGGTGAAATCCAAAAATAATGTCTTCAAACACTCCTGTTGCTTAACTTAAACTTTATTGTCAAGTTAAGATCCAGGAGTGCTTAAGCATAGTATTTTTGAACAAAATCAATTATATCACTACTTGCAGACATAATACTACAAGCTGAGCCTGGCCAGTACTTGGCCAGATGGAAGACTGCTGGGAAAACTAAGAACCATGGTGGTGCAGCAGTGGCTTTATTGCAAACTGTTATTGTGTCCTTAGGCAAGGCACCTAGTTTGCCAACTTGCATGATTGTTGGTGTTCAGAGGGGCCAATGGCTCAAGTAGGCTTGCCTTCATCAGTATACCGAAAAGCAGCTGTGACGACAATAACTTACTTTTACTGTAGCTGGCCAACTCCAGTTTTACAGTGAATAACCGATGCAAAATAATGCCATCTTTTCTTGTCCAAAAAGCATTACATAAATCAAATGCATTATTATCGTCACTGACTAATGTCTGTTGACCTGAATTAAAACAGTAGTTCACAACAGGCCTCCTCTCTGTCTCTCAGGTATGTTTCCGATGGAACAGTGGCTATTTTAATGTCGATGCTCTTTTTCGTGGTGCCTTCCCAGCTACCAAGATGGGGAGGATATGGCTTCAATGATGCTGGTGTGTTGTGCTTTTATTCCCAAATTGTTGTAAAGGAAAATCCCTTGTCATGTAACAGCTAAATATAAGTTTATTCTGCCCTGACCTTTGTAATTGCCCAGTGGAGATAACACTGTTCTATGCACTAATTATGGTGGGATGTCCCACAGGGAAGCTGGTGAAGGCTCCTCCCACACTGCTGGACTGGCAGGTGGTGCACGAGCGCATGCCCTGGAACATCATCCTGCTGCTAGGAGGAGGCTTTGCTTTGGCAAAGGGCAGTGAGGTAAGATCCACACATACAAGAACAATTAGTTTTTATCTAGCTCAGAACCAGAACTCATGATAATATTAAACATGTTTAATTATTATGACCAGGTACATACAGGACCAGTAAAAAACATATGACTTGAATAATCAGATACATCAAAACTACCCGGTGACATGTGTTTGTTAATCAGTGGATTAATTATCTGTTGTATTTGGAAGATAATACATTTTGAAATAACTTTAAGTATTATTTCTCCTTTATTTTTGTCTTTGGCATCTCTTTGTTCAACTCAAGAAATCAGATACTGATCAGATTTTTTATGTGCGTTTAAACCTGGTCACTGTAGTACCTAAATCAGTATCAAGCCTTTTCACTGAAATTGAGTTTTACAGTGATACAGTCTGACTAACTCATCTGTATGGTGCAGGAGTCTGGCTTGTCTAAATGGCTCGGGCAGAGCTTGGCACCTCTGGAGAAGATTCCTCCTTTTGCCATTTCTCTGCTGCTCTGTTTGCTAGTGGCCACTTTCACCGAGTGCTCCAGTAACACAGCCACAACCACTCTGTTTCTGCCCATCCTCGGCTCCATGGTACACAACATCACACCAACTTAAAACAGGAAATGGCACACACAGATTTTTTAAACTCAAGCATTGTGTTTAGTTCATTTGTTTTTTTTTTATGTATCCATAAAGCAGTATTTTAGTATGCTGAATGCTGAATTACTATGTTATTATTTTATTGTAAGAGTAATTATTGCTATATTGTACGGGTTCTAAAAAGTATTGCAAAGAAAGTTTATAGTTTTAACACCTTATTTTTTATTATCATTGTGGTTTCAAGGTCAGCATCAAGCCTATACCTTATTATCAGCAAAGTTACCTTGATTAGCCCCAATATAGTGCACTAAATTATTGAGTTGCATTACTTTATCGATAGAGCGGTATACAACACGTTCTGTGTTTTGTGTTCAGGCCTCTGCCATTAAACTTCATCCTCTGTACATAATGCTGCCCTGCACCATCGCTGCGTCTCTGGCCTTCATGTTACCTGTAGCCACTCCACCCAACGCCATTGCTTTCTCCTTTGGGAACCTCAAAGTCCTTGACATGGTGAGACAAATATGAGATCTGTGACAAAATGAAGGTATTAGAAATGGATGGAAATCAGTTTATGTCAGTCTGCATCAGTTCTTTTGAAGCACTGAACCATTTACTGAGTGTTATTAAACAGTTTGTTCTTTCTGTGTCCCCACAGGTAAAAGCTGGCTTCATGCTGAACATCATTGGTATTTTGTGCATAAACTTAGGTATCAACACCTGGGGCTACGCCATGTTTGATTTGGGGACGTTTCCTACATGGGCCAATGTTACAATTGTTAATAACACTACAACACCATAATCTTGTTCTCAGTTAGTGCTTCCTTGTTTCTCTCTCTCATATATATCATATATATATGTAGAGAGAGATATACATACATACTACATACATAAATACACACATAAACACACTATATATATTTGAAGGATTAGGTTAAATCAGAGGTTTATGAGATCTACAATAACTGAGACATTTTTACTGAAATAAGTAATGTAATGCTCTTGCTTCATTATTTGAATATAATAAAAACATATATAATTTTATAAGTTAATTTAACTTATTGATGTGGTCCTTTTATCTGGACCTGGAGTGTTTTCAGTGTTTTTGTACATTTTTACTGTTTAAATTTATGACACAGTAGAAGAAAGTAACTTGAAACAAACTCAGATAATTCCATTTTAAAACCTTTTTTTTTTTTTTCATACATATATTTTAAATTGTTTCCTCTTTAATGCCAAGTTTGGGACTGCAGTAGTGTTAGAATGACTACCTATACTTAGATTTAACGCAATTACATTTTTATTTACATTTATGTTAGGTACATAATGTATTGAATATCTGTACTTTTTAATTAACACTTTGAGTAGTAGTCTGTACAGCGTGCACAACTGGGAATTAATTATTTAACTGTGAAAATGGAGAAAACGCACAAACCGCAGTAAAGAGGTATGCTTTGGTTAAAAAATAACTTTGATAGAATGCTGCCAAAAGGATTGTATTGTGTCTATGTTTTCTGAACTAAATCTATTGAATTTACCAAATAAACAGTGAAAAAAGACGTTTGTCGAAAAAGTACAATACATCTTTATTTCAGTCACACCACACTTGACTTTTCAGAAACAAATATTACAGTTTTAAATGCATCTGGCATTTCCATTAAAATGTTTTTCACTTTTCAAAAACATTCAAAACAATCTCCTTTTTGTCCCTTTCTCTTTTTGTGCATTTCTTTGCTAATGAATTATGACATATGTTACAACTGTACTGGCCAAACTATTTAAATTTAATTATTTATTATGTTTTAAAATTTGTCTTAGCCCCTATGCAAAAGTATCACCACATACAAGTATATTTTTGACATTAACCTTTGTTTTTGAACTTGAGTGATGTCGTTTCAAGGCACAGTATGCAGGATTCTTATTATGTTTTGCAGTTCTTGGTATGTCCTTAGTAGGACAATACCATTGTTGTGAATCTCTACAAAAACAAAACCACAGCAAAAATATACAACTCAGTTCAAATATTTCACAATACAGTAATAATCGATTACACTTTTTTGAATCTAGTTTTTTGGATTTGCTGGTGAATATCTAAGCAGAAGAATAAATAAATACATTCCATTAACAAATCAAAATATTCAATGAAAGTTCAATAAAACTGTTCAAGTCATTTCATTTGAACTAACGTAGATATTACTTTTGGTCATTTGTGATACAGTAGTATGAATGGGGCTATAAAAGTCTGGATTTTGTAATCACTCAGGTCCTTACTCACAGGAATGTTTTACAATGCACATAATGCATGCAAGTTATAATTATTTAAATGGCATCAGCCTTGATTTATTTATTTACTATTTTTTTGACATGCTTAAAATATATCTGGTATGTTATCATCAAGTATATTTTTCTTATTCTAATCCATCTTGAAATACAAAACTGGTTAGAATTACATAAAATAGACAAGTCCTCATTTTGTTTAGTGTGAGAATTAACTTCCACTTATACACTAGTCACCATACCTATTACTCTATTAAACTACTTTTACCACTTTTAAACAATGTCTTGCCATGACCCAACTGGTAAGGAACCTTTATTACTGTAATATCCTTTCCTTAAGTAACAAAAATATACTTCCACAAATAGTGCAACTTCAAGATTTTCATAATTGTATCTACAACTACCTTTGAAATTTGGGTTTGGTACACACATAACACAGTTGTGCTTTCAGCAAAAACTACTGGGAGTACAAGACACAGGACAAAAGAAATCAATGCCAAATGAAACAGGAAGTACAATCACAGTCTACATCTAATATTTCTGTGGTGGTGTCTACAAAAGGTGCTATAGGTTTCAAAGTTTATTTTATTATTGTAATCTACTGTGAACTGTCAAAGAGTCAATGAACCAGAGTTGAAGCATGCTTCAGACAGACATACAAAAAATGTTTTAAAGGGACTATATGTAGTCATGTAAGTATTGTATGCAGTACAAGTTATAGAAATGATGATATCATTCTGCTGACTTGCAGTTTTTGGTCCTTATAGGAACTTTTTCATTATGGTCAGTCATGTTTTTCTTTGTTGTGCATATTTAAAATATATTCCAACTGAAAACATGTACAGCAGCCAATCCTGCTGATGGGCCCAGCCCTCCTGACAATTTTACCCCATGTCACACTTGCTGAAGCATGGAGCAACTGTGACTTTTGCTTCCTATGCATATTTAACCATTTCACATTTACTTCAAACTCACTTTATCAAACGATTTCAAACTATTAAGATAATTAAGAAACTTTTTTTGGTATCATTATTCTATTCACAACTAGACTTATATAATTACAAATGTAGGTTGCTCATTTAAAAATCATTGTGGCTGCCATGATCGAAACTGTGAATCAGTGGAAGATATGCAAAAAAAAAAAAAAAAAAAAAAAAAAGGCCATGATTTTCTTATCTAGATCTAGATCGCATGCTTCATTTGATCACAGTTCAATAAATGTTGTTATATTTTTAAAAGGTAACTATAGTCATTTGCTACTTCAGAGAGAGAGAGAGGTGAAATAACTGAAATATCATATTGTAACAGCGATCAGATCAGATATATCGTCACATCATTATGTAAATTTAACAGCTACTTATTGGTTCAAGATGATGTTTCCCTGAGGAAGTATTAACAGTGAAATATCATACATACTGCATTTGCCTGGGAGGGTGTTTAACAGTAGCGGTTAGACTGTAATGATACAGTAATATTATTAATATATTTTTAAATCACCTCAGCTATATATAGTCCCTTTAAAGGTAGCTATGTAACTTTTATGGAGGAGGGTTTGCTACTTGTCTCCATGGGGATGCTATTGCTCTGCCTGGAATGTTCCAGCATTTAGAATTAACCTAATCTATCTTCATGGAGTCAAGCCACCAGATAAATTTAGACGTCAGATCTGTGGAGGGGTGACCATGCATGCAGAAAGGATACATATTATTTTGTATTTTAATTAAACCAATGATATATTCAGAAGTTACTGTGACTCATTCCAAGAAAAGCAACAGGGCTCCATGGAGATAAACAGGTGCTGCACCCATCATCAGAAAAGTTACAAAGTGCGCCTTTAATTATACAAATTATTTTTCAAGACATTTACAGGAATGAAAAAAATATCTTCTATTATTATTTTGACTTGTTGACGTGGCAAAAGAGCAATTTGACTTTGCTGGTTTAAAACACACACCGCAGACCAGGTCAGAAGGGAGGCATTTGGAGGGTCTGGGTCTCCTGGTGAGCTGGTCCAAATGTCCAAGCCTGCTTCAGTCTATTTCTGTATATTTCTCTATGTACCGCCATTGTAAGAGTAGTCTGCCTTGTTGTGCATCACCAGTTTATTGTTCACAAAATAGAAACTGTCGGACTGTGTCTCGTATGGGTGCAGGACCATCTCTCGAACTGTAACACAAAGATAATAATATTTACCTTATAGCATATAGTTCAAGTGGCTTGGGGTTTTCAGTTGTTAAATATGTCAATATGATATTCAGCTATATGAAGAAGAAAAGCTTTAATGCATTTTGTGTATGAATTCAAAACACATACAACTATGACAACTGACTGGGAGAATAAAAAGTAGTAAACCGAAATAAGTAATTTCTATACAATTGCCTCCTGAACTTCTCAACTCCTCAATACGTCAGTGGTCACACTAACTGAGAAGAGAGGGATCATTTTAAATAGAGTTTACACTTGAAAAATCTGATAAAACAAATGAGGTCTTATGTTCATGTGTGGGAATTGTTTCAGGAACTACTCACGCGCTGAGGGCTAGCCCCCTCTGCTGCTACACTGAAAGAACTTTTTAAAGTGATATCATCAATAAAACAATAAATAAATAAATAAAGAAATGAATGAATGAATGAATTAATAAAATTAAAATACTGATTAGTTACATTTCTTGATTTTGTGTCATTGTAATTTCTGTAGTTTCTACCAGTTTATTTAGTTGGTGGACTATTATTATTAGAGCCCGACCGATATGGATTTTGCTGTGGCCGATATGAAACCGATATAATGGGAGTTGGCGCTGCCTATAGCCGATATAATCGCCGATATATTTAGTGATGTAAAAATTCACTGTAAATGTTGAATTGTTTAAAAAACTTAGGTTTGGGTCTGGTGGATTTTAAATTGGGTTTATTTAGGCAACATTTATTGTTATTCTGCCTCTTTACATCATATTTACAGACAGTAGGTTGGCTTAATGGCATTTTTGCATCACATTCTAGACACTAGTGATGGGTATTCCAGTTCTTTTTAGAGAACCGGCTCTTTTGGCTCGGCTCACTAAAAGCTGCTGGTTCTTTTGGCTCCCAAGTGGCTCTTCAGATTGTTTTGTTGCAAGCAGGACTAAAGCACGTCTAAAGCAGGACTGAATCAGGACTGAACCAGGTCTAAACCAGGACTGAAAAAGGACTAAACCGGGATTTATTTATTTTATGCTAAACTACAGTAAAATATGCTCTTTTTTAAATTTTTTTTAATCCTACGTACACGCAAATTTCTCAAAGTTTCGTTTTGAGCCGCTGCCGCTGTCAAACCACGAATCAGGCGGCGTGAAGAGAAAAAAAGTGAGAAAAAGAGAAAACACGGCTCCCAATAAGGATCAGGCTCCCGTCGTTCCCTTTAAAGAGCCGGTTCTAAGAGTCATTTCGTTCGCGACGGACTCATAACTAGTAAAGAAAGTAGCGCTATTAGCCTTTAGCCGTAAATACGTGCGCGCCGCAGTAATTAATTATATGCGCAAATGTCATAATTCACACGTCTATTCACAGCTCATTTACATATCAGTGCAGGTCCAGTAGCAAATATACGGCCAATATAGTCACTTTACAATAGACCAATAGAAACAGTCTGTTTATGTGCGGGAGCTACAGCAGCTAACCCATAACAAATGACAAAAACTAGCTTCAGAGTCGACATATTTCCAACACTCACCGCTCATACAGTCTCCTCCTCACATCACAAATCTGCACTAATAAATGTCCTTTTAATCCAGACTCAAACCGATTGTCCGTAAAAAGAATATAATCTCAGTGTTTGGATCTGTGTCTGCAGGTGTAAACAAACACACGTGAGTGAAGCGACCCTGTGGTGTGTTCAGGGACAGTACGGACACACACAGACAAATGACTCCGTAGATAAATACTGATGTGGAGCCACATATTAGGACATTTATCTGTCTGTAAATTGGATTAAATGAACAGAATGTAGAGAGTCTAAGCTTTATAAGGAGGTATAACATGCCCACGTGAAATATCGGCCGATAGCCGATATGCCTAAAGTTGCCCGTATCAGCCGATAATATCGGCCAACCGATATATCGGTCGGGCTCTAATTATTATTTTAGGTAATTTAAGATGAACAGAAAAATGAAATGAAAAAAATAATAATAATAAACTTAGCAACATAATTTGGGAGCCATTCAGTATTGCACGTTTTATACATTACCATCAGCAGGGATTGCAAAATGGCAAATAGAGTTAGCAGCAATCAGAGAGTTCTATGGACACTACCCTGGCAAAATCTTAAGTGTGACTTACTGGTGTCCTCTGACAATGGGGGGAACTCGTAGATATGTTCACAGGTGTTCTTGCTGTTCGGCATACAAAACCCAAACTCAAAATCAAAACTCTTCAGCAGCTTCTCCCTGAAATAATGCCGCTCGATCATCCGGAAGTTTTCGATGGGCAGGTCACCAACGGTGAACTCAACTCTGTAATAAAAATAAAGAAATCAAAGTGCAATAAACATTACAATAAATGATCATTCTTGGTGTTACTGATTGGTTGTTAGTAAGTATAATCCATAACTCACGTGGCACCAACTTGTCTCAGTCGTAGAAATGCCGGAGTGAACTGGTATCGGACAAACCTGCCTGCATTTGGGTCGATGTCCCTCTTTTCTCCTGCTTTATCTGAATATGATACAAAAAAATAAATACAAAATACAAACTTAGCATACATTGCTTACAAATATAGATGTATATACACTGACAAACTCTTCGCCATGCTACATGTTGGACTATATTTCAGGTAATAAAGTTGCGTGATTTTGATAGGATTTAACAGATTTTTTTTTTTTTTTTTTTTTTTTTACAGTTTTTGCAATTGCAATTAGATTTAGGGATCTAGTTCATAGACGTTAAACACATCCAAGATACATAACATTTGATAATAGACTAAAACAACTTTATTATCTAAAGGAATACTTAAATAATAGCAATGAAATAAAAATGTAAAAAAAAAAAAAAACATTTACTGCCCTGATATGACCTGATTTTATTTCAGGGAAGATGTCATTGTTTTTCTCAGTATGCTTCACAGTATGGCAATAAACATAGCTATCTTGATGGAGAAAAGCACACCAAATTACAGGGAAGCAATAACAAAACACTGATTGATAGGTTTAATGGCAAACTGTAGAACATTGCAGGCAGAGCAATAGCATCCCCACTGAGACAAACAGGTGTTGTATTTGCCATCAGAAAAGTTACACAGTGCACCTTTAAGGATCATCATTTAAGGATCATAGTGTTTTGCCTGTCAGTTTCTGGTATAAATATGACGTATGACCTGCTGATGGAGGTTTGGTGATCTCAAACAGCACAGTGCCCGTCTCCATGTCTCTAATCTTGAATCTGGTAAAGTCAATGTTGTAGACGTTTTCATCTGGACTGCACAGGTAATCTGAGAGACAAGAAACACACATTTCACACAAGAGGTAACCATAAATAAGAAGACAATACCAATATCACAAAACCCATTCTAATAATAATAATTGTGATTAAGAGGGATAGTAAGAACTGCCACCAAACAGAGCAAACATGGGTGGTGAAGGGTATTTTACTGTAATGAACCCAATCGGTATCTTAGTATTTTAGTCAGCATTTTTTTTTCTAGTAAAACAATAATTTGGATAATCTTCAAGACATAAAACAAATATAAGAGCTTCATAAGTGCCCCTTCTCAGTCTTTTCTGCAGGGGTTCCAAACACAGCGGTGGTAGTGATGAAGAGGAGGTTTATTTCTGTTCTTTAATCCCTGCTGCCATCTCCAGCCTGTGTCAGTGCTCATTATTGTCGCCGGTGCAGACACTCAGGGAGAGCTGACAAACACACATGCACTATCCACTACAGCAAAAAATGAATAAAATGTTAGGTTATAGTTAAAATTAGATGAGATTATACAAAATCGTTTTTCTTAGCTTTTCTCATCCCTCATGTTGTTGCCACATCTAAAACATTAGACACGAGGTTTTAGATGCCATCCATGTATATTTCAGTATTTTAGTGCTCTCTCCCAGGTCCTATTAGAACCCTCCTTACAGTTAGCTGTAAAAGATTCTGTGCAATGATCAACCCACAAGCCTATGTCATCCACACTCCCACATGTCAGTTCTCCATAAACATACATAAACATGATACAAAAGAGTCAAAAACAAATACTTTCTTTTCGGCGAATATAGCATTTTCAAAACAATAAAGGGTAACATGATAATCTAAATATATTATATGTTAGCAGTTAATAACCCATACATGTAAAATATCCCACTGTCTTGAACCACCAAAACAGAAAAACCAAACAAACTCAAAATTACACTATTATAGATACACCTGTGCACCCTCTGTGTACCTCAGTGGTACACATCCACATCTTGAGTACAGCTGACTGGCTGTAAATAATTATAATAGAAAATTTCTTCTGTAACATTTAGCCATTGCAGAAATACTGTATGATACTGACATTAGTTTATTTAAAACTGAAAAGATAAGATAAAGTTTCAACCTTTACATAAACCATGATGATTTCGAAATTGTGATCTGGTTCCAAGGAAATGACAAAAATAACCTATTTATCTTCTACCACATAATGTAATGTTATTACACAGTGGCACAACCACAACACGGTAGCACAGGAAACTAATAAGGTAGTGTAAGATTATCAGCTTCTGTTTACTATAATGCTGATGACCATTTCAGCCATAAAGTAATAAAAGTGTATTCAAGCTAAAAGAATTATGCAAATTATTAACAATTTATGATGAATGATTATTTTATTATCATGCATATGCAGCAAAGTGGTATTATGATTTAGTGGCTGATATGCGTGAAAATGTATTGTGTTGTTTGCCTTTAAATTTTGAGTTTTAAAGGTAAAGGTCAACTGAAGGTCAAGAAGGTTTTGCTGGATTTTGGACTCCTAAGTGGCTCACATTTTTTTCTAAAAAGTAGCACAAAAACTAAATACAAAGGTATGCTGAAATTTTAATTCAGAATTGAAAAACCCATAAAGGCAACACTTAATTTATCAATATGTTTTCAGATGCCACTCCATACTCAAACCTGAAAATGAATAGATTTGTTTTTTGTCACTAAACCAGTGCTACTGTGCCTTGTGTGCCTGCTATTGCCTGCATGAGCTTTTAAATCTCAGAGGAATAGTGGTTTTGCTCCTGGTATATCCTGCTCATGTTTATGCATTTATGTCACAATCTCCCCACACAAAACGTCCTAAAGTGGAACAGAGAGCCAGTCAGCATCACACTGTCTGGTCAGTTTATTTCAAAGAGCTGAATCCTGCTACGTTTGACAAGATTTAGGAGGACAACAACCTCCCTATGCAAAAAGTGTAAAGTGAAGTTATACTTAATCAGCAAAGGTTTACCCTGGTTAACACTGGAGGCTGCTGATGCTGGTGCTAAAAGTTAATGACACCCCAAGAGGATAATTGAGTGAGAGACAGATGAGAGAGGGTATTAGGCAGCAAGTTATAACAATTGGGATTGTGAATATGGTGAATATGGACAACATATTTTAATTTATAGGGTACACCCTGAAAAGTGCCCCACAAGTCACCTTATTTGAAATGAGCCAGCATATATGTAAATAACTGTAACAACCCATTTCATGACATCATAATTAATATTTACTGTATGCAAAGCTGTAAACATAATCTGCATGATCTTAGTGAAGTGAAAAGAGAAGTTGTAAGCTGTACTTTAGACACGAAGAACAAATAGAGAAATGCGGTCTTCCCACTTGAATTCACTTAAATGGTTGACACAGTATTGTTAGTGGTGTCTGAAAACAGGGTGTGCCTGCTTAGCCATCACATTTAATATCTGCATTTGAGTTATTATAAGTTTATATTATGTATTCAGTTAACTTGACCCAAAAAACACAGACAGTGGAGCAAACCTGAGAACAGCATGTAAATGTAATTGAAAAAAATGGGATGAGCTACAATGATCTGTGTGTGTGTTACAATGGCTTTATAATGAGTGAACAGTAATAACACAAAAGTACATTAATCTTATCATAAAGAGATTCTCTATTCTAGGCCTGCCATCATAATTACTATATCGACTTATCATTCAATAGATTTTGATGGAACAATACTTTTGAAGGCCAATATTTATCCTGGGGACTTTTAAATTCTACTAGTTATTTAGTTATTTTTCTGTACTACAAAAATATTTGAGCTTTGGAGGATTGAATAAATAACTTCTATGTTTTCAAAATTATCATTTATCATCTATATTTTTTTCAGCAATATATCTCACTTCAGAATGTGTAATTGTGACAGGCTTATTCTCTGCAACCTGGTTATTTCACCTGCTGCTGGCCCATTTACAGAGATTCTACCTGGACCAGAACAGTAGCAAAAGTGGGTTATGGGAGCTCTGTGCTGTAGATTTTTAAATTTTATTTTATGGTGGGAGTATGATTATGGCCTTTTCTAGAATATTTCATCTACACTGTTACCATTTCATGCTTAAATTAAAAATTGTACAGTGCAATGTAGACTAAACCTGTATGTAACCTGACAAGGCTGGATACTTTATCGTTTTTTGCCACCTGCCTACTGTAAACAGATGTACAGATGTAAACTCCACAAGAAACAAGCATTAACTGCCCAAATATCAAAATTTTGTCAGTTTCTAAAACTTTTTAGTCAATTTTGAGCATTCTGTTCTTAAATGTAAAACTACCTCTTCCCATAAAAGTCAGTGAAAAGCAATAGAAAAACATTTGATAGAAACAATATGGTGGAGACTGAGCCTCTATGTATGAGATATCTGTGCTGATTGCCTTGTCTGAAATTATTTGGCAAAATCAATTTTCTACTGAAAAAAAAGTCTGACCTTTCAAGTATAATTTTATCAGTACTGGGTGAGATCACATGGTAATATATAAATAATAATATATACAAAATATGTGCATATTGCCTTAAAAAATATATATAAAATATAAATATAATATATAAAAAATAAAATATCAAAATCAAGTTTGAAATTTTATTATTGTAACAATAATAATAACAATTATTTTGTTCAATCACCAGGAATGTCTTGAATATTTATTTGCTTGCAATAACATAACTACTGAATAATAATAATTAGAATGTACAATAAATAACCAGTGAGGCAGAAAATAAGTGTCTGTCCCCATTCGACAGACTTGGCAGTGCATCATTATGGTGACTCTAGGGACAGATTTCTGCGCTTGTTGTAAAGTGTCATCACAGATTAAGTCCAACATTTGGGATCAGAGTCATCCTGAGAGTTCTGTGTAAATCTTAATTAAGCTCGACAGAAGCACGGATCTGCAGACATGTGCTGAAGAAAATACTGCAGCAAGTGAATCAAAGGACTTTAGTTGGACTGTACACAGAAGCACTTTATATGGTCAAAGACTGACATGATGTTCAGGACTATTACATATAGAGATGAGAATGGATAGTTAATATGAAGAACACTGGAAAAATATGGAAGTATATGTGGTAAGAATAGAAAGAAAACAGAAAAGAAAATAGGCCCTTTCATGAACAGTTTTAGAATGATCTTGTTTTTTCAAAAAGAAAAGTATGACTCAAGGTTAAATATCACATTACATAACCTAATTTAAACCATCCATATTACATTTTTGTTTTCTAAATTTTCCACAGCAAAAAACACTGAAAACCAGTGTTGTTGAAAATTGCCACTACTTTATTACAACAATGTCAAAATCTGGCCCCAATCCTCTGCTATAACTGATCATTTACAGTCTATAGCATAATTATGTTTTGTTAAATTTTTAAAATGCATGTATAGTATGTATCAGCAATGAAAAACAAAAAGCATCACACTTCCAGTATAAATTCAATCTAAAAACACTAAAAACTGCATGTAGTTTCAGAGGAGGAAGTGTGTGGGAGCAGACAGCAGGAGATGCTTTGTGTTGCCGTAGTGATTGTGTAGCACGTTGCCGTAGTGATAGCGTGGTTGTTGTTGTGACGATTTGCACATGTTTCTCTGCCTCCGGAGATGACGCTGCTGGACCAAATCAGGATTTAGAGTGGGAGACTAAATCATTCAGATATTCTCATCCCAGGGCAACAGGACAGTGACCAATACAAAGACTACACCAAACACAGTCAACACCTACGAGCAGAGGTGGATGGAATCAAACCACCAGACTGAACAAAGCATCTAACAAAGCAAACCAATCCTATTTGACCACACAAAACAATGTCAGTTTCTAAGAAAATGACAAATCTCTGTCAGCATTCAAAGTAAGATAAAAATACAAATTAACACTGTTGTGTGTGAGAATTATAATGATGATGAATGATGAAGTTTCTTTGTGCTAAAATCTGTGGCTAATCATAACACAGTTTGATTTATCTTGATATGGGATGTTAACAGGAAGTAGAACTGCATTTTTGTTGTTGTTTTTCCATTGTGCATTCCTAACATTGCTTTACTCATGAGAAAATGTGATGCAAAAGCCTTGTTTAGTTCTCTTTTTGTCCCACTACAACAGTGAGACTCTCATTGCATTATGCTAATACAACATTGTTGTATAAGTGCTGCTCTCTGCTTTAAATAGTTGAGTGCCCTGATGCCACCTGTTAGCTAATGGCTGGCTGCAGGTTTGTTTTCAAAAGCTTCTTAGAAATGCAACATATAAGAACATAACAACATATATGCTTAATATGTTAAGCAGACAAAGCTTTTTGTAATAACATGTACAGTTTATAATAAGGGTGAATACTTATAATAATGATAGCCAGATGAAACAGTTTTAAATTTTCAGCAATTTGCAGCAATTTTCTTTACTGATTTCTTGACTGAATTCCCAAATGATGGTCAAAACTCAAAAGTTGGTCACTATAATTGTTTTGTGCTTCCACTTATATTGTTGTAAATATTGTGTTTTTCAGAAAAAAGTTTTAACTTGATGTGCACACCCTTAAGTTTGAAATAAAATAAAAATAGCTCAATGCTTCTGTAAAAATGCACTTTAGTAAGACCAGGGACATCATTGGTTCATTAAATCATGCCAGTTGTGAGAGTCAAATGCCCCACACAAACATACATTGTTCAGTGTGACCCCAGGTAGTAATATACCTCAACTCCTTGAACTTGAAATGTATATTGTTGTCAATTTTAATGTTCTCAATATTTTTGCATGAACCAAAATTTACGTGTTGAGTAGGCCACTTTTCACTGGAGGATCTGCCAAATGCACTAAAATGACCCACTGCCACATTGTATCAAAGTGATACACATTTCTTCCATCTTCAACACTTTGCTGTAACATATTTGAAGACCTCACACCAAACTGACTTCTTTCCTTTTCACTAAAACAGGGGCTCAACTGTATGGGATTTTGGCTTACTGGTTGAAAAAAATAAAAATAAAAAAACAGAATATAAATCTCCCACTGATTTATCTGGCCTCACACAATCCGAGTCGTCACCTGTCTTTGACTTTACTACAACAGAATCATAACACTACAATCATAGCTCTGAGTGGAATAGTATTGGGAGACTTTACAAAATAAATTCATAAACTAACAAACTCTTAATTTAGGAGCAACACATGGCTCTTTTGGTGCATTCACATTTTTTCTGTTTTAGTCCTGGTTTAATCTCATTTTGCAATAAAAACATCTGTAACTGAATAGATAATTCATTCATCGATTGATAAGTTTAATGTCTGTGAACTGCGGAACATTCCAGAGAAAATCAAGAAAATAATACCTCAATGGAGATGGCAGACCAACCACCAAAGTTACATAGTGCACTTTAAATGTATTTTTTGAGAAGTCAGAGTACTAGATTGGCCATTAGTTATTATTGGTTAGTCAACTTATTTAAATATAACATTGCAATTTGACATAGCCTAATAGCACATACTTTCAATACAACACAACAGCACATTTTGTTCCCCCACACGGCCACTGTCTCCAGCCCTGTTTAATCCACATTACGCATATATTTACTCGTTTTAATACCAGGGCCTAATTACATAAAACGAGAGGACACAGAAACGACGTTAAGTATGAGTCATCTGTGAAGACTGGGGTGACTCTGTCTCCCCAAACATCACAACAACAATACTGCCGTTTACAGATGCACTTACTGTCGGTGATTTTTTGTAAGCCCAAGACGTCCTCCGGTGTGATCCCGGTGCTCGTGAGCAGCTCCTCCTCTGTGGTCACTGGGACCCCCACCACGTCGACCGAGCCTTTCTTGACTTTCATCCCGGCTGCTGCTTTCTCCTTGGGACTCCCGCTCTTGGTGCCGTTCTTGCCACCTGCCTCCGCGTCCGTGCCTGTGGATGGATGAGTCCCGCCACCGGCTGCTTTCTTCGCGCTCGCTGCGTCCTGGCTGTTGCCTCTGCTGGTACAAGAATAGCTCATTCTCCGCTCCTCCTCCTCCCGTCCCCCCCTTCTTCCAACCCAAGGAACTAAACGACCGCGTCCCTTGCACGGATGCTGCTATTATCCGCTGCTTAATTCAAATCTCCTTTATTACAAGACTGCAGTCTGTCTATGACTGTCGCTCCTCTTGCGCTGACGAGGCGCGCACGAACCCTTTCTCCAATGTGCGCAAAAACAACACAATATACTGCGCCTCCTCGGCTCGCATGTCCGCTGAATCAGACCAAAAGAAGTCCGAAATAATCGAGCACGCAAATTAAACAGAGGCACCAGATGGTCGCTGCTGTCAAGGAGGAGGAAGAGGAGGGCGCGTGGGGGGCGTCTCCTGCGCGCGACGCGGCAGCTGATCACCCTGCGCTCAATCGGCGCCGCGCAAAGGCGTTTTTACGCGCCACTCAACTCAACAGACGCACCACCAGACAATGTATTGTGTGTCAATGCTAATTTAAACAATATGACTGACTGCATCGGTTTGGTTGTCAAAGGGGCATTTATAACAACCCAGTATCATCCCACCTAAACCATATACTCCATATTCAGTTAATTTCCCTAATAATTTTAGGAAAATAACATAAACCTTGTAGGCTAATTGCTGCACCGTCATCAAAATGAAATTTATTTAATAAAAGGGGAAATTTGGTCTGATCACACAATGATGGATTTGGAGTTGTTCAGAGCATATTATAATTTATATAAAGCATAAAAATATACACTGCCGCATAAATATTACAAATTACAAATACTTCAGTCTCTTGGAAAAGTAATCAGACTGTTGTAACTTTTCCACAAGGATAAGCCTATTTCAGTCACCCATATCTACAAGTTTGTTAATTAAATAATAGTCGTTAAACATTAGCAAAATAGAATAAAATACACACATCCATGCATCCATCCATCCATCCATCCATACATACATACATACATACCTGCCTTTGACCAAATAACTAAACTCATAGCACGTGGATTCTCACATAAGAAGGGTTTTAGAGGATTTTTGGGACCTGTGCTTGATTGATATAATTCTCTCTATGTGAAGTGATTAAAGAGCCAATTACACCAAAAGGGCATTAACTGTAAGATTATTTTCTCAATACATCACAAGGACAGACGGAGGTGCAGTGAAATGTGGAGGGGGTACACTCTAGAGGCACAGTAAAGCAACTGCAAATGCCTGTTACTTCTTTAATATGTATATTTACACTGAAAATACAAAGTGTAGAATAGGAAATATAAATCATAAAACCAGTCAAATTATGCGTTTTGACCACAGGTAACAGTAATAAATAATATTGCAAATTCTATCATTATTGCAGTAGGATATATTAATAGGTTGCAAGTAAATTTTTTGGTTAAACTGAGGCAAACTTAAAGATTTGAGAGACAAGTTAAATAACTGATAGCTAATCTGTGATAGCTGAACAGTGGTGAATCATAACAACAATTGGCTTCAACAACAGACAAGATAATGTAGTTAAAATGACTAGCTACTGAAGAAGTTAGTCCTGGCTTTGCTAGAATAGATGTTAGAATATAGATATGAATCACACACCTAAAAAACAAATGTTACAGAAAAATGTCATGGCCATGTAAATCATTAGTCAAAACAATAAAATCAAACTAAACTGGAAATAATACTGGTTCACTACTGATGAACACAGCTAATACATCCTGTGTGTCAGTCAGATTTTTTGGTGAGAATTATCAGTTCAGAAATTAAATTTAGCATAATATTTATTATATTATTATCAATTATATTAGATAATATTAAGTATTATATAATTAGGTAGTTGGTAACTTTTAAGTTGGTGTATATCTGACACTGTATGCATTCATATAGTGTAGTGCTTTGGTCTATAGGCTGTACCTCACTCAAGCCTCTACACTTTGGCCTGCTGAGTTTGCTGGTCCCTTTGTCAGGTTTGAGCTGCTGTTATCAGCAAAAACACACACAGACATTTGAACTATTGTGAGGACATTCATTCACATAGTGCTTTCCCCTTACACCCCTTATACCAGGATAGCATCATCACAGTATTAAAGTTTGAACCTTCAACCCCAAACTAACCTGCGCTGATCCAAAACAACAGCTATAGCAACAAGGTCCATTGCAACTGTTTAACTATTACATTGTCAGAAGCCAATCCATTGTTTATGTCTGTTATGTGTGTTTATGTTGTTGATTGAAATTTAATAGAAAATAACAATTAGCAAGGTTATAATTAAGGCTGAAATTCTTTATAGGTTCCGTTCTATCCTGACATTGCAATAGTCATTATTTCATGAATCATTTTGTGTTACGTTGTTTTACGGCATCTTGGAGAGAAATAGCAATGATTTCATGAAGTGTCTTTATATTCCCCTGATTAGAGACTCTAGAATAAGAATGTTTTTGTAATACGTATTTTAAGGCCTCTGAAAGGAACTGTGCACTGAATTATGAAGCTGTCAGTTGCAGCTGCCAATGTGTCACTGCAATCTGTATGCAGGTTTAAAACTAGACTGAGACTTGTAGACAAGCATTTTTACTAAATCTCAAATGAATTCTGCCTACAGGTTATAATGGAAAAATACATTCTTTGGTTTAGATATGTCAGCGCTGAACAATCTGTGTACTGTTATGTGTTGTCCCCCTTTTGCAAAGAATTAAAATCCACTACAATGACAACTCTTTGATTCAAACCTTCATTGAAATTTCATTCAACAACAACATCATTTTTTAAACAACATTTTTTTTTTACAACAAAGAATAAATGTATTTCTACCTGGACCTGAAGACCTGAGAGCCAAGCCTTCATGAGATCATTCCAAACAATAACTCACACAAGCTATGCCCTTTGTGTGGAGCTGAAGCTCAGTGTTAACCCCTCAGAGAAAGACAATGGATGCCAAAACAAACTGCTGACGCAAGTCCAGGCTGTGGACCGGGCGTATCTGCCTCAGGCCTGAGGCCAAAGGGGGTATATATACCCCCATAATCAGGCCATACACAGACTGTTCAGTGGGACCCTGCGACGCTCCGAGCACCATTTTCGGTAGGTCACAAAGTTAGACAAACATCACAGAAAATGCCACATCTACACAGAGAGGCTGCTGTTAGAAGAGTGACCAAATTATCTCGAGTAATTTAGTGACTAAAGTAAATATAAGAAATATTGTTATCATGAATTAATTTCTGTAACTCAAAAGTCTGATACTAGTAACTAGTTACTTACAGACTTTACCATCAAAATAAAAAATAATTATGTTTCTTTTTTTTTTTTATGTTTTCACAGGTTATTACTGATAAAAAGGACAAAATGGCTCACACAAACACCATGCCTATGGGTCCCTGGAAGGTGAGCCAAGTGATGAATAAAGTTATGAAACTGTCTGGAGAGTTTAAAGCTAAATTATTCCTGTCTCTTTCCAGATCACTGTCTATGATCAGAGGTATTTCCAGGGCAGACGTATGGAGTTCACCGCCTGCTGCCAGAACATCATGGAGTGTGGCATGGAGAACATCCGATCCCTGAAGGTCGAGTGTGGCGCGTACGTGTCTCTTCTATCTTTACTGCTGTTTTTCTTCATGTTTATAAATCACGCATAGTTCAGTGCCTCCAATATCTGTCTTGTGTCTTTTTGCAGCTGGGTGGGCTATGAGCACTCCAGCTTCTGTGGGCAGCAGTTCATCCTGGAGAAGGGAGATTACCCCTGCTTTGAGTCCTACATGGGCAGTAACTCTTACCGCATCGAGAGGATGATCTCCTTCAGGCCCATTTGCTGCGCTGTGAGTAACAACTCTTGTTCACTCATATTTAACATTTTCAGCATGAAGTTAAAGTGCGTTGTTCCTCCAGAACCACAAGGACTCCCGCATGACCGTCTATGAGCTAGAGAACATGATGGGACGTCAGTTTGAGCTGTGTGACGACTACCCCTCTCTGCAGGCCATGGGCTGGATGCACAACGAGGTTGGCTCCATGCACATCCAGTGTGGCGCGTAAGTAATCTTTAAAGAATATTTTTAAGCACCAGTTTGATGATTACCTCTCATCCAGTTTTGGTAATGCATTGTTTATAAATCCTTTTAACTTGAGTTGTATTATAATGTTTTCCTGTAATTTTGCCACAGCTTTGTGTGCTACCAGTATCCTGGTTACCGCGGATACCAGTACATCATGGAGTGTGACTGCCACGGAGGCGAGTACAAGTGTTACCGTGAGTACGGCACCCATGCCCAGACCCCCCAGATTCAGTCCATCAGAAGGATCCAGCACTGAGAGAGGAGCACCCACCCACTTCTCCCCAGTCTTCCTCACCTCGCTCCTGCACTGCATCCTCTTCCCAAAATATGTCCTGGCTCCACTGGTGCGGCTGGTCCAGTCTGCCCGGTCCTGAGCGGGACTTCAGGTGCTCACTGATGTCAGCCGATCATAGCACTTTGGCTTTTATTTTTTAGAGAAACATCACTGAAAAGGCAAAATGTAAGAAAGACAGAAAAAAGGACATTTCCGAGATACAGATGTATCGCAGACCTCACCTGGCTCAGAGCGGAAACTCCATGTGCTCCAGCGATGGCAACAAACGTCATTGTCTTTTACATCAATCACTTTGAGTTTGCTGTTAATGTGATATCCATGACTGCCTTTGTACAAGACGATGAATAAAGATAATGAGCAAACATCAACATTTACCAAATGAAAGTCATGCATTTTAACCATATATGACTCCTTTCATTCTTTATTTGTTATGAAAATGGTATGATGAAAATGGAAATTGCAATGGTAGACCAATTTAAAAAAATACAAGGTCTGTTTGTGTATGAAGAGCCGAATAGCATGGTTAGCAAGATTCGGTATGCATTTAAATTCCTAATAATTTCAGCTCACCTTTAGAGAATAATGCGATGCAATGTTGTTAAATTTAAGAGTTATAATCTCGTAGCTGCTTTTGTGGAAATAAACGTACCCATGTAATTTTCACAGGACATGCACTGGCTTTCTGTTTCTGCTGCTTTCTGCTGGCAACTTTTTACAATAATTTGGACTCAAAACATGTGCTTAGCTTAATCGCCACACGAGGTCGTAGTTTGAAATTAAATTGCGACAGTAACCTTCACTTTACGGGAGTAGATGACATGTCAACAATAAACATGGCGTCGAGCAGCAGCGGCTATTGGGAAGGTACACGTTTAAACTGAGAGTTTTATAGTTTATGGATTTATATACAGGTTATATAATCTCCAAATGCCAACAAAATATTAATAACATATTCTATGCTCTGGCTTAGTTTTTAGTTAACGTTAAATAAAAGCGTTACAACCATAGACTGTATAAAACCAGGTAGCTCGTAATGTTGTTGCTAACATAAACTGTATAAATCTACTAAGTTACTAACTAAAAACAAGTTTAAAAAGCTATTTTTCTGGTGTTTTGGGTTTGTACAGCATTTAATTATTAAATTCGTTAGATTAAAGAGTCTCAGCTAACCTCATACAAAGTGAACCTACATTTCCCCGCACTTCATAGAATATCTTTGAGAAGATTTATTTAAATGCATGTATAGAATTATTAATGAACTATGGGACAGGCAATGCATTGCCAAAATCGATCTACAACAAGACAACTAAGACCGGTTGGAAACTAAAAGACACAGTTTATAGTGAACTAAGTTGGCTCTTTTAGGCCTATTAATCATTATTATTACCCATAAAATATTTTCACTTCAATTCAAGAAGGATTTGTAGTATTTCCATAAATCCATTTTGTTTATTTTTTAGATCTACGGAAGCAGGCACGTCAGCTGGAAAATGAATTGGACCTGAAGTTGGTGTCTTTCTCCAAACTCTGCACAAGTTACAGCAGTGGCAGCAATGGCCTGGGCATCAACCAAAGAGCAAGGTTGGGCAATTACCTATTCCTTTCCTAGTACTCAGTGAATGATGCATACAGATTTTGTTATGCTTTAAAAAATAAAAAATAAAAATCTTACAGTCTCTCATTTGTATGTTTTACCCTTTACTTAGGTCTGATTCTACTGGGTCATCACATGACAATTTGATGGTGGCCATGACCACTGAAATTGAGCAGCTTCTTGCAAAAGTAGGCCCATTGATTCAGTCATTGATCTTTGTATACATATAATTTAATTAATAATGTATTTTTTGTTACTAAACTGCTCTGCTTCTCGTTTTACAGTTAGCATCTGTAAATGGCAAAATGGCAGAATACACAGCAGGAACTTTGCCTCATAACGCAGCCTTGATGCACACCTTACAGAGACACAGAGACATTTTACAGGTTTGTGGTTTTTTTTGTTGTTGTTGTTGCTTTTAGTCTTAAAGGTCCTATATTACACACATTGACTCTGGTGAGCTTCAAGCCATGTGAGAATATTGTTACCTCCTCCAAAACATAAGTGAGTTGTCTTTTGTTTCAGTAACACAGTAGCTCAAGGGGGTATTCCATGAAGTGAGCTAAAGAAAAAGCCAGCCTTGTCAAAGCCTCTGTTTCGTTCCACCAATATTACTAACCAGAGGTGACGCTGGAACTGTCAAGATTATTTTAGCTTTGTCTCCAAGAACATCTAAAGAAACAGTTTAGTCTAAAGTTTCAGCATCTGCACATCTCACACATCTGTGTTAGAACACCTGCCTCTGTTTGATACAATTTAAGAAGTAACTTTTATACTCGCGTGTTGCTTGAGACTTTTACAGTCCATATGCTCCTACGCACGGGACGCACGTGTGTGTGGATATGGGACATACATGTTTGTGGACACTGCATTCATCAAAAAGGCACAAACCATAGAAAAGCCTATGGCCACTATTTCATTCAAATGATCTTGCCCATGTGGCTGTTGTGAGGGGCAGTGCAGCTTTTACACACAGAGAGACACTGGTTTGGCAAGAGTGAACTTAGCCTAAATATGCAGGATTTGTGTATTAAACGTGTGAGTGAAACAACACACAATTCCAGGTATGTTTTTGATGACGAAACAACATTATAATGTATATAATCAGAAAATTGTATAATGTAGGCCCTTTAAAAATAAAGATTATTGGATATCTTTCTTCTTTTAGGACTACACAAACGAGTTTCACAAAACAAAGACCAACTTCTTCAGCCTTCGAGAAAGAGAGGACCTGCTAGGCTCTGTTCACAGAGACATCGAGTAAGAACCTTTTAAATTATGCTTGCTCATCTAATAACAGTCTGGTATAACCTACAGCTGCTAGCCTTATATACTCATTGTGTTTTTGCGCAAGACTCTTTACCCACCTTACAGTGACAGACTTTTAACTATTCACTTATTTGTTATGCACTTCACTTTTTTTTTTAGCTTATGTACAATTAGATACTCAATGAATACTGTTATTACTGTTAGTACTCAACATACAGTGTATCACAGGAGTTTGGAAACAAAAGAAACCTTCCAGTTGGTTTTCGAAAGAGTTAAAAAATGAAGTCAATTTTAACAGATTTTTCTTGTTGAATTTTTACTGAAAGATACAAAATTGCTCAAACAGTTGTGTAGATATTAATAATAATAATAAAAACAGTTGTAAAAAATTACTTATGACCGCAAATTAGAATAGAATAGAATAGAAAGCCTTTATTGTCATTATACAATAGTATAATGAAATTCAGAGCTGCTCCGTTAAAGTGCAAGAATCAGCAATT